ATTTCCCCCCTCAGATTCAAGGGCAAAGCAGTTACACAAATGCTCATAAATCATTAGTAAAGGAGGAAAAATGTAGGTTTCAAATGGGTCAAAACATTGACCATCTTTAACCGTTAATCGTTATATATAAAAATAAAATCTCTGTCCGTCTGTCTGTCCATCCGTCTTTCTGTTTGTTCGCTTTTGTTAAAATCGGCGGAAATGAAGGGAACTTTTGGTCGAACCTCTACATCCAAATACAAAACTTTTTTGTGTTACCACTTCTTTTTGGATCAGTCGTTTTTTCGAAACCCACAAAGCTGCCAGTACTTTGCCTGACTTGACTTTCCGCGTAAAACTAAACTGATTTCTATGTATCAGACAGGAATTAGCTTGTAGAAACAAACACCAGAAACTTTTGTCTTTTAAATTCTAGAATTCCAGAATTTTAAATTCTTTTAAATTCCATTGATCTCTCCATTTCTTTGTCTTAAATGTCATTTCTTTGTCTTAAATGAAAGCCGATGGGCGCCAATTTTATGATCATTTCAAGAGTGTCTGTCAGAAATAAATTCGATCAACGAATGATTGAATCTTATTTGAAAATAAAAGAGATTGATTCGAAAGAATGGAATGGAAAGAATGGAATTGAAAGAAAAGAATTGAAAGAAAAGAATGAAAAGTTTAGTTTCAAATAAATAGGAATTTCAGATTGCCACTTATCGAGGCGGTGACTCATTTTTGGTATTGACTGATGGGGATACGAGGAAAATTCACGAGTTGGCGAGTAAAAGTGAGGGAGATCTGGGAGATCTATAATTGGATTTCTGAATCTGAATATCTGAATCTGAATCTGATAACTGAATCTTTTCAAATTCAACACGAATTTCAACTTTCAACCTATGTCTCTAGGTACGGATGGTGGAGAAGCTGTGGCGTTGCAGTATCTCTTGCAGAACTACAAAGATGTGGCTGAGCCGAGTGTGACAAGAGCGGATTCGTGGATGGTTTGTGGAAAAGATAAAGATATGAATAGAGGCTAGATCAGCTAAAAATGCCAATAGCCATACACAGAGCCAAAAAAGAATAGCCAGAATAGCCAGAATAGCCAGAATTCCCGTCAAATTTCAGCCAATCATCGGTCTAATTGCGGCGTTGTTGATTTTCTTGTTGATACTCGCCATTTTGATTGCACTTTTCCTATCGAGATTTTGCTGTTGCTGCTATAAAAATAAAAAGGTATTGTATTTAGATTAGATTGTACAATTTGTACAATTGTACATTGTACATTGTACATTGTACAATTTCAGGAGGTCTATCAAGTGAACACAATTCCCACCTACAAAACGATTGAACCGCTTTATGTCGCTGCGTGAGTTCCAAGAAAACTTTAGCAGCATAAAATAAATAGGATATAGAAACACAAGTTTTAGTCCAAACGAGCGCTTCCCGATGCATGCAAATGATACAATCTACAGTACTCCTTATTCGGGATCTCCACTACCGTACCCACCACCACCTGGTAGGATAAAAATTAAAATTGAGTGGCACTACGGAAGGTCGAAACCGGATCGTGTGGATTGTAGACAAACATGATTGTAGATTGTAGACTTGTAGTGGATTGTAGACGCTCCTGACTGCCCCACGGTGACAACTTTCTGCTAGCCAGAAACCAGCCGGATGTTTTTCGGCTGTGGGTTTTTCCGGCTGGTTTCTGTTGCCGTGGCGCAGTCGGGAGCGCGCTTTTCTACGGCCTACACGATCCGGGTTCGACCCTCGTAGTGCTACTCAGATCTCACTTTTTAATTTTTTTTATTTTAAATGGCATAACTAGATTATATTTTAAGTCTTTTAAAAAGATTTCGGGTTTTTTGGCCCAAAGATGGCTGAGAAAAAGCCTATACAGACAAAAGGACAGACAGATAGTGTTATATAGTAGATTTCCGTCGAAAAACAAAAACTAAACAAAAAGCAAATGTCAAAATGACTCTATTGCTAATTTCCGGATGTAAAGTTTTGTTATTTTCACCTTTTCAACTTTGGCACAGTCAGGAGGGGGGTTGTCTACGGCTCACATGACCCGGGTTTGACTCTGTGTCGTGACTTTTATTTTTAAAAAAATGAAATATGAGATGCACAACTATATAGGCTTCTAAGCCTAATAAACTAAAAATCATGTAAATCGGCCCAGGGACCCGAGAACAGACAGACAAACGGACGTACTGTAAAGACAGACAGACAGGCGGACGGACAGACACTTTCCTTTTATATAGTAGATAGATTGACTATGAGAAGATACTCCGTCAATTGAAATTGCTAATTGAAATTGCTCATCTTGATGTCAATCAGTCTCTTTCTAGGTGCCTCAAGACCAATCACCCCAGCATCAACTGTTCGCACAACTCGTGTCGTGCCATCGGGTTTCAATAAGGTATCAATTTTTATTCTTTGTATTTTACCATTAAAAATATTCAGACTTAAATTTAGCAAAACCTTTCCGATCCCCCATCACCGAGAACCCAGCGCCGACGTGATAGAGGAGAAATCGCTGAGAAAAGGGTAGAGAACTGTTAGAGAAGATAAAATTCTAGAAAAATTGATGGATAGAAAAAGTTGGATAGATCAATTAGAGTAATTTATGCGGTTTGTAGTCAACACGAGTTCTCGAATCTCCGCAAAGTCAACCATCTCCAATCAGTCCATCCGATCCACCGTCAACGAAAGCACTCCGACGAATCGATCGAGGAGAATATGCTACGAAAGTAGAACTGAATACGAAAAAATTGTACAATATTCATTAAGCCGCTCTCCACTACATCACCAAATCGGATCGATAGTCACAGTTTGACAACCGATGTTAAAGTAGTCTTTACCCCGCTTACTATCTAACTGTCCAATTTAAGCCTGTCGCTACTTTGGCAAAGAATAGCCCGGAGGCTCAAAGAAGAGAATCGGTATATTGTGTGCTGGGAGTTTTCTCGGGAAAATTAACCGATTGATGTGAAAATGAAAAAATTAACGATAGAATGCCTAAGTGAACAAAGCTTTGATAGAAAAAGTCTATGTTGTATCTGATTTGGATTGAATCCAAATCGGATACAACATATTTGATTCGTTTTAATAGAAAATGGTTTTAGTCTGTGGCCGGAGAATCGGCGACGTATGTTCTGCCACCGGATGGATCAATCTATTCATCAAGCACCCTACCACATCCACATCATAGAGATGCTTATTTACCGCCGATCAATGAGGTGAGTTGATAACTGGATTGAATCTCGGGCTCGGGCTAAAAGCTCGAGCAAATACAGTGAGCCAATGAACACCATGAGCACCTTTACGCTCGAAAAATGCTCAAACTTACCAAGATAACTTTACGGCGACATAAAAATATCTTTCAGGCTTATGGCACAATCCCACGTCCCTGGATATCCCCGCCATCTCGAGGAGTTGATGCGTCAACACTTCGCTCATCGATGGCCAGCGACGGGGAATTACCCTTTTTAGACCCAAGACGAAAATTAGAAGTGCAGACACGAGAGGACTTTATCTATTAGATGTTTTGTTTCCTTGAATCAAACCCTTATAAAACCTCAACACTCTGAATCTCCGGCTCTTTGTGCTTAGACCGATACGTATGATCGTAGCTAGAACGACATGAGTTGACCAAAAATATTTCTGACTAGCTTCGTGCGTTTCTACTTACAGAGCTGCTGCATAAATACCATAAAACAATTTCAAAACCCAATTTTAAGTTAAAAAAAATCGCTCCTTTTTAACATATATTTTCGTTGTTTTCAGTCACACAAATGACATCTTTTTTTTTGCGCCCACATTGTCTACATCGGGTCTTTTCTCTCTCTTGCTGTTGTTTTGTTTCGAAAATTTAAGAAAAGCGAATAAAAGTTTAAGAAAAACCTCGCGCAGAATTCAAAAAGTATACAAAAGTACAAGGAGAAAAAAGCAGAAGTCTTTTATAGTGGTTTATATAGTGGCAAATTCGTGCACTCACAAAGAAAAAGATATTCAATTGAACAATTTAAATTTATTTGCACGGTCGTCTTTTTCCGAACGATTCAAAAAGCTTTTTCATTTTTCGTTCTTGTTATCTTAGGGGGTTGGGTGTAGTGTTAGTGTTTTTAGCTACATCTTTATATTTTATTTAGCACATGGGTGCTATAGTAGTTGCCAGTTGGGGGGCCAGTGTACATTCATCTCTATCGAGCCAAAGCGCACTAATGTTTGCTTCTAGGGCTTTTAATGGCGTAGATTCTTAATTTGGTGTTTATTTATTTAAGCCTTAGTGACTGTTTTCTAGCTATTTAAAGCAGTTACTGAGGTTTTTAGCCTCTTAATTTGGTTTCGCACCTCTAAACCCAGTGAAAATAGAGCCTCTTGAAGACTCAGAATTGTTGCTCAAACTGGCATAAAAATTGTTCAGAATGGTTTAGAAAGGCTTTTAATGCATTCAGTGCAATTCATTAACCCAGAAAAAGCTTTTAAAACCAGTGGCAAGTTCGAAAAACCGGTGTTTACAAACTGTTCCCTCCAACTACTATAGCACCAGCACGTTTTGTGTAATATCTGGACTATTGGCCCTTGATTGTCTATCTCTTTAACAAACCATTTATTGACTTGTATTTTTAGTGATGTACACTTGGAAGCGTACCAAACAACCAAACGAAAACGACCGGGACCAAGTCGACAGAGGCGGTCGAGAAGGAGGACGTGGACGAGGCGGCGGACGAGGCAACTTCCGAGAAGGCGACTTTCCAGATGGTGGACGAGACTATCGCGAATTTGGACGAGGCGGCGGTCGGTGGGGTGGTGGACGAGGTGGCGGACGTGGAATTCGCGGAGGAAGAGGAGGCTGGGGAGGAGATCGAGGTGGTTGGGGAGGAAGCCGTGGACGATACGATGATGCTCATCAACGAAACCAAGATGACAGCGGATCCGAGAGAGCCAGCATCGCCAACCTGCAGCGAGCGAAGTCACTCTCAACGGATTCGGATTTAGCCGAACGTATGGAATGTCTCAGTGGTATGGTTTAGATGAACTTTTAGAGATTTAGATCTTTGAATAGTATTAGGCATTAAGTCTTGCTCAGTTTGACTTGTCATAATAATCTATAGGTTTATGCTTAGGTTTAAAGAGGAATGAAATTAGATCATCCAATAAGATTGGTTCCTTAGCTAGCAGCTGCGTAGTTAAGATTATTGTATTGTAGTCACCTAAGCAATCAGCGTTAAAAAAGCGTAGTGATTTTCAGATACGATTTTCTTATTTTAGTTTCGAGCACATCCGACGGAACAACGACTTATTCTACAACTGAAGAGGAGGTGCTCAGTGTTGTCTCGGAATCTGAGTTCAAGTCAAGCAATTCTCAACTCGATTTGCTCTCGCAAGGCGAAGCTGCCGACCCATTTGCTCCAATTGTGTACGCAGAGAAGATTCATCCACGGATTGAGCCAGCTAACCGAACTGGAATGGAAGTGGTGAGAGTTAACGTTTATATCATTCAATTCTCTTGGTTGTTTAGGTGAAGCTTGTAACAAACATCTTTCCAATTCGTACCGATCCAAATCGTGAGGTCTACCGCTACGACGTGAGTGCTGACTTGGTGACGGGCGTTGAAACAAGAAACAGGAATGGAGGAGTGATCTCAATGAATCGAGGACCAAAGGATGAGTAAGGAGTGCTTTTATTTTTGATTTCAACCTTCCGATTTAGTACGCTGATGACTCGTCGTTCGGAAGCAGTTCGTGCCGCTCTCAAAGCGGCTTTGGAGGCTTATCGTATTCTCAGCGAAACTGGTGTTACAGTCTTCGATGGAACTACTATCCTTTTTTCAAACGAAGATCTCGCTATGGCTCTGAAACCGGTTTGTCTATGGTTTCTTAACATTCTGATTTGTTATTTAGCATAACGGCACTCTCACTCTGCCTGTAGCACAGCTTCATCCAAGCATCAGGTCCATCCTTGTTTCAGGAGAAGCAAAGGAAATTCGAATCACGATTCGCCCTTGCACGTAAATTATTTATTTTTAATAAACAAAAACGATATTTTAGTGATTCAGCTCATCACTTCACTATTGGAGATGCGGAAGCGAAGATTGCCAACGGAGAAAGTGACCGTCCTCTTCGACAATTTTATGAATTGCTTACCAACGAAGGAGCCCTCAAAAAGTCAGTAACCTAATTTTTATTTAACTCGCTTTTTAGGGGAAGTTATGTCTTCTATGGGGCAGGCAAGGCTTTTTTGAAGATCGACAATAGGGATACTTGCTATAATATTGGAAATGGACAAGAACGTCGCCAGGGTCTAACTAAGGTTGCTTTTCAAAATTTACCTATACGAAACTTTTCAGGGAATCCGCTTCATTGAAGGCGCCGAGTACAAGGAAACCACGCCAGATGCTCGATTAGTGGCGGCCCTTGTATTGGATGCGAAGATTGGAACTTTTTACAAGGCGAACGGACTTGTTGAAACAATGTAAGTGACATTTACTTGATCAGTAATATCGATTTTCAGTGCTCAACTGAACAGATGGGAAGGTGTTCATCAAGTTCAATGGGATCCGGCTGCAATCAAAAGGACAAACACTTATTTGCGCGGTAAATATTTACCGCTATTTATTTAGATCATGTAATCCTAGGTCTACGTTTGGAGGTCGCCAATTCAAAGAACAGCTTCATTTGTGCCGGACTTGATTATCGTGACGATTGTGGTCGACTGAGCTTCAGGACGCTTTTTGATTGTGAGGAGGCAATGTCACCGCACAGCAGACGTCTAATTCCATCGATGGAAAAATATGAAAAACAAGGAATTCGCATTCAGTAAGCTTTAGTGATGCTTGAAAAATGTTTGTCTTTAGATTTCCCAAGTGGCCTGTGGTGGTTCAACGCGGAAAAGGAAGAGGCAAGGATTCATTCTTCCCGATCGAAGTCCTACGAGTCGCACCAAATCAGCGTGTTCCATTGACGAAGTTCCTCTGCAATCCAGAGAAGGCCAGAAAACCCGATGATCGTTGGAATCTGATCAAAAACCATCTCGACGAGCTTGATCTTTCAAGGAACTCTCCAATTATGGCTGGGTAGGTTCTATCAAATATTTAGGTCGTCTAAAGTTACCTTTTAAGATTTGGCATCTCTGTTGATTCGAAGCCTTTGCAGGTTACTGGCTTCCGTCGGCCTGCTCCGAAAGTTCAATATGGCGAATCGAGATCTGTGCCTACAGATTTAAAGAAAGCTGGCTGGAAACAGGGAAAAGAAACTTACACCGAGGGCGCTGTTGTGGACAAGCTGTATGTTAAGTTACAATTAAAAACCGCTTTTCGCTCTGCATTTGCACAAGTGTATCTTTGCATTTTAGTTACATTGCATGGAATGAAAACCCACGAGTTCTACCACAAATTCAAGCATTTGTCGAGCGCTTCAAGATCGAAGCGGACCACAAAGGAATAACAATTCGCTCACTTGAAGTCGAAAATGCGCCAACAAATCTTGACGATGAAGTCCGAACTGGAAATCTATTTGCCAAGGTTGTCTTAATTGAAAGTAGTTGCTTAATCATCTATTATTCAGGCAAAGAATCAACGCAAAATCCTCGGTGCAAAAGCTACGATCATGATCATCTACATTTCAAGTTTGTTGCTTGTTCCTTTAAACAAAAAATCTTTTAGACAAGTTCGTTGATCCTGCTGGCCGAATTCCAGAAACGAGGTCTCATGGGCTCCTGAAATTCTTGGAAGCGAAACATCAAATTGTAATGTCGAAAATTGTAGCACACAACGTCTAATTTTAGGTGACGCAACATCTGGCAACGGATACTATCCTCGGCAAAAAGCAATACGACAACTCAATTAAGCCGATGGATAATGCGACTATGGAGAACATTCTCAACAAGTTCAATTTGAAGGCATTTGGATTAAATTATACGATTGTGCCGGAGTCTTTCGCGTGAGTTATATTGTTTGTCTCTCTTAACAGTCTGTTTTCAGAAAAGATCACTGGTTTGGATCAACGCTTATTATGGGTTATGACGTCTGCCATCCAACCGGCCAGACAGTCGGCGAACGTGCTCTTGGCTTTGCTGTTGAAAATCCATCGGTGGTTGGGGTAAGTAAATGAAGAAAGTTTGCCTTAACGATTCACTTTAGTTTGCACACAACGGCTGTGAGAATCGCGATGCGTTTGTCGGTGATTTTGCATTTCAAGAGCCTCTCCGGGAACGGGTTGATGATCGCCTCCTAAACGCAAGGACGAAATGGATGCTGAAGTGGTGGCAAAAGCGACGGGACCCTAAATTGCCGGAAAATTTCTTTATTTTCCGTGATGGAGTCTCGGAAGGACAATATGAAATGGTTAGCGACTTTTATTTTGCTATCAATTATATTTTTTGTTTAGGTTTTGAGTCAAGAATTGGGTGCCATTCAAGAAGCTTGTGATGAATACGAAGTTGGATACAAGCCAAATTTTCTGCTGGTGGTAGTCACGAAGGTGAGGGGAAACTTTTTGGTCATAACAGTTTCAAAGATACTTTTAGCGTCATAACAAACGCTTTTTCAAAGAGGGGAGTAATGGAGCAATTGGAAATCCCGAGGCCCTTACTGTGGTTGATCAAGAAATCGTCAGAACGGATCTGACTGAGCTTTTTATTCAGTCGCACCACGCAATTCAGGTTAGTTTAGTTTCAGAGCGTTATCACTTACATTATGTTGTGTTTAGGGAACAGCAAAGGCGACTCAATATGTTCTTCTCTACAGCTCGGATCCATCAATTACGCAAGATACTCTCCAACCCTTGATTCTGGCTCTCACTTTCCAACACCAGGCATTAAACTTTTATGAAAATCAAATATTTTTTGTTTAGATCTGCAATATGCCTGTCTCAATTCCTGAGCCTGTTTATCAATCGGACGAGTGGGCAAAGCGAGGTAAAGAAGTACAATATTTTTTAAATGTTTTTATTTAAGGCAGTGAATTGCTGAAAACATATCGCGATCTGAAATTCCCGCTGGCTAGGAAAAATGGCGGAGATGGACGTGACAAAAGACAACCGGTGAGAAGGTTTTTTTATTGTACTTCACTATTGAGCTTTAGATTGACTGGGAAGAAATGACCAAACGTCTCGGTTATATGAACAAGCCTTTGGATGGTGTTCGAGCGAATGCATAATGTTGTTTCTATTTTATTTTCATTGTAACTTTAATTCCGCTCATTCTGTATGTTGGTGAGCTTAAATGTGTTTTGGTGTATTTTTGGCCAGTTCGGTTTACAGTTGTTCGTTAAATGGTTATTTGATTTTTGCACAAATCACATTAATGAATTGGCAAACTGAAGCGAATTCAAGTTTCAAAATGCCTTTGAGGAGATCAATTTCGGAGATTGTCCGGTCGTCAAGAGGGCTTGTGGAATTTGGATTGTGCCGAATAATGTTGGTCTAGGAGCAGACTTTCTGAAAGATCCGGTTGTGTGGCAAAAATCATGTAGATGGTCTGGGACATTGTCGTTTGCAAGATTTAAGAAAGTTTGGTTACTTGTTCTTGTATCTGAGTAGGGAAACAGCTAGTTTTGTTTTACCCCTCCTCATAACCATAACATGCTTGCTCACAGCACTCTATCTCTCTGGAAAAATTTCTGGGTAGGCTTTATCTTTCGATTCATTCAATTAATTTTTATCCTTTTTTAAATACTAATCTTTCAAAACATCCCATTTTATAATTTCACAAAGCTGAAAATAATTAAGTGGAAGTCATTATGAAGGCTCTTATGCAACAGACGTTTTCCATACAAAAAGAGGCCTTTGAAAGGTTTAGAACGAACGAAGACAAGGAAAAGAGAAGCATATCGGAGATTAGGGCATAGCTTTATGTTTTTGAAGAAGAGCGATTCGAGATCCCTCTTTTCCTTACAAGATCCACACAGGATTCGATCTGGGAATCCCGTTTTCGTATCCCCTTCCCTTTTTCTTTCTGCCCGCACTCCATTCATTTCCGCGGCTTTTCGATCTTTTCCCCTTTTCAAACAAGCCCTCTTTATGTCCGACGTGCTTGTTTATTGAGAGATAATATCTATTAGCTAAATCTTTTTATTTTGGCCCATCGTGACCGACGTTTTTGGGAATTATTTTATTCGAGCTTAGAGAATGTCTACTGTATAATGTAACGTTTTGGAAAAATCTCGACTTTGTACAGTTCTCTTTTTACTCTGATGCTTGAAGTTTAGTTGTACGTTCGGGAATGTTGAACCCCTTTTTCGTTTCTAGAGCTTGTCAGACCAAATTTGCCTCTGAAAAAATTAAAATATCTACATCTTTTGTCTTTTAATATCTTTGAAATATCTTTTAAATGAGTTTTACCCAACAAATCTACGAGCTTTGAATTGAAAAATTGAATCTACGAACTTTGAATCATCCTGTGACAAAGCCTATAGCATCCCGAAGCCTTAAACTCTTATTTTATTTATTCACAGATGATTAAGTTCAATCCTTTCACCATATTCAACCACATCTATACGGTCTTTGATCCACAAATTTGTCTGGGTATTGTGAAGATTCGATTGATGACAAAAGGAGGAGGTACTGAAAAATAAGGGGATTTCTCTAGCATAAAACAACCAGCTCATGGATTCACCAGAAAGAATTCGAGGTTTTGGCTCGGGGTGGTGTTCGGGCGGGTTTTTGGGAGAAAAGGACTGATTAGGGAGAATGGAAATGATGGGGGTGATGATGGGTGAAGAGGGGAGTCGGGGTGACCATCACAACCTCTCTCCTCACTTCCCATGCCATTAGAGGCGAGGAATGGGTTCTTCCCGAAAAGGGTGAGGAGAAAACGATTCACTTAGGAAATAGGAACAAGATTCTTGAAGAAATGTATGGAGATGTTGCAAATTTTGGCTATTAGGCTCTTCTGAAAGACTTGCGACCTTTTTCCGAGAAAATCGTGGATTGGCGCTTTAAAGCGTGATAAAACTACTGTACCCCTCCAATTCGCGCGAAATTTCATTTTTTTCATTCTTGTTCATTTCATTTGATTGTTTTTGCGTTTTTTCGACGTTTCAACGCTTTTTCAACTAAAAAGTCACAAAAACAAAGCTTCCACCATAGAAAATGATAAAAACCACTTAACTTAACATTAGTTGGCATCAAGTTTGTGGAGAAGATCGTTGAGAAGCAAGTGGGTATAAAAAAACTCTACAAACAAAGCTTCCGTTACAGAAAATGCTGTTAAAAACGTAACTTAGCTTTACCCTCTTTGTTTCCTGCAAAAACAAACGTGTCCACATCAGAAAAATGCAAAGAGAATAAAATGAAATGAACAAAAATTAAAAAAATTAAATTTCGCGCAAATTGGAGGGGTACGGTAGTTTTCCCATGCTTTAAACCGCCAACCCAGGCTTTTCGCGGAAAAAGATCGCACTTCAGAAAGTCTTTTCGTTCCAGAAAGACTTAAGGCTTAACTTCACTATAAGACAATCTCCTGTCTCACTAGAGTATGCTACAGTATGCCCAAGTCAAACCGATGCGAGTCAAGATGAGGTTTAAATCAAGACATTCACCTTTAGATATTTGATACTTAAAAAGTCTAAATGATTCTCTCCAAAATCTCATGAACCTCTAAATGAATGTTCCCACAAATCTCTTCACATCTAAATGATCTTTTCTCTAGATATGGACTGATAATTGATGGCAATGCGGAGTTCCGATGTTCTTTTCTTTCGAAAGAAACAGGGGTGTGCCATGAAATGTGCTGAGAATCCGATTCGGCGCAAATTTTTTCTCCTGTCTCTTAATAGACACTAAACATTTCTCTTAGTGTCATCAGTTTTTCTTCTCCACCTTTTTTTTCGTCTTTCAGCGATTCTCATCGAAATTTGGCATCTTCCCTTCTAAAATCCTCCCCTTTTTCCTCGAAAAGAGTCCGATCTCCTTTGCCAATTCCACTTTTTTATCTGAATCCCTCACTTTGACACTTTTTACAAAAAGAAATCGTTGATTTATTGCTTGATTAGAGTAATTATTTACGGCTCTTTATCCATCTTTATCTTTACAATTGCGACAAACCAATTGTGGTTAGATGTAACCAATTTAATCAAATGGATTACCTCGATTATGCTAAATGTGAAATTATATTGGCTTACAAACGCTTACAAATGTTATTCTTTGATCTACTTACCGATTTGCAAAATTACTCGGGTTATCTCAAGTAATTCCATTGAATAGAGTGAAATTTTTAAAATCTTATATGAAACTTTCTTCAATAGATTTTGTATGCAAGTTTCTTTCGAAAATCGTGTTCTTATTGACATTTTATTTCCGTTTTTATGTGTGTTTATTGGCTGTCTATTTTCTGTCTATTTATTTTCTATATTTGTCCTTTTATTTTTACTTTTTATTTGTACTTTCAGGGCATCATGTTACAAGCCCTCTTTTTGTTGTTGTACATCTCTCCCGGAATTGTCTTTGCACAAGGATATGGATATTATCGTGAGTTTTACAGCGAATAAAGATAAAAGCTGGAATCGGCCGACCGATTGTCGTTGCTGTCATAGCCGACTGGTTAAGATGTCATAGCCGACAGGTATGTATCCTAGTCAGAAGGTCGGGAGGACGAGGGTTCAATCCCGCTTAGGATTGGTTTTATGTATGGGATTTTTCTTCCCTACATTTAGGGCTTAGGGGTTGAGTGCTAGGGGTGTTTGTACCACATGAAAAAAATGTATTTTTTATTGATATTTATTGATATTGATACTAGGTTGGTGCAAATGAAATTTCGTTTTTTTACAAACATTAAAGTCATCCAAAATTTTTTTTGATAACAATTTATTTAAAATAATAAGCACCATTATTATCTATGACATCCCTCCAACGTTGCTACAGATTGCGGATCCCCTTCTCAAAGAACGCTTGATTCTGTGATGCAAAGTAGTTGGTCACCCAATTTTCGACTTCTTTTGCATTCTTAAACTGGCAATTCTCAAGGGAATGTTGCATCGATCTGAAAAGGTGAAAATCGGAGGGTGCTAAGTTTGGACTATACGGCGCATGTGGTAAGACCTTCCATCCTAGCTTCTCTAGTTCCTTACAAGAGGTTTTTGCCGTGTGAGCTGGAGCATTATCACGGAGAAAGTTGATAGTTGAGGGATTTAGGCCTTTTTCACGCAAAATTTCGTCAACCTTGAATTGTTGAATAAAATAAGATGAATCGACTGTTTTTCCGGGCTCTAATAATTCAAAATGAACAAGTCCATTGATATTCCACCAGCAAGACAACATCACTTTGCGCCCATGATAATCCGGCTTTGGAGTTGGAATTGGCGCTTGACCTTTGCTCAGCCATTGTCTTTTTCGAGAAGTATTATCAAAGTGAATCCACTTCTCATCCATCGTCAAGATATTCTCAAAAAAAAATGGCTTCTTTTCGACTTCTGGAGCAAGATATGGCTGATCGGAACGCGTGCTCCCAGATTCTCAACACTCAATTGATGTGGAACCCATTGTCCATTACGATTTGTCTTTCCAATTATTTCCAAATGGCGTACAATTGTTGAATTGGAGATGTTTGGCAAGTTCTCGTGTTGTTTGCATTGGATCAGCTTCAATTAATTGTTGTCGATGGCTGTGGCACGATGTCCATGCGATTCGTCTTCAAGGGATTCATTACCATCTCGGAATTGGGCAAACCAGAGCTGGCATGATCTTTCGGTGATAACCTGTTCTCCAAAGGCGGAACAGAGATCACGATGTGAATCAGCAGCGTTTTTGCCCATTTTGAAGTCATAGAGAAGACACGTGCGCAGAACATACTTTTAATCCACCATGATCTAAAGCAAAAATCAATTAAAAAGTGAAAGCTCTGACTTTGAAAAAATGCGAAAATAAAGTAAATATCCAAGAGTACAAATGCACAAAAGAACATCAAATAAGCTCTTCAGATTAAAAAAATAAGAACATTTTATATCGACCGAAATTTCTTTTGCACCAACCTAATAAGTCCTGTCCTTTTCTTTAGTGTTTGAGGATGTAAGTGCCTGATAAGCGTTTTGCAACGGTCCAGAACGGTGCAACGGTTCCCTTGCTTTTGTTGTTCCCACTCAACTCCCCAATCCCCATCTTACAATTAGTTTTGGCCTTCATTGTGGTCCGGCTACGAAAAGTTCCGGATTCTCCACTCCCAAATGGAAATAGATTTCTTTCTCATCTCAACACAAAATTTTTCACATAAAACAATACTTTCAATTAATTTTGACAAAAGCAAAAGATCTGAAAATGAAAAAGAAACGACGACGCGGCGCTTCCATCGACTACCTCCAAATGGCGGCGACGTTAATTGGAATGCGACGTCGCGCGAAAATTAACATTTAAAATTTGTGACAGAAATTCAAATTGAACTTGAAAACGTCTCGAAAAAACACTTTTTTCTCTCTGAAGGTTTTCTCTACTTAAGCACTGCTTTCTATAACGTTTGACAAGTACACAAGTACACAATTAGACAAGTATGCTAACAATCATCATTAATATAATGCTTTAGCTGGAGCACGGGCCCCGGCGACGATACCTTTGGATGAATATCATGGACCCCCACCAAGCATGATGAACAGTTATGCGCCAAAGGGGCCGTTACCCTTGGCAAATGTGAGTTCATCTTCAAGCTTTTAGAGCTTTAGAGTATTACCTGGATTCTTGTATAAAGAAATTCAGAATTTCGGTCCATTTGCCCCTCGACAACACTTTGTGCCTCAACCGAAACCCTTTTGGAGACCTCCACCGCCGCCTCGTCCACCTCCACCAAATTTCAACTATCAACCCTACAGTCCTCCACCGCCACCACCACCACGACAGGGTTTGTTTGGAAGACTGGATTCGCTTTGATACATGTGTAACTCAAATTTGTATATTTTCTAGCCGATTAAGATTATAAAAAAACAAAATGCAACTAATCAACCAAAATTTGACTTATTCGTGCAGCTTTTGCTATGTTAACATCGATTGTTACATTGAACACTAAGCAGAACTAACAAGGGAATGATCAGAAGTGACCGTGGCATTTCAGCACCAAAATGAGGTGCAAACACAGGTCGAATACAGTGGTCACGATGGCGCTTTCGGATTTGGCCAAGAAATGGCCGGATAGTTTTCGAGAAAAACGCGTTGCAAGTTTGGGCATCTACTCGGGAAACGGACGCGCAAGGTTAAGTGGCCTCCCTCGCTCTCCCTTGCCAGCACTCCGTTAGTCTGGTGGATAGTGAGGGCGTCCACCAATCCAATGCTACTTTTGACGCGGGTTTGAATCCCAGCCTTGGCTCTTTTTGGTATTAATAATAAGTTTCCTAAACATTCATATACTGTTAAAAAATGCTTTTTAAAGCTTTTGAAAAAGGTGCAAAAAGGTTTGCCACGGAGGGGATACAAACCCACGGTGGATACAAAGACAGGGCAAAAGTAGCATAGGTTTGGTGGACGCCCTCACTATCCACTAGAGCACTAGAGCATCAAATGCTGGCAGGGTCACGGTCACGATGTCAAATGTCACGGCCACTTCTGACCATTCCCTTATAAGAAGAACACGGTTAAAACCGGTGATGGATTTAAAAAGCGTGTGATTAAAAAAATTGGCTAAACTCCACTTTATTAAATCAATTTGCATTTACTCAATAGCATTTGAGGTTTGAATTGCATATGTAAGAGCGTTTTAGATTTCAATCTTAATCGGCTACGACATATTGACAATAGATAGACATGTAGACAACAGATAAGCTCCAGCTCATACTCAAGCTATGAAATGTTTCCGCAAAAATGGTTCCAGATTATGATGTGCCACCACCGGCTCCATCTCCTCCACCACCTCCACCAACAAGACCTCCACCGCCGCCAACAACTACGCAAAGTTGGTTTTATAATATCGAAATCTAGCAGTTAAGTATATGATTACTAATTTCTATTCCATATACTATATTATATTTTACTTAAGGTTATGATGAGCCAGCTCCACCCCCATCACGGCCTTATGTACCGCCATTGACATGGAGAACTCCTGCCCCACAACCACCACCTCCATCAAGTTATGAACCATATGAGAGTGAAGAAAATGAATACAATTATGGACCAGCTCAGACAACGACGAGAGCTGCTTATAGGTAAGTGAAGAGATAGTAGGATTATCGGTTTGATGAAATCGACAAGAAGATAAGATGGCCAAGATAAGATAAGATGGCCAAGGTCAAAATGGCCAAGGTCAAGATGGCCAAGATATAATATTCCAGATTATCTCACTATATTCATATCAACAAGTTTAAATCTTAATCCAAAAATGCTTCACGAAATAACAAGTGTGGAAACCAGTTTGACTTCAAAGTGCAGATCTAACTTCATTCAGCCATTTTAACAGCCTTTCGATAACCCTTTTTTCACAGACCATCTCCATCTCCACCTCCACCATCAACAAGAAAACCAACAACAACCACTCAAGCACCATCAAGTTATGAACCATATGAAAGTGAAGAAAATGCGTACAATTATCCAGAGACGACAACAACTAGGCCGGCTTATAGGTAAATTTATAGGTAATTTGTGCGGTGTGTATTAACGAGGAGAGCTTCCATTAGCTGTTTCTATTAGCGGTTTAAAAACAGCCTAGTCAAGGGCACTTTATAAAGTTAGCTAATCCTATGAGTTTTATAGTTAATGAGCATATACATGCAAGTCAAGGCATGGCTATAGTTAATCTATATCTCTACACAGACCAATGCACGTACAATAGTGCGTAGAGTGTATTCTTCCTTTTTAATGCACTCTTGCGCTGAATCTATGCAAAAATAGCCTATTTTATAAGATCCAGGGTTGAAAAAATTGATTCTTAGCAACTAATGCAAGACTTTAGTGAGTCTTGCATTAGCCTGAGCCTTTGGAATATGAGCCTTGCCATTTTTCCAAACAAATATCCAATTCTAACAGACTAATGCTAATTTGTGGTGATATATAACTCTTTTCAAGACCATCTCCATCACTTCCACCTTCAACAACAAGAAAACCAACAACCACGCAAGCACAATCCTATGAACATTATGAACCGTATGAACCATATGAATCTGAAGAATACGAGACAACAACGAGAAAACCGACTACAAAATATCGGTATGTTTGTGTGAGAAAATGAGCACTTTTGAGTGAAGCTTTTCACAGCACAACTGTGAAAACTGTGCTTGCAAAATAGGAAAATGAATAGCAGATATTACGCTATTCATTTTTACTTTGTTAATATTTCAATTAAAAACATGTGCATGCGTTTTGTCGTGATCAAAATCTCACTGAATTAAGGCCACCACCCACCACAACTCGATCACCCCCACCCACAACAAGAGCAAGAACAACAACCACTCAACCACCACCACCTCCACCAGAAACCTATGAACCATATGAGCCGTATGAGTCTGAAGAGTACGAGCCAACAACAAAACCTGCATATAGGTATTGTACAGTATGTTGGGACGTTTGATTCGCGATCCGCCCCCCCTTGGCAATTCAACTTTGAGCTCAAATATCTTTGTGTTAAGCTGTTCAATTGAAATAGTTTTTATACCAATCGATAGATGAAGACTTGGCGCATCTAATGATACCAAAAACTATTTAAATTCGTTAGCTCAAAGCCAAGATAATTGAGTTCAAAGTTAGATTGTCAATGGCGAAAGGGGCGGGGCGAGTACCAAATGTCCGCGGGGAGCGTCGCGTAGTCGTTGTCTTTTCCATACTAAATCATTTTTTTTCTGGTGAACCTTTGGACTGATTTTGTTTGGGTTTTTTCTAAAAAAATAGAAAAATGAGGCAGCTTTTGAGACGTTTGAGTGGTGGCTTTTTGCCTTTTATTCTGTCTGTTGAGCTCTCCTGGCTCGATTGCGTATATTTGGCGTTGAATTTAATAATCTAAATTGTATAATTATTATACTATTTATCTAAAGCTGGTTAGACAATGAATCACGTCATTTAGTGGCGTCATTTAGTGTCATTTAGTGGCCATTTAACTAAATTAATCACTAAGCAACAAATCAAATAATATTTGCGAACTTGATATAACTTTGGTTGCCAAAACTTTAGTACTTATTCTATTTTCCGTTATGAAAAAAGAAATGTATGATACTTATCACCTCAATGAACAAATTTTGAAGAAATTGTTGCTGAAATTGTGACGAAAATCCTCATAGGGACAACAAAATGCGAACACGAAAAAATGCGAAAGATAGCCTTGAGCTACAGTATGCCCAAGTCTTGTCTGTCTTTCTGTCTGTCTGTCTTTCTGTCTGTCTATCTATCTACTGTATTCTACTATATGTCCGATAATTTTTAGTTTGGTATGTTTTAACTAGTACTTTTAAATTGGCATTCTTATAGAAAGTATTCTTATAGAAAGCGGCACAGCAGCCATTTTTAGAAAAAAACTGAACAAAACCCGTCCAAAAGGTCAAAAAGTGATTTAGTGCGAGAAAACGACTACGCGATGCTCCTCTGGGCATGTCATTAGGAAAAATACTGTATTTTTTTGAAAACTTGAGGCTCGACTGCACCAATGTTTGCCTTGTTTCACTGTTCTTTTTAAAAATGCCCAATTTGTTAACGAGAACGCTTTCAAGCTCTAAAGTCTATCCGCTATGAACTCAGAAAGCACTCTTTCAGTTAACATACTTTCACTCTTATTTCCGAAAAACGTGATGTGAAACTGATCGCATTTAGTATAGGAAATCAAGATTCAAATCACGATATCACTTGTGTATTCTTTACCTTTTTTTCTATACAGGCCACCACCATCCACACCTGCATACGAAAGCGAAGAAAATGAATACAATTATGGACCAGTTGAGACGACAACCGAACAACCAACCACAAATAATTATGATTTTGCATATATGAACACTCACGAACAAACAACACCGCCAACCACCACCACAAGAATGACAAAAACAACCACAACAACGACTAGGTTATTTCATTCAATTGGATCCTCGTGCTCCCCGCTAGACTTGGCTATCGATATTTTGAAGTGCTCGCGTTAAATCTTATCTTTGTGATTGTGGTACCAAATGCTCTGAAACTTTTCCCATGGAAAGCCAGAAGTTTTAGCTTCATTTTGGTACCTAATACGTACTGTTACAAGAAAAACGTATTTCAAAAAACCTTATCGATTATCGATAAGGGCTCGATAAGGTCATATCGATTAGATTTTTAGAGCTGCGTTTTCTGTGCTCTTTTAAGTATTAGGCACCAAAATGAAGCTTGAACTTTTGGCTTTCTAATGGTAAAAGTTTTAGAGCATTTAAGTAGTTTTGTGCAAAGTTATAAGATTTTTTGCGCGGCTACTCCAAAAATATCGATGGCCCAGTCTGTTCCTCGCGATTAATACGTTTTCTAAAACATGTCCCGAGAAAAAGTATCGTAATCCTGCCGAGAAAATACCGTAATCTCGTCGAGAACAATCAACGATTAATCGATTAAATTTTTAATCCTTTAATCGATTAATTGATCGCGAGGAAAATACTCAGGACGCGCCAAAATCACGGCTACACCTTTTCAGCAGATTGCATGCCAAATAATCAATTCAAAGTATAGAAGTATTATATAGAGAACTGAAGCCTGAATTCTTGCCTACATTTCTGTAGCAAAAGATCTTTGATTGGAGTTTTGGAGCCGATTTTTCAGACCCTCAAATGAGCCCAATCCGATCAGTCTCCGGCAAGCTTCTATTTTTGCTGTTTTCTAACTAAACTTGTATGTAAGAAGAATTTTTTTGTAAAATACATTTTTATTCATTTAAAAATGACTTCCAACAAATTTACAGCTTTATTTACAAACAAATTTACAAATTTTTGGTTAGAAAACAGTTAAAAATGGAAGCACGGCTAAAAACGGCAACTGATCGGATTGAGCTCATTTGAGGGTCTGAAAAGTCGGCTCCAAAACTCCAATCAAAGATCTTTTGCTACAGAAATGTAGGCAAGAACTCAGGCTTCAATTCTCTATATAATACTTAGGGTTTTTGAATTGATTTTTTGAGATGCACTCTGCTGAAAAGGTGTGTAATTTTGGCGCACCCTGTAGCTCTCACTAACTCATTCTATCGCTAGCTTGATTAGAAGGTTTTCCTTTTCTTTTTCTTTCTATTTTTCAAAGTTTGATATTTTGAGGGAAAATTTGAGTTGAAAAGATGCTGTAAAATATCAGTGTCCTGCCTAATTACAGTGCCAAAATACTTCAAAAGTCTCACAGAAAAGCTGAAAGATTTTGTCAATTGAAAACGCATTTTGCTGTATTATGGTATACTGTAGAGTACACGGATGATACAGTATCAGAAACAGTATCTTTATTGACAAAATAATATGAGTTTTCAGACCGACAACAACTCGAGCTCCATATAGAGCTCCATCAACAACTCGTGCTCCATACAGAGCTCCATCAACAACACAAAGAAGAACGTATCCAACAACGAGACGAACAAATCCTCCAACAACTGCAAGAAGGACAACGCATCGTCCTCCATCAACTCCACCAACTCCGAGAACAAGAGGACCTGAATGGGTCACACCACCGATGTCACCGAAAATCGCTTATTTCCCGCATTCTGCTGAAGAGGGTGAATCGCCGTGTGATGCTGCTGCAGATGAAGGAGATGGTCAGTTTAAATATTAACTTACTTCTAGAAATATTTATTGGCATTTTGATTTTTCGAAATCAAATTCTAGGCTGCTGGGATTTCTTCCAATATGTGCCGGGAGTGAAAATGGGCTCAAAAACACCTCAGAAATATGAAGGAGTTGAATCGGAAGAAAGATCAGAAGAGAATCCATATCAACCAGAACAAACACAAAAAGGATATCGAGCAGGAAAAGAAAAATACTCAGAAGAAGTACCTGAGACATATATGGTCCCACCAAAAGAGCCAGATTCAAGTGAATTCACTCAACCACCACCACTCCCAGTAAATGAAAAGGAGAAGCCGAAAGAAGAGATTAAAGCGACAGGTCGGTTCAAGAAGGCTTTCCTTTTCTTTATTGAAAAGCTTTTTTTTAACAATTTCTAATAGAGAAAAGCGAAAATGACAGATTCGCCGATGAGATGTCGACTAGCGCTCATTCAAGCGCTTTTTAAATGAGTTCTATAAGTCCAATTGGGAATATTTTGATAACTAAACGTTGCCAAGAATTAGGGCTACAATTCTCTATATAACACTTGACATTTCTAGAATAAGTTAGGCATTTGCTTTTCCAAAAAGTTACCGCTGAACCAATTGAACTATGGTTTGTTTCATTAGAAAGGTCAATTATTTCTCTACAAAAACGGGTTTTAGGCTAATATTGCTGATCATTTTGTTTAGAGTATAAACGAGCCACCGATAAACCCGATGTTGAGTCAACCACTTATAAATTGTGAGTTTTGTGACTCAAATTAAGCGTTCAAATTGGTTTTCTTGTTTATATCTTATATTTTAGTCCTACTGGCAACGAGGTTTTTGTGGGAGAATTGGAGGGTTTGTTTTATTTACTGTTTTAGCAAATCTTTCTCAATTCTAGAACCTGTCGTTATTCGTGACAAAGTAATTGAAGTGAACTTGCCGAAAAATGAGAATCCGGAAAAGTTTGAAAAAGGGAAAGAATTTAATAGAGAAAGTTCTAGAGATATCGATTCGGATGAAGAAATTGCATCAACGAGAAAACCAATGAAACCATCAAAAGGAAGTCAATTGAAATGGATACCCGGAGATAAGGGTAAGGGAATTTGATCAGGATTTATTTTCTAAAAGATGAGATTGATAAAAGATATCGATAAAAGAGACGGCAGCTTTTTTCTGAACGAATCTTTTAGAATATATTGTGATTGGTCTGTGTGAATCACAAGCATTGATTGAAAGATCACAAGCACTGAGCATGCACAAGAATTGAAAGCATCCTTATTTCATCAATTTCAGAGCACGAACAAGAAGAGAAAAAGATTGTGAATGAAAGTGGGGAAAAGAATGGAAAAGTGATGGAAATGAGCACAGAAAAGACACCAAATACGAGTGAAAAACAAAAAGAAATGGTTGAAGTGAGCACTGAGAAAAAAGAGGAGAAAAAAGAGGAGCAAAAGGAGGAGGAGGAGGAGAAACGAGAGATTCCTAAGCCTAAGGAATTGAAAGGTTTGTTAGCACTGTTTGGAGCACAATCTTTACAATGTGTACACATATTTGTTTTCTAAAAAGCCTTCGGAGAAGTTACCGTACCGAAGCTGTGTATTCTTTAATAACAAAATACTTTAGAAGAAGAGACTCCAACAAAAGTGCTGACAAAAGTGCTGACGCCGAAGAGCTGTAAGTTTACCCACAAATATTTGAGCTCGATATAACAAAGCACAAAATAATGGAAAAGTACACACTAATACTAATAATACCGTAAATACTCTAATAGAACGCTACCCGCTCGTATAGTGGCGTAGTCTAACTTCTTTTCAAAAAATCATTCTTTTCCCAGCCCTTAGACTTTTCCCAACATTATTGGTACCTTTTGGTACCAAAAAATATTTCAAGGGCTATCATTTGACACCAAAACGCACACTGTAGCATAAAGCAGCGCGGAGAACGGAACGTTTAAAGTTAGACTAGGTGACTGTACGCCCGTCATTATTGGAATGGCGTTCTAGTAGAGTATTTACGGTAGGCTACTGGATAATAATGCACATTTTAGCGGAAAGAGAAGAATCAGAAGAAAATGAAAAGCCACAAAGCACCGAGAAGACACTGAAATCACGAGAATGTAAGCACGATGAATGCTAATTTCATTTCCTTTTCTATTTTTACGTTTTTCGGGTTACACTGTTTGTGGGGGTGAAAGGAGGCATTTCTTGGTGATTGAGATGGGATTAGGTTTAAGCTGTGTAGAGTGTGTTGCCAATTGCTCTGAAATTTTGTTACAAGCAGAGAATCCTAATTTCCATTTGTAAACAATCGGAACAATCGGCCAAGAGACGCCTGAGAAAACGAAGGTGGAATTAGGTTTGGATTGGAATTTTTTGCAAACTAAAGAGCACAAAGTAGAGCTAGACCGTGAACAGTTTTCTTGCCGAATCCCAAGCAATCCCCTCCTCACTCTTTTTCCATTTCACTCACTTTGCAATACAGTTTCTTTTCAGTTTCAATCAAATCTTGGGTATTTCAATAGTCTTATAATTAGTAAATCATTCTTTACCTCACCAACGTCTTTCCATTTTTATTTCTTTTTGTCTGTGATGGGATTTGGTGTTTGCAATTATTTTTTGGGTTTTGGTCACTTTGTGTTATTGTTTTGTGTATCATTTTGAATAAAAGCTCACCAAATGTCCCACAAAATGCATGTCATCGGTTTTTGAAGAGGAAACTAACATGGTATGGTGCACTTAGGTTGAAAGAAACGTTAAACAAGAAGCTGTAACGAGTCCTTGCTTTGTGTCTGCCGATAAAGGCTCGTCCCTCTCAAGATCATGATACTTTTAAGCTTACGGTAGCCTTTTACCTTTCCCTTGAATGTGTAGAAAGCGTTTATTAGTGTGCACAAAGTACGGGCTTGTATGCACAAATGTAACTTTCAAATCTAGGGAAGAATGAGGAGATCACAGCAAAGCCAATCATTGTCACATCAACGACAACAAGCACAACAATCACCACCGAATCGATCACAATCACCACTGAAAATGTGCCCGAGATCATCAAGACACAATGTGAGTTCAGATTTAGTGTATGGAGTTAGAGTTTGAATGATGTAGCGTGTAACGAAATTTGAGTCTGTTTTGATGTGGTGCAAAGTTTGGTGTAAGTGCTTTGAGTGCTCTGATAGTGATTGAAAGCTATCAACATTCCCATATTTTATCCACCTCACTTTTTTAGGGATGCTAAAACAATGCCATAATAAAAAACGTTCAAAACAACGCCGCTTTCTCACAATCCAAAAAAACTAAGCCGATCGTTTTATACTAAAAAATTTCCTTGCGTTCTTGGCTACATGCTGGGTAAAACGGTTTTAAAAAAAAGTTAATATTTTATAGTTAAAATTAGCGTTCAAAATGAGTGCCGAGTTGATTAACTGACTTGGTTAACTGAACATCTTTAGAAACTGACTGACATCTTTAGAAAGCTTTAGAAACTGACTTGGTTAACTGAGCATCTTTAGAGAGCCATTTTGAGCGATTTGATTTGATTTTCGGCGAGGCCGCCTTCGCCACCAGCTTTTGTTCCAAATGTTTTTCCAGTTTCGCCAGACTTTGACCAATTTCGTCCTCATTGCTTGCCATCCCTAAATTAAAAATGTCGGCAGAGTAAAGGAGACAACATAAACATAAAACATAATCAAAAAGAAAAAAAGATAAAGCATCACAAAAACCCCAACTAATTTAATTGACAATTGTCCAGAATGAAATTTTTCTCTAAGTTTTATGCTCAAAATATCCACCATATAAAACTGACAACTTTTAGATTACGGTAATAGGGGCACGCTCAGACAAAAAAATTCAATTGCTTTTTTGGTTACATGTTGTTTAACTGAATATCTTTAGGGATTTAATTTTGAGTCATTTTGAAGCCATTTTGAGCCCTTTTTTTGTGAAATATTAACTTTTTAAGAAATTTTTAAGAAAAACTGTTTTACCCAGCATGTAGCCAAGAACGCAAGGAATTTTTTTTTAGTTTAAAACTTGACTGACTTGGTTTTTTGGATTATGAGAAATCGGCGTTGTTTTGAACGTTTTCTATTATTGCGCTGGTTTAACTACGTCCCTTTTCTATTTTCAGCCACTTCTCCACCGAGTTTCACAACAAAATCTCCCATCGATTCCCCTCCAATCACAACAAATCAATCATTTCAATCAGTCACTCATGATCCCCGTTTCTTAAACAACACCCGTGCATTGATTGAAGAAAGAGTCATTGATATTAATCATTTACTCGATTTACCACCAAGACCATCAACCACTACAACAAGCACAACAGTGACAACACCACCAAGCACCACAATGATCAATGAATCTGATCCAGGTTGGTTAATGGGGTCAAGCTTAGCAATAAAAAGACTGACAAGCTTTAGAAAAACTTTCACTTAACACTTTTAGAGCTGCAAGTTTTCCCGAAGAATTCGAGTTGCCAAAATATAATTTTCCCATTTTAGAACCTCTGAATAGACAAGAATTTTCCAAATCCAATTCAAAATCAAACCAATCAAAACCAATCAAGCCAAAACTAAACCAATCAAAAGAAGAGTTGAATCGAGAAATCCCAAAAGAATTCCCCAGTTTGAATCTTTTTCGACAACTTTCATACAATGGAAATATCACAATTTGGAGAGAATTTGTCGATGGAAAAACATTGAACAATACAACAGTAGCCGATAAAGATGAGATTACGGTAGAGAAGCCACCAGATAGAAACGTCTTTTTGTTACCATTTAGGGAAAGGCAAAATGAGATGCCGAATCGATTTAAAATACCAAAAATGAATGCGAAAAATGAGGAGGAACAAAAGCGAGAACTTTGGCCTGATTTTGAGAAAACTACAGTGCCAAATGAAATACGATCACCTCAAAAGATCCCACTTTCTACAGTATCGCAAGGAGAGACTTCAATTGTTCGATCTTCTACCGTAGCCAATGGAAATCAATCCCAAGAAGATCAAACAGCAATCAGCATTAATCAGCAATTAGCCGGATCGTCTACCACAATCCAAACACCTCACCAAGTCACTACCGTAATCCCAACGAAATCCAAATCTCAAATCCAATCCAATCTGATCCAATCCAATCTGATCCAATCAAATCCAATCCATTCCAATCCAATCCATTCCAATCCAATCCATTCGAATCGAATCCAATCCAATCCAATCCAATCAACCAATCCAAAAGACCCCCAATTCTTTACCTCAACTACCGTACTCCCGTTTGACGAGATTTTTGAGGGAACAACACCTGGAAATTCTGGGCGAAAACGCAAAATTCTCGACAGTAAACGATTATCCAATCAGAAGATATGGAATTGGACCAATCTGGAACCAGAACCGAAAATATTTGAACAGAAATTAATCGACAATGATGAGAAGAAGAAGCATAAAGAAAACGACAATCAAACAAGTAACGAACGGCGAATTTCGGCGAATTCAACAGCGAATTTTCCAAAAGAAATCCCAACTAGCCCAAGTGAAAAATGGGAAACAGAAAAAAGAAAAGAAAACGAGAATTTAGTGACAAAAGAAGCGACAACAATGAGAACAAATGAAGTGAATGGAAGTGATCTCTGCTCGCCGAATGATCTCAAATGTCTTCTCGAATCAATCCCGAGTGGTAGGATTGAGTTGAAAGAGAAATTTGAAATGAAATGCTTGTAACTTTGTGACTTTTCTTCGGGATTAGGGAAAGGCTGTTTTCTAAAAAGTGACTTTAAAAACTACCGAACTACGGCCAATTTTTCCAATTTTAACTGCGCTGACCAGTTTTAACACATTCGCGACGATGACATTTTGAGCGTACAGTCGCGTAGCTGTTAACTGTTTTATTGATAATTTGGTGATATCTACTATATATAAAGGGATTAAGACGTCTGTCTGTCCGTCTGTCTGTGCGCACTACTCCTCAGCTCCCAGAGGACCGTTTGCAATGACTTTTGCGCCGTTGAATAGGAAATTACATGCAGTTGTGCAACGTACTTTTGAATTTTTAAAAAAGCAATATTCGAGCCGCACGGGAAGGTCGAACCCGGATCGTATGGGCAATAGACCGACGCGCTATCTACTGCTTCACGGCGACAAAAGCAGTTTACCCCCAAAACATCCACTGGCTTTAGAGCTAAAGCAACTAAGACGTCTGTCTTTTTGTGCGCGCTTTTCCTCAGCCCCCAGAAGACCGTTTCAAATGATTTATAGTTAGTTTGGCTTATAATTTCATGTAGTTGCGCAACATGGTTTTAGATGTTTAAAAAAGCAAAGGTGTCGACGTGGGCGGGAGTCGAACCCGGACCGTGCGGGCTAGAGACAAGTGTCCTCGCACTGCACCAGCGGTACGCCGAGTGGGCGAGCGGTTAACAGGCACGTCTTTCAAACGAACGGGAAAAGAGACGGGTTCCCCTCCTCTTAGCGCCAATTCTTTGCTCCAAAACCTTTTTGCAAAGCGGCAACAAGGCTTCTATAATAGCTATAATAGCTCATTCGATAGCCTTGAAGCTCCCCTTGAAAACTAGTTAGCGAGAACTTTCTGCGAAATAAATAATAAAAGTCCTTAAAAATTTGAGTTGACATTAAAAATAATCGTTATTAGTATCGTATCGTCGCGAATGTGTTAAATGAGGCTGGAAAGAAGAAAACTGAGACGTCAGGATTACGATAGCCCTTAAAATCTACCGTAATTTTGTCTAGATCTATCTATCTAAATTTTTATTCACAGAATGCCGAATAACAGCATGCTAAGAAAGCACGCAAGAAAAGAAAAGTCACAAAGTTCACAAAACTGGAGAGAACAAAGAAAGATCGTTGTTTTCAGACTCCCAAGAACAGGGTCCAAATGGGACGGGAACAATGGGGAAAGTGGGGCCAAAAGGGGAGGAAGATGTCAAAAATGAGGATGAGATCACGAAAAAGTTGTACACTGCACGAGTTGATCAGTTTTTTCGTGATCTCCGCAAATTGTTTTCCTCTCCGTGGACAATCGGATTACTATTGGCGCTTCTTGGCAGCGCCATCTTATGCCTGGTGGCCATGTGCTGTTGTTGTCCGAAACGATCGCCAGCTATGGCCTCAACCAGGCTATAGCTCTTCTTCATCTTCTTCATCTCCTCCTCGACTTCCTTCAACTCCAGGCCTTTCCCCATTGCTTTCCCCTTTCCCGTCCCATGCAATCGTCCCCTCCCCTGTCGTCTCTCCTTCGCTTTTTCGGTCTCCACCAACGGCGTCCCGAAAAGGTCCTTTCCTTTCAATATGCACTGCTTTTCAAGGGTAACGGTTGCTTTGCACTTACAGCTGACAGGTACATAAGTAGAGATGTAGATATCTGACAGGTCATAGATATGTCTCTTTTAACGGTTCATCTCTTTTAACGGTCCACTTAGATGGCAAAAGGGTGATCAAAAAGTCCCCGCACATTACAAAAGAGCATCTTTCCACTAACACCCAAACCAAAATTTGACTCACTATATAGTATTTGAAAGCTAAAATTCTGGGAAGCATTTCTACACCTAAACCATCTAGATCAGAGCCATTTAGCTCTCTAAAGAGGCATTGTAGTGCGCTGGAGGCAAACTGTTATCGCGCTCATCTATTTGAATCTATTTTCAATTGAAAAATCCTTCAAAAAGCCTTTTTAAATGTACACTTTTGTTTTAAGTAATAGTTTAATTGTTATTTTAAAAGAATAGAATCTCTCGTTAATATAAAAACGTAAAATAGTCTTCAAAAACATGCGAAACTGTGCTTGTTTGCCCCGAAAAGGTCTGTCTCATTTCGAATGCAGTGCAAGGCTTCTTGAAAAGGCTGGAAATTTCTGATCAGAGTCATTTACTTATAGAAATGTTTCAATTTACTTATAGAATCAGAATTTCAGCTTCAAAATACTATAAAATACGGGAAATTTTGCTTTAGCTTTCATAGAAAATGAATCATTAGCTTGATCTTGATTGGGAACTTGATCTTGATTGGGAACTTGATCTTGATTGGGAACTTGATCTTGATTGGGAACTTGATCTTGATCGGGAACTTGATCATTGATCACTCTGTACAGTAATCCGGTATTCTCTAGTAAGATCTAGAGTAAGTAAGAGTATAAATTGACCGTCTATAGTAAACTGATTTGATAAGCTATCTGATTTGATAAACTATTGCTGATTTGATAAAATATTGCTGATTTGAGATACTATTGTAGCTGATAAGCTTATTGTAGGTTAGATTAAACTGTCTGTAATGTAATGATGCTTTAAATTCGTTCAACCGTTACCCCATTCTTTCACTAACTTTTCCGTTCATTCGGTTACGGTTTTCAACTTTTTTTTTACACCACAAAATCGAGTTTGCACCGAAAAAGCGAAGAAGAGCCGCCATTGGGGGGCGGCCAAAGAAGGGACCCTGTAAATGGGGAATTTTAGGGAAGATCAGTCAACAAGTGGTGGTAAATGAAAGGAATGAAGGGACAACACGCACTCCTAACACAACTATTCACACAACAACAACAACAATAACAACTCCCACATCTGCTACTCCGACAACCACAACTCTATCACCTACTTCATCCCTTTTGCCCTCTTTCCCTTCCACGACAAATCCTCCCACCACATTCCTCCACTCGTCCACTGTCGCTACACCACTTTCGTCAACTGTCGAAACTTCTGAATTCTCTCGTTTACTCACTGAATTCCCTATCCATTCATTGACCAATGATGACAAACAACAGCAACAGCAACATTTTGTGCCACACATCGATTTTCGACAAATCTGGCACGATCGCACAGGTGTGTGCCGGGTTTTGGGAAATTTGGAGAGAGAAAATGTTTTGGGACTATGCGGTTATACCCCTCCCCCAAAAAATTTTATAGTAAACATTTGAGGTAACAGCAAGAAGGGTACTAAATCTAAAGAACTAAATCTAAAGAGCTAAATTTAAAGAGCTAAATCTAAAGAACTAAATCTAAAGAACTAAATCTAAAGAACTAAATCCAAACTAAATCAAGAAGAGTACTTAAAGTTTCCAGAATGTATCGGTAAAATAGAAAATTTAGGATTGTTGTGAAGCTCTAGTAGGCTCAGTGAAGCTCTAGTAGGCTCAGTGAAGCTCTAGTAAGCTCAGTGAAGCTCTAGTAAACTCAGTGAAGCTCTAGTAATCTCAAAAACCTTGCAGCAACAAGAAATAAATCACTCAAAAGAAAGCAAGTAAACAAAAAATGTTTAGATCACTATTTCAGCTGTCTTGTAACTTTAAAATGTAAATTTTAGGGTATAACCGTATTGAATCACTTAGCTTTTCCATCTATAAGGGTATAACCGTATAAAAATAATGTTTTCATAGACCTAGCTAATGAACAGACAGCTAAAGCCTAGTGATAAGTGCTAAGGAGTAGCTAGTATACTTTTCTCTCTCTCTTAAATTTCCCCTCCACCAATTCTTTCTCAATCGGGAATTCTTTAGAAAGCACAACTGTCAAATTGCAATTTCCTGAATCTTCAACGATTCAAAGCACAATTCTGTCAGATGAACGGGTACAAAACTTGGTGGAAAGAGGAGGTTGGTGGAAGAGAAATTCAGTAATATCACAAAAACAACACGGCACATAGAAGATCTTTCTCCAAAGCATCTTTTAAAGATCACTGGCTTCTAAAGATCACTGGAAAAGCTACCGTAATCCTATCGAGGCTTTTCTAAATCGCGGTTGCTTTTTCTGGCCTTTCTGGCATCTGGCAAAATTAAATAAACCACTTGACTTGCCCCGTTTCAAAAAATGAAAGCTTTCTCATGAAAGCTCTGACAAATTTCTCAAATTTTTCCTAAATCTTTATTGAATTGCAGTGCCTAATCACGTATCGGATCGTTTGAATCGTGTTGATGTGTGGAAAAGCATGAAAATAAAAGAAGAATTCGGAAAAGATCCGATTGAAGTCAATGAAATCTCTATTGCACTTATGAACACGCAGAAATCAGGTTTTGTCTTAGAAACTAATCAAATTTCAAGGATTATCTATCTATAATTTAAAGCTGAACTATAATTTAAAGCTTTAAAGCTTGATTAAGACCTGAATCCCTTAAACACTTGCACGTTTTCAAGTCATTTTGTTTTTTTTTCTATTCAAAAGTTTGCTTTGCAAAGAGTATTTCAAATAATCATCAAATTTCAAATAAGCAATCACTGAATCATCGAATGAAATGAAGTTTAGTGTCACCAACAACCGATCCACGAGCACTCACCGATCTTTTACCCAATTTCACATGGTTCTCCACCCGTTCTCCACCTCTTCCACCGCTCGATGCAAGCACTGAATCACCGAATGAAATGAATGAATTGAACGAATTGAATGAATTGAATCAATTGAATCAATTGAATCAATTGAATGAAAGGAATGAATTGATTGATCGAGTCACTCCTCCAATCATATCACTTTCAACTCCCACACCCGATTCATCACTTCCAGAAATTGTTGAGAATCACCTCGTCAATGAGCACAGTTTGGATCCTGATTATGAGGAGTTCCCCAAACCACAAGGTGTGATTTTGATTTGGCAGTTTGAAAAAGATTTTGAAAAGCTAGACTGGCTATAAGAACTGATAGTCTAAAGAATTTGTTTGGCTTTGAAGCAATGCTTTTTGTTGCTTCAACAAAAAGCATTTGTTTGAATGTAGTGGAATGATCTGAATGTTTTCCTTTTTGCAGTGCCATCGATCTCTTTTCCACTCGAAGAGCTTCCATTGACATTAGAAGAAAAAGAAATGAATGACGATCAACCAAATGAAACAACTGAGGGACCAAAAGAGAGATCGATTGAAGCTCTTTGTAGGTCACAGATCACTGTTTACAGAACGATGAATAGACTTTTTGAATGCCGTGCTAGTTTGTCCACACTTTGAATGCTTGTATCAAATAGATTGTATCAAATAGCTTGTATCAAATAGATTGTATGCAAATAGCTTGTATCAAATAGCTTCTATCAAGTAGCTTACATTTCTGCAAAATTCAGTCTACAGTGTACTGTAGTTTTAAAAAACAATAAGCTAAAAGCACCACGACAAACTTTTCATTTTTCAGTTAAACCGGATATTTTCGTGAAAAAAGATGTGCAAGGAAGCAAGGTTTGCTCAGAAAAATAAATTCTAGATTTCTTAGGATACACGATGTCTTTTTATCAGTTTTATTTGCTTTAGATCAATTTCTACAATGAAGTCGATGAGTTGCCCCCAATCTCCCACCATCGCGGCATTTCTGTTCAATATTTGGGTAGGAATTTTCACGGTTATTAGTTTAAAAATCTTACTGTATATAAAATGGTCAATCTATAGGATGATCAATCTATAGAATGACCAATCTATTCATAGAATCACCAATCTATAATAATAGTCGTTTTCCTAGGATCCTCAATAAAGAGTAGAGTTGGAACTAGGCAGATCAAAAACTCCTGTGCCGCCGGGCCTCGAACCCTCGATTTTTCGCTTACCGGGCAACTGTGCTAACCATTACACCATCCCCTTACTCTAGAGGGAGTTAACTGTAGCACAGAAAGCCTCTTGAGAATAAAGAGCACGGAAAAGCGGCGGAGACAAGGTGAATTGCCAGAGCGTTTGTCTCTCAGCGAGCGAGGATGCCAGGTTCGACCCCGGCTACAGCACCACAGCCCCTAGTTCCTATGGATAATCCGTAGGAACTAAGGATGATATCTACGGATAAAAAACACCTTTTTACAGAAGCCGATCGCCCGGATGACGCCAATTTCCCCGAACCCTCGCAAATCCTTCAACCAGCCTCACCAAAGCCTCTATTGACAAAGGTTTGGTGAATATCTAATACATATCTGATATCCACTGATATTATGACCAATCGATAGTTCCCCACTTTATTCAGGTTTTCTTGCCGGGTCCCGGGCCAGTGAAGGGCAGTCGCAAGTGTTGCTCATGCTGTGGACGAGCTGGGGTATTAAACATAATAATACATTTATTCACACAAATAATTTGATTCGATATCGGAATCCTCGTTTTTCTTGGGTGTGGTTTTCCGATCACTTTGCACGATCATTTGCACAACGAGATTCTGGGTTTATTGGGGTTAAAATGCCTTCTAAAAAGTGTACTTCTAAAAAAACTACCGTAACCCTACTATACTGTAGCCTTTTTGGGGTTTAATTCTTGCGTTTTCTTTCTCTAAAAGCGCTTTGCATGCGAACAGCAACCGCTCCACTGAATCTCTGAATCGATTCATCCACTTGCAAATCGCTAATCTTTAATTTTTATCTGTATAATATTTCAAAACCTTTTAATCTATAAATATATCGAAATCTTCTCGATTTTCCCATCTTTTCAATTCACAATCTTTCCATTCATAGACACCACCACGAGCACCCGAAAGTCACCGATTTGATGAATTAAAGGTGAGCTTTCTGAGGGTTATTGTGGTTTAAAACCACAAATATTGTGGTTTAAAGTCAAAAGATTTCTGGTTTTAGATTGGTTTTTAGTTGGAGGGTTTGGTTTTTGTTTTTAAATCTTTGTAGAATATTTACATTTAAATAGAGCTCGCATTTTCAGAATAAAATCCTGGTGACCCCGTCGAACGCATCGCCCAACGAGGCTCGACTCATTCAGCAAGAAGGTTTCTTTGAAATTAGCTCGACATCTTATAGAAACTTTCTAAAATTATAAAGTAGCGTTTATTTCATCATATGATATGATATTTCCTTTCAGCCCAACCCACACCGCCCCCTCAATATCCCCAACCATCGCAATTCCCTCTCTTCTCACCCCAGCAACCGCAATATCAACCAGGTTTTCTATGTGTTACGTCCGAAAAGGAACAAGCGTCCTGTTTGGAATCGGACGTTCGAAACTGAAGAAATTTTTGTTCAGTTTCCTATCAAAACTAATTTGCTCTATATTTCGAATTACTAGTGTGCTTTGAATTGAATTCACTAGATGTGGCTAGACCTGTGCACTCCTGCTTGAATGAATAACAAAATCAAGTTTATTCAATACATTCAATACATTCAATACATTCAATTCAATTCAATACGTGGGGCAAAGCGTGTAAAAATTTTTCAACGAAGCTCAAAAAAACAATGTTTGGCCCCAGAGACAAAAAGGATCTCGAAAAAAAGAAACCAAAGACGAAAGAAACCAACTTTCACAAGACAAATGATAGAAAACTCCTGCATAAATGGGGAATGCGTTCTTTTATACGCGTGTGAGCGCGACATTGTTTAGAGTACGGTATTTCTGGTGTCTTATTAGAACGCGGCAGCTTTTTGAGGACTCGTCGTCACACGGACGTCCGAATCCGAACCCCAAAGCCGAAACCGAACCCCAAAGCCGAAACCGAACCCCAAGGCCGAATCCGAACCCCAAAGCCGAATCCGAACCCGAATCCGAACCGGACGTCCGAAACTCAATGAATTTTTCAAATCCAAATTTCGCTTGATCCAAAAGCAGAGGATTATTTCAATCTTGTTGTATTTCCATGCATCTAAAGTTCTAAAGAATCTACAGTTAAAAGAAATCTGAACGAAAATAAACTCCATTCAGTTTCGGACGTCCGAAACTGAACAAAAAGTAAAAAATATGCATTGCTATCCAATTTCAAATCTCTCAATTTCCAGTTTACCCTCAATCCTCGGGCTGTCCATGCCAATCACCCCCTCAATCCCCGTGTTGTCAGCCAGCACAGCCATGTTGCTTACGTAAGCTACTTCCTAGATCTTTATGTAGATAAAAGTGTTCAAATGATAGAAGTCTTTCTTCAGCTCAACTTTCCCTTCCACTTCCCCGTCCATGCTGTATCCCACAAGCTCAATTGTGTTGTCAACCACCTCCCCCTCCTCCAATCGCCTGTTGTCCCCCACCACCGCCGTGTTGTTCACAGGTTTGATTTACGTAAATTTACGATCCAAATGTGCTTACTCTCATCCATTTTCTATTTATTGCTCACATTATTTGGTCAGAACTTCTGGACAGCCAATCGAAAAGTACTTTTTTTTCCAACAATACCCATTTAGCCGGTGATTCCCCCATGCCAACGTGCCTGCCCATCTTGCCCATGTCGAAGAAGAATGGCCTTGGCGATCAGAAGGTATCAGAAGGAGCAGAAGATCAAAATGATAAAAAAGATAATCAAATATCAACATTCCCTACCTGTTTTTTGTTTAGATTAAAACGCCAATCACTTTTTGGCTCATGTCAACAATGTTCTCTTTCTGGGGAACCATATCGAGCCTCCGAAATACAAGTTTGTTTAAAAAGCAATAACATTTGTAAGCTATCAATCGATTTCAGCTACCAAAAGCTATCAATCGATTTCATAAAATATTAAGTATTTGTTTGATTTGTCTACAAATGTCTACAAATGTCTACAAATTTATCTAGGGAGGCTGTACAAATTGTGCGGCTCGTTTAACTGGTTTCCGTTCGAAACGCTCACCCGCTGATGATGTTCTCAAGTTTTTGGTTTGTATCAAAGAGGGATTTATAAAAATTCTACTAACATCCTGAAAAACTTGTTTATAACTTGTTTACTAAACAGTAAAGCTTTTGCTGAAGTTTTACATTTCTAAATATCTTTCAGGGTTTCCAAGTGTCCGCCCCAAGTTGTGCTGCTTGTAGCGGAAGTGCGATGAGAATGGCACGGAGAAGGAAAAGACAAGTAAGCAGAAAAGCTATGAAGAAAATATCTGGCTCATAATTACGAAAAACTACACATTCGCTATAGAATAATGGAGCTCAAAAAGCACTACTTTTATAGTAATTCACTCTAAAAACGTATTAATGCAGAAAAAGACGCAAAGACGATTTTTATAGACCCCAAACTCGAATTTAACTGTTTTTCAGCATCGTGCAGCATAGCATTTTTTGTAATGCTCGGCTAGGGTTGTCAAAGTCATTAAAAAAATGTTATGGTTCTTCTATTCTATGTAAAATTATGATTTTATGACTAATTGTTATTGATTTTATGATTAATTGTTGTTTTTCAGCTTAGGTTAATCTTAGAAAGTCTTAGAAAGCCAAAAAGATACATTAAGCGCAACACTATACGCACTATGTACAACAAGTACCTCATTTGGCACCAGATTACGAGTGCACAACGGATTGACACTTTGTCGACGGCAAATATTAGCAAATTTTTTCTAAAGTTCCTAAAGCTAGCTAAACAGAATTTAGAACCTTAAAGATAGCTTTAAGTAGCTTTTAGCTTTAAGTAGATTTAAAATTTTAGGGTTTATTAGTACAGAAATGAAAAGGCAACGATATCCAGTACAAAAAAAGGTGAAGTTAAACATCAAATCCTGAAAGAACACGGGCAAAACTCCAAATCCAAAGCGAGAAGCCACAAATCCAAGTTCTCCCAAAAAAAAACCAAAAAAAGAAATTTGCGGAGAGGAGGAGACGAAAAAGTGACGCAAATTGAATGAGACGAAAAAGCGACGCAAGTTAAATGCAAATAGGAACGTAATTTTTGAAAGCAACGGACGCGACCATATAGATACACATTCACCATACACATTCACTACTTTATAAATTATGATTTACTTTATTTTATGGTAGAGTTTTATCATAGAGTTTTATGATAGAGTTTTATGATAGAATATCTGTTAATTTTTAGTTAATCTGTTAATTTTTAGACCGGTTGCGAATCCGGATGCACACGACGAAAGAGAGAAACCGAAACACTACAAAGGGAGAAAAGGAGTGTAAGTTTGAAAATTTCGACTTTTGATTTGTAAAATTCTGTAGCGGATAACAGTTAAATAAAACTAGTTAAATAACTTACAAACTCCTTTAGAACCCAATTGGATGCTCTCCATGCAACAATCTCGGACAACTCTTTGCCCGATCAAAGCGAGAAACGGTATGTGCAATAAATTTCAGACCTTTAATAACCTAGACTTTAATAAGCGTAGTATTAAATAACGCTTATTTCTAAATAGCTTATTACTAAATAGCTTATTTCTAAATAGCTTATTTCCTTAGTCATCAAAACAAAAAGCAAAAACATAGGAAAACCGGGTAAAGCGCTCGAGTTCACCTTTTGGATGTCCGTGTAATGCAAGAGTTTCGACAAATTACGGTCAATCGCTATTCGGACGATATAAACGACAGGTAATGAAGGTATTTTACACTTTTATTAGTGCAGGGATTTTTCGAGGAGGATTGTGAGCACATGTGACGCCTATATGATCTACCCGGGTCCAGATTTCGCTAGATCTAGCAAAATTTACCAGTTTCACCCCAAATTTCGCAAGCTTAGGGAATCACTTTTCCAGTTCTTTTCCATTATACAAAATAAACCCCCGATCATTTCCGTTATACATCCGCAAAATTTGCATCTGCCATTTGCAGTCTGCCAAATTTGCATCCTTTCATGAAAATGAACAAGGAAAACCACAGAAAATTCATTCATTTGCTATTTCCTGACGGCGCGGTGGAATCATGTTTCGCTTACCAACTACCGAGATCGATACAATCTCGTTCTTTCAACAACAACAACAACAACAGCAATCTTGCTTACCACTTGCACATGCGCCAACCATCACATTGTAAAGTTATCGCTCAATCAGAATCCCCGATGGAGATTTGACAAAAGGTCGAGCGATCGACAGCGACGATCGAGCGATCGGACAGCGATCGGCCTGCGTGTTGGCTCATGGATGGAGGGCACCAAAATTCCGTTTCTCACAATCCTACGATTTATCTATGGATGGACTCAACAGTGAACCTCGATCAACTATTGTGCGAAAGAATTGGAGATGAATCAGACGACTTCAACAACTAGGATTCTTTGGATCTCGATTGATTTCGATTTTTGAATTGATTCATCAATTTTTGATTATTAAATGATTAAATTTTGCGGATTTATAACGGAAATGATAAGGGGTTTATTTTTGCGGATGTATAACGGAAAGGAACTCTCTTTCATATGTAAAACTTTTGCTGGCTGTTTGTTTGTTTTAAAAACTAGATGCGATTCTACGTTGCAATTGCAAAATTTAATTAGAATAATTACAGTAGCCCAATTCAATTTCATTCAATTCAAAAGTACAATTCATTCCAAATTTCAGGTGGAAACAGTAGCCGAATGTGATGCAACTTGTTGTGATTTCTCTTCATGTCCTAATGAGGCGAGTTTCGAGCGATCACGACACCGATACTTTAGATCAATCCTCTAAATCTTGACTCAATTACGGCAAGTCTATGATTCAACTGAACCCATTCAATCACTGCTTAAAATTCGTCCTTGTTACAGTAAAACGAATGGCTAAATTGGTACAAATTGATACAACAACCGTAGTCTGTTCTTGCTTAGGCTGATCGGCATATTTGAAATCTTAAAATGTAGCCCAATGACCCACTCTTGCCTACAGAGATCCCTTCCGCGAACTTGCTCAACCCCTGTCCCTTTCCCCTTCACCTCCCCAAATCTTTCATCTCATTGCCATGATCTTAAAGAAATATAATACTGTATATTAGATTTTATATCTATTATTATTATTATTATTATTATTATTATGATCATTATTATTATTATTATTTTATTATCATTATCATTATCATTATTCTAATTACATTATCATTATTCTAATTTTTACCTTTCAAACTACCTCAGGAAATCCCTTCCCCTGTGCAATAGTGAGAAAATTTTTAATTGCAAAAATTTATCGGTGACATTTTGCTAATCCAATACTTTATTTTTATCATATCATATCGTTTCATTTTATCAAATCAATATTTATCTTGTCAGTAAAAAGATAATAAAAAATTATTTTTGGCGTTTGTTTTGGTGTTTTGGTGTTTAGGCACTTGCAAATAAAACTGCGGATCAAAAAAGCCATGATACAACGACTGTAAGTAAAGATACGGATAATTGATACGACTGTAATTACGACTGTAAGTAAGCCACGACTGTAAGTAAAGATACGGATAATTCGATAATTCGGATTGATTCGTATTTTTAGAAACCTTAATATCTTCTCTTTTTAATGATATAAAAGTTATTTTAAAAAGCTTCCTTTTGGAAGGGAAATGAAAGTTTCAAAAAAGGCACCAAAAAGGATCTGTCGGAGCCGAATCTGAACTCAAGTTTTCTCCACGGTTTTTTAATAAATGTTTTGTCACTAATATCAAATAAAAGAAGTTTTCTAGCTAAAACAAATAAGATAAAAATCAGATTTATTCGTTGCGTACTCTTTGTTAAAACAATTTTTGAAAATAAGCTCTAAAACCGAATTTTTTTGACCCTTTTTTGAGTCTCTTTAAAGGAATTTTTATAATGGAATAGTCCACCAAATTTGTTTTAGTTTTATAGCTTCTATTAAGTAAATAGCTGTAAATAACTTCTATTAAGATTGAGCTTCTGATCTGTCAATGATTTAGACCGGGATTTCGTCAAAAAGAATCCTTTTGTTATAAGTTTAAGCCGCCGTCAAGTCGTTTTTGGTACCTTTTTGAAAAGTCTATATTCTGCCCAGAAACGATCACTGCAGATTTAGAGAGATAAGGAACCAAATTTGCAGAGATTAGCAGAGAACTCTTTTTATACCGTGAAAAAGAGAAGATATTGTGGTTTCTAATTCAATTGAAAAAATACTAATCAAACCGGATCCTCTTTACTTACAGTCGTTTTATGATGGTTTTTATGATCGGCAGTTGCTTTTGCAAACACCTAATAAAGCAGTGAACTCCGTTTATCGCATGAAACAATACCAGAAAGCGTGAAGAACACCTAAATTGAGATTGAATTGAGACTTGAATTGAGATTCTTTTTATTGAGAAAAACAAAGAAACAGACTTCGTTTACTATACTTTTTGAAAACCAACCTCCCAACCAAAAACAAAAAATGCAAAGTAAAATGTTGATCAACACGTGTATATCACATTGTTTTCCGTGGAAGAAAACGGCAAGTGGCTGAAGTTTTTGAGTTGATTTTGAGTTTTGATCTTTTTCAAGAAAATTCATGTCATTTAAAGCTTTCGACTATGGAGATTCAAATTCAAATTCAAATTCACGTAATTTTGTTATTTTATGTCATCTATGACCATGGGTTGTTATTTTATGTCATCTATGACCATCTATGACCATCTATGTCCTCCATGACCACAGCCAGAATTTCACGACTTTCAGTCTAACGACCCGAGCTCCTCGAGACTTCCCCCAATCAATTTCCGACCAAAAAATTGATTTCTTAAAAATCACAGGCTGTAAAAACTGTTTAAACAGTTTTTTTGAAAGAATTTAATGGGCTCATAAGGGGCATTTTAGTTTAAAAATTTCGATAAAACCACTTTTTAGGCATTAAAGGGGTACGCCGGCCTAAGGAAAGTCAGGGTTAAATTAAGCACCTGTTTTTCACGTCTCCTTAAGTCTGATTTTCACCTTTTTCTAATTATTCTTTTAGAATGTAATGTTTTCTATTAAAAAAACAAAAAATATTTAGGATTGCTGCTAAATTTGAGAAAATACATGCGAAAGAAAAAAATGCAAGTTCTAAAATGCAATTGAACGGAACCTTTATATACTTTTTGCTCAAATATCCCGTTTTAGGGTGGGGAAAAAGAAGAATAATTAGAAAAAGGTGAAAATCAGACTTTAGGAAAGCAAAAATCGCGTTTTTCTTCATTTCATCGATTGGAAACCTTGAGTTAATTCCCTCTGGAGGAAGGGAGTTAACTCACTAACTGAATGCGAATGCTAACTATTACACCACAACGAATGCGTTGTGGTGTAAGCACAGTTGTAAGCATAGTTAGCACAGTTGCCTGTTAAGCCAAAGGTCGCGTGTTCGAGTCCCGGTGGCGCACGAGTTTTTGATCTGCCCTAGTTCCAACTCATGTTTTTCATCTAAGAAACAGTTGTAGGGAAAAAGACATCGACTGAGCAACATGAAAAACGGTTGTCCATAGTTTTCGAGATCAAAAAAAAGTGAAAATGGCCAACTTTTTTGGGTCACTTTTATCGGCTGAATAACTTGGATGCTAAATGACTTCCACACTTTCGATCAATTGCATTTTTGTGTAAATACTACGGTAAGTGTCCTCAAAATCTCTCTAGCTTCTCACCGGCAGGAAAATGCATAGAATGATCTCGATGATTTGATCGGAAGACATTGCTTCAACGGATAACTGAATGTTTCTATTTGAAAGGAAAACTCAGCACTTGACATTGAAGAAATAAAGCGAAAACAAACAATAAGAAGCTAATGTTTGTACGGAAAAGGATCGTAAATGAATAAAATCAATGGGGGTGGGACAAATACTACCTTTTTTTGCGCACCTGGACATTTGCGCACCTTTTTTTTGCTGGAAAAGGCCTTAGGAAAGGTCGTAGAGCTTCAAAAATGTTTTCCTAGAAGGGAATCGTATGCGTAGATTCCGAATTTCGACAAATCAGACCTCGCTGACACGTCAAATTTGGGCTAAAAGGCAAAAACTACGCAATTTAACGCTATTCCGCAGTTTTTGCCTTTTGACGTGTCAGCGAGGTCTGATTTGTCGAAATTCGGAATCTACGCATACGATTCCCTTGCATGGAAATATTTTCGAAGCTCTACGGCCTTACCTAAGGCCCTTTCCAGCAAAAAAAAGGTGCGCAAAAAAGGTCGCATTTGTCCCACCCCCAAATCAATTCACCTCAAACTTTCATCACTTTCAAGCTGAGAATTTCGATAAGGAAATCAGTTTCTCGAAGGAATGCGTCAAAATAAACACAATTTCCTGGAGCAATAAATAAAAGAAAAAGAAAAATGTCAAAGAAAAAACCACTAAACAAAAAACACAGATTGCCTCAAATTCAATTAGCCAATAAAATGATTTTGGATTTGAAAAGTTAAAGCCATTGACCTTTTAATCTTTTACTTTTGTAATTCGTATAGACAAAGGAACCCTTTTTCGAGATAGGTACTGAAATTGTAAGATGTAAGAAGTGTCCAATCTCAAAACTTGAATCAAAACTCAAAACCGCAGCATTTACTCAATCACTATTTTCTCTCCACTTCAACCCTCATTTTGCAAAAAAAAGGCGATCGTAAACAGAAATATTCTTGAATTGACCCGTTTTGAGTTAAGAAAATAACTTTTTGAGTGCATAAACGATTCAACGAAACTTTAACGATAAAATGAATACTTGACTTATAGCAAAATAGCAGAAATCGAAAATAAATTTCTCGAAGGAATGCGTCAAAATACATCAAATTTCCCGTAGCAATAAATAAATGTTGTGTCAATATTTGTCTGATAAAAGCCGGAAATATGAGTAGACCATGTGGGGGTGAAATACCCCCAATAGGTGAAAATAGGAGGTTGAAATAACCAAAAAAAACGTGAATTGGATCGTTTTTGGGGAAATGGCTCACTTATCGCTGAGTCAAAAAGGTAGAAATGTTCACAGAACCTACGGATTTTAATTTCTCGAAGGTTTCGATTTTTCTCGATTCAATTATTCAATTATATTCACTAGATTCAATAGCTTTAATAGATTTAATAGAATCTACTATATATAAAGCAGAAGAGACGTCCGTCTGTCTGTGCGCAGCCATTGACAAAAAGGGGCGGGGCTTAGATTGCGTGGAAAACGTGAACCTTCCCAGTGGAAAACACGATTAAGTTTAACGATGTCCGGTTCTGAACCGGACGAAATTCAATAACGAACGTAACATATATAGGAGATTCTGTGAACATTTCTTGCTCTTTGACTCAGCGATAAGTGAGCCATTTCTGACTGCGCCACGGCGGCCAAAACTATGTGTCAGCCCCAAAACATCCAGCCGAAAAACCCGCCGTTAAGCGAGTTTTTCGTCTGGTGAAGAGGCGACCGTATTTCCCTCAAATGAAGGATTCCTAACAAATATTTTCCAATAAAAGCTGCTGTTGCCTTTCATTGTAAACATTTAGGTCTTATTTGCGCACCAATCTATGCCAAATAACTGAAAATCGCTCGATTCGCTCCTGTTTAATTTTGCGATAGCATAGCAAAAGTACGATAGCTTTGCCCGCAAGTCTCCAACTTTTAGAAAACACTTTAGGTGAAAAGGGGTAGGTATTGAGGGTAAAAGTGCCCGAGAAAAGAGAGGCATATGAGAAAAAGTAAAGGGGTAAATACCGGCCTCTCTCTCCTTCCATTTCCAATTTAACGTCAAGACTGATTCATGTGTGTATTTGTTCCCTCCCCTTCTCCCCTTCAACACCAACAAATTCTTGAGAAAGTTTTTTGAATAATGCATTTTTGAAAAATGAGGCATCGTCTACTTTGGGAAAAAGATGGGCTCATTTTGATTGTTTAGCCAGTTCATTTTCCTAACTATAAGAATACCATTATCACATACTTTAACACTACTGTAACATAAAATTATCCAGAAGGGGAAAATCGAAGTGTCCAAGAAATAAAACTTTCAAACCCAAGAAATTTGCCGGCTTTTGCAAGAAAAACGTCGCTAACCACGAAAATTTCACTGAAATAAGAGTTCTCGGTTGCCTGGATCGTTTCCATGTTTTCCAAATTACCGAATCCATTCAGAATCTTCTCGGTTTTTAAAATTTCCCCTCAAAGATCTCCCCAAAACTCATCAGAATTCATAAGCTGAATAACCAAAAACACAAACGGCGAACACGTAAAAGCCAGAAAAAAAAGCAGTGAAAATTGTGTACTTCGTTAGTTCAATGGACGGAATTATTTTCCATTTGAAGCAAGCAAAAATGATTTCAGAAATACTATCCGGAAACAAAATCTTTACTAATGTTCGTGTCAATGTTATCGTCGAATTTCTCTTTCTTGTTTTCCTCTTTCGATCACTTCCGAGTCAATCCACGAGCCGGTGCTTTCATCAGTTTCTGAGGCCTAAAAAGTTAACTATTTCTATAGTGGCTATCATTTCATAAATTAACTCTCCTTGTTTACTCAATGAAATGACAACTTTTCACCATTTTTCTAGCTTTGTTCCATTCATCAGTGATCTCACATCGTTCGAGTACAAACATCCGCACTACATCCCAAGTGAAACGATCGCAAAAGATTGTCTAAAATGAAAAGAAACCATATGCCGGAGTATGAGGTCATGCAAAATGTGAATGAAATGTATAATAAGACAATAATAACTAAAAACTACCTGATGACTTGCATTGACGATCACCGGTTCGGTCGCATTCGCAATTCGTCTACTCAATACAAGGCTGTGATCGGGTCTGGAATAAAAAACATTAAACTTTAATTTAAAATTCTTCACTTGATAATACCATCCATGTCACCGTGACAGATCAAAGTTTTGCATAGAATTTTCTCAGCTCGATCAAACCTAAAATGGAATTTCTTGGATACCATTTGCATCTCTTTGAAGTTTCCATTTCCAGAAGTTGTCTCTTTGATAAGAATGTGAAACGTACGTGCAAAATTTGTCGTGTTTACAAGTAGTTTCTTTGTCAGGATTGCGTGTCAAGACACGAAGAAATGAGGTGAATGGGGCAAACAGAATCAGAGCACGAACCTAAATAAAAATGCCAATAAAAGATATAACAATACTGTTGCTTCTCTGTTTGATTAAAATCCGAACATAATAAAAAGCAAACCTCTGAATGCTTGGCAGCCAAGAAAGAAACAGCTGCAGTACCAATGGAAAAGCCAAGTAAAATGATGTTCTTTTTGTCATAGCCGAGTTTTTCCGTAGCATATCTAAAGAAAAATAGAAATATTGAACCAATCCAGCAAATTTACCCCCAAATAGCATCCATATCCGCGTAAATCGTCGCCTCACCCGAGACTCCTGTGCTGATACCATACCCTAAATACAATTTCTTGCAAATCGGTAAGAAGCAATACCTGAATAGTCAAACGCAAGTAAATCGCATTGCAAGAAATCAGCTATATCAACCTAAACAAAAAATGTTAAAGGTTCCAGTTGAAAACTTACCAAATTCGGATCGGTAAACATACACATTCCAAGATCGGTGCTATTCGGCTGGGCAAAGATAACCAATTGAGGGGATCTAAAAAAGAAGCAATTAGCTTATTAAAGCAATGCATAAAGCTTATTAAAGTAGTAAAATGTTTCTAATTAAGGAAAACTATATTGTTATAAAAATGGTCCAAATACTTTGCAATTCCAAGAGGCTTCATCCTCATCGTAAGCTTTTCGCACATCACATACACCACAGCTAGATGATTCCCACAACTTGTCTCTACCGTATCCACCTAAAAAATAATGGCAAAGCGCATAAACCAGATAATTTCGAAAGCGTACTTGTATTCGCCGAATTTGTAACAACACATCCATGCAACGGAGATGAGGAGTTGTTGCATAAGGAAGACACATTGTGAGTGGACGACTGGCCTTGTGAGCTGATGAAGCTGTCATATGAGCCACGCGTTTGCCATTTTGCTAAAAAAGATAAATAATACTTTTCTTACTAGATTAGGTAGTTCAAAAATAATAAACATTAGTTTGTTTCAAAGCAGAAGTTCAAAATCAAAGATTTAATATACCTCTGTTGAAACGAAATAGTAATAAAGAAATTTTGGTGGCGGAGTAAAGAGGATCTAAAAGGATAGTTTAATATAAATAAAACCAAGAACAAACCTTTCTTAAGAAAATTTTTGGAATTGGAGGACACACAACAAACGAGATGATTCCCAGCCATTTCAAAGTGAGCAAACTTTTCGTTTTCCAGTGTGTTTGCTGAAAAGTGTCAAGTAACAGCATTACTTTACTTAAAATCATTTACCTTTGTACTTTGATTATGAACAGGGCATCTCTCAAGATCCTTGAATGAGCGCTGTGGGATGAGGCTTGGTCGTGGATAAAGAGATGTTTGTGATAGTTGACGATCTCTCTCAACTTTCGTCTCGAGTTGGGCTTAAACTTGAAATTATGAAGTGGGTCGGCTTGAATGATACACGATTGAGTATCACTCATTAGTATTAGGTTGGTGAATAAGTCTTTTCGTTCCTTTTCATACTTCCATTGAAAAATAACAAATTCACTAATTAGCCTATGGTTTGCTCTAAATAAAAAGTGTTTATTGTTCAATTTTCCATCTTTTTAAGTCAATTTCGGTTCACTTTCAAGCAAATTCGAGAGTGAAAAACGTGTTTTTTTGTAAAAATCTATCTATAAATCTATAAAAACTCTACGAAGGAATTGAATGAATCAATTTCTCTGAAAATTTGGCTATGTACCTAACTTTTTGTGCTCTATCTTTTATCTATTGACACCAAGATAGTTTCCTTAGCTAAAATCTCTAAACCGCATCATCGAGCCGCCCTTTTTGACTACCCGACTTCACGCTGCAAAAAAAATCCAAACATAAGGCATTTTAAACCATTTTTAATGTTATTTTGCAGAAAAATAATTGGCCTTTCTAATAAAACAAACGGTAGTTCAATTGGTTCATTTGTTGGTTTTAAACGGATGTACGAAAAGGAACGAAAAGACTTATTCACCAACCTAATAATGCTCACTATCAGATATACCTTTCTTAAACTCGTTGAACATTTCCTTGTAATCCATCTTTGAGAAGACCACTCGCGCATTGTTTCCAGCTTCTTTTGATCTAAAATTTAACATTAACTTCAGCGAATAAGCTCAATCAATTTTTTATTTTAAAGAAGAAGAAAAGTGGGAAGAAACTAGATGAGCGTCATCCTACTTATATCTAAAAGTCTAGCGCGTCCGTCCGTCTGTCAAATCAAATAAGTTTTGTCATTTTTACACGAATCTAATACTTTTGACTATAAAAATTTCATTTATACAAAACAATCTCAAAATAACTCACATTTTTCCATTAAGTGATCCGTCCGCTGCATTGCGAGTACTTGCGACACTTATCTGGAAAAAAGCAAAGAGAAGAATGTGAGTATGGACCCAGAAAATTTGCGTCATGGCAGAAAACTTGCTTACAACACTTTGGAAATTCGAATTTTAACAGTGTATGATAGAAATGACTTTTAACAAATAAAATTTTAAAAAACAAACTGTTTCAACCATTTTGATCAACAAGAGAGAAGAAAAATATAAAATGAAGAGTGAAAAAATGTTTGCCGAATTTTAAAATTTGGTAATCAATTTTCGTATGTAAAAACCTATTTAAATTACTTCTGACTTTATGTTGTTTTGTGTGCCTTTTCCTATTTGGCTCTACTAAATTTCGGGAATTTCGTTTCGAGGATTTTTCGGGAATCTTACACAGTGTTTTTGTCCGCGTTGTACGCTGCTTCTTTTGCGCGGTTTTCTTTGCGTTTTTCGTCCATTCCAAAAGATTTTTCATCTTTTTGTTTAAAAAAACTTAAAAGGAACCCCAACTCCTCAAAGAATTCTGTTCGGAAAATGGCCAAGTCTGTTGGTATTGGAAAAAGCTCGGTGTCGAAAATATATGTCGAATATTGTCGAATGTATATTTTATATGTTGCATTTTGACGCTTTTCAACAGAACACTGAAAAACATCAGTTTTGGAAAAAGCATTTAACGATGGCATTAGTAAAATTATTATTAAAATTCCTCAAAATGAATTTTCCCGAAACGAAACGTTCCCTGAAATTTAATGGAGCCACAATGACGCATATTTTGACCTGTTTGGATTGAATTATTTGTACCAAAAAATTTTCTCAAGAATTTTTCAAAATCCTCTCCCACAGACTATTGCCCACGAGTGAACGAGTAGTGTGAGAAGGGGGAATTTGAATAATCGCCTTTGAATCATCGACCCATTTCACCCTCAACCGATAACTCACCGATCACACATGAGTGACTCTTTCATAATATTCTAGATCAGATTTTATCCAAAACTTATTTCTAGCTAATAATAAGTGTCCCTGTTACTCTTCAGATTCAACTTTAAAACTTTATTAGCTTTTTAATGACCCATAGCTTTTTTGGAATTTTTTTCCTTTAGGAATTTTCTGGTTCACTGAAACTTTTGATCCAGTCATTCCATTCACTTTTTTGACGATAATGTGACAGCTCAATTTGACGAGTTTGGGGTTCTTTTTTAAGGCATCAAACTGCGTTAACTGAATACCTTTTAAAAGCTTTATTTGGTTTTGATTTTTCAAAACATTGCCAAGACATTTGGTTTTAAGATTTTGCTCTAAAATAGCCGTGATGCTCTCAACCGGCTACAATAGTCCCGATGATGGAGAGATAGGAGGCGAATTTGAGGAAGATCCCGGTAAGGAAAAAACGAAGTTAATGAGCAAATACTTGATTCAGAATATTCAAATTTCAGAGAATATTCAAATTCCTTTCAGCAATGTGGTCAAGCTTCACAGAAATGCTTTCATCGGGCGATGCGAGTACTTTGGCACTCGAAGGTGAAGCCACACCCGCAAATCTACTCAATGTGAGATCAAATTTTATAGGAGTTGAATATGGAAGGTTCAGGTCCCTCGTAATTCGATCAGTGTTCACAATCAGAACTCAGTTTCTTCATTTAATTCGGTTTTGGCGGGACCGAGTCGAAAAACGACCGATCGTTCAACTATTGACAGTCCAACAGAATTTGCAAAAACATTGGTAATCAATTCGACTTCCTGACGGCAGTTTCAAAATCGGACGACCAATTTAAATGATTTCAAAATCGGACGTAACATACTTCTCTTATCTAATAAAATATTTAGTCAGAAAAGTTGGCCGGCCCATGGATCGAGCACGCCTTTCAGAAATTGGAATGCTCTCGTTTCATTCCAACAGAAAGCGCTGGTGACAGGTTGTACTATTTTTAAAATCGATAACCAAAAGTGCATGAAATTCGAAGTTCAGATGTGGTTGTGGGCGTTTGGTTACCGGTCATTCACAAGCGGCTCTCACCGGTATCACCAACACGAGTCCCCTAGCAGCACTCTTTGCTTCGACAACACAAGTAAACTTATGGCTGCATAGACTTAATACTAGAGTGTGTTCCTCGTGATTAATGCGCTTTCTAAAGCTTTCTTCAAAAAAGCTTCAAAGCTTTCTAAAGCTTTCTTTCTTTCTTCAAGGCTACCGTAATTATGTAAATTTATTTATATGCAAATTTATATCAATTAATTATTGAATCACGAGGAACACACTCTACTTAATACTATGAAAGCTCCATTCCTAATCTATTAAAGTCTTAATCTAAACCCCATTTAGTCCCGTCTTCCTCCACAACCTCCACCCGGTTCATGGAGTATCACTGAGAATACATGCGCTGCAAAAACGGATGCTTTTGGCACAATTGTCTTCCAGGTTCCAATGTTGCAATTTTCACAATTGACTACTGAAATTCCAGGGTGGTGCTCATGCTCATAAAGCGCAGTATGGTGAGTTTATCATTACTTTACGCTCATAGCTTTTCACATTAAGTGCGCTTGGCCTATGACAGTGATCCCGAAGAAGTGTGCTATTTGTTGGAAAAGGTAAATGTTATAGATCTAAACGATTGCATACCTTTTTTACAATAAATATGCACTTTTTATGATCTTGAAATGTATTTGCAGGTCTGGGTCCTTCCACCACCACGTCTTGTTATCTCCGTTCACGGTGGAATGGGGAATTTTGAGTAAGATATGGGATCTGAAATTGGGTAAAAGATCAATTTTAGAATTCAAGAAAAATTGGGCCGTCTCTTTCGTGAGGGGTTGCTGAAAGCCGCCCAAACAACTGGTAGGAACTTTTGGTCTAAAGCCTAAAACTGCTTATATTATTAGCTGATATTATTAGCTTACTATATCTTAATTTTAGATATTTGTTTGGACTTGTTTAATTTTAATAAAACTTCATTAGGTGCCTGGATTCTCACATATGGAACCGATAGTGGAGTAGTGAGACATGTGGCCAAAGCATTGGACGAAGCGGGAATATCTGCCAGGTTTGAATAACACTTGCATGATTTCCCGAAGTGCGAAAAGACTAGACGAAATGACCAACCTAATAAGAAACACTAGCTTATCTGTGCAACGACATTCAGAAGAAACCCCGTTTTTAAGACTGGATACACGGTAGCTAGTCACAAATTTCTGCTCTAATTGCCTACAGGACAATTACATAATCGTTGTTGTATATCGATCTCCAATCCAGAATGAGATCTCGCATTGTAATCATCGGAATTGTTGCATGGGGAGCACTTCGTCGAAAGGAACGTCTTGTAGGCAAAGAGATCACCGTTCTCTATGATCAACACACTTTTCACTCAAAGTTTGTTTTACAGTCACCCTTCATAAACGAAAACTTTTCTAAAAACTCCTTCAGAACGGGTTGGGGTGTACTGAATGACCGTCACTCATATTTCCTTCTTGTCGACAATGGAACAAGTGGAAGACATGGAGCTGAAGTTGCATTGAGACGAAAACTTGAGGAACATTTAGCCGATACAAATCTTCAACATGGATATAGAAAGTGAGAACAATGATACTGATCATCGATGTTTGCTTTCAGAGTGCCGCTTGTCTGTACGGTTCTTGAGGGTGGCACTCACACGATTTCCGCCGTTCATCACTATTTGACTGGGTTTGTGGTTTACTTTTCCTCCACTTTCCAATTTTAATTCAGAATTCCGGGTGTTCCGGTTATTGTTTGTGATGGATCGGGAAGAGCGGCCGATCTTCTCGCTTTTGCCAAAAGGAATATTGAAAGTGATGGGTTTGTTTCCAATTCAACTAAATGTTTCAAAAGTTATCTACCATCTAAATATTTTCATCTAAGGCAACTCTCGGCGGAGGCTCGCGTCCAATTAGAATCAATGGTCATTTCTGTTCTTGCCTCTTCATCGATTTCTCCATTTCATCTTATCGAATTGATCGAACAATGTGTTCGTCATGATCAACTCGTATCTTTAAACTTTTAAATTGCATAAACAAAAATTCCTTCAGTTAACCGTTTTCCGTTATGGCGAGAACAAAGATGAAGATGTGGATCACGCTATTTTGACGGCTATTTTAAAAAGACAAAACCTTTCACTACCCGATCAGGTAATACAGTTGAAACTTCTGGGATAGATTACGATAATTAAGGGACAAGAGTACGGTAGTCAAAGAACAGGAATACGATAGCTAAAGGACAAGAATACGGTAGCCAAACCATAAGTAGTGATTTATCGTAACCAAACTATCGTGCCCGTTGTGCTATTTGTGCTATTTGTTTCAAGATTCGATGCTATCTCATTCAATTATTCAGTTCACACAAAAATCATTTAGCTAGCCCTAGCTCTTGCATGGAATCGTGTCGATGTTGCGAAAGCATGCCTTGCATCATCCGGAAGAGCATGGCCAGCACAATGTCTTCATCAAGCAATGACTGATGCATTGAGACTTAATAGAGTACATTTAATAGGGTTAGAATTACTGCAAAACTCGTTTTCAGGTTGAATTTGTTGAATGTTTGCTCGAAAATGGAGTTTCAATGAAATCCTTTCTCACAATCGAACGCCTTGAACAGTTGTATAATCTGGTGAGTCAAAGGGGAAAATCATGGTTCAATCCAAACTCTTAACCATGCTACAACTTTTAGGATGAAGACAGTATGCATTCTGTCCGTTTATTGGATCCCGAAGACAATGGGGAAACAGTCCGTTATCTAACTTTGCCTGATATTGGTAAGTCAAGTCAAGACATCAAGACATCAAACTCTTATAATCAAAAAAAAATAATTCTAAAACCATTTATTTGAGAGCAAGTAAAGAGAATCGGCTAGCTAAGAATTTAATGTACGTTTTGATGTGAAAAGATTAGGCCATTGTCTCTGATGGGTCGAGTTTTGATTGATCAACAAGGAGCTTCTTTGGAGAGAACTAAAACAGAAAATTTTTAAAGTAGACAATCAAAACCGAATGTTCATACCTATTGGAAAAATGTTCATACAGTAAGCAACATTAAAACCCACATTTTCTCCAGTTTTCTTCGGCGATCGCGGCATAAACCGGCCAAAAAGTCCCGTTCGAGGGTTTCTCTAAAGTGAACAACGTAAAAAAATAAAAATAAAGTTAGCTAAATAATGAAAAATGAACAAAAAAACCTTTGAATGAGTTTCGAGCTGTTCACGCATCTGCGCCACAGTGACATTTGGGTTAGCTCGGCAACTTACACTAAAAATGATCATCAAACCATCAAACCGTCTCCAAATACTTACTCCTCCGTATTTGTCACATCCGAAAAGAATCCTGAGTTGCTTGAATCAACTTCCGAGATTGTCTCCAATGAAGTACATGTGCTTGGCTAAAGAACTAGTAGTGTAAACTTTAAATGCCAAATGACTACCAAAAAGAGCGGTGTTGATGCGGAACGCTTGACGACAAGAAAACGATTCGGCTTCAAGAAACGACGCACACGCTCCAAACGAGAGAATGATGGAATTGCCTAAGCAAAACTACTTTGAAAGTTTAAAACCAAACTTACAGTAGCTGCATCGAAATAATTCCTTTCAGCCGCCTCTTCTTCGTGAGTCAATTCTAAAAAAGAAAATCAAATTAACAAATCAGATCAATCAATAACTCAATCATTCGATAAAGTTTTAATTTTTAAATCAGCAAACAAAACGAAACTAACCAATTTTTCCGTTGATTCGAAGTTCGGAGGCACAATACTCAGAAATCGCGGTCGATTCCTCATCAAGCACTTCAATTGCCGTTTCGCTGCTTACTTTTGGAGATCGTGAAGGCCTTGGAGTACGTGAGATATCGCTAACTTCCTTCTTTGAAGTAGGTGGCAAACTCAATAGGGCTCCCTTGGCTTCTTTCAGGTTGAGTGAGCTAAAAATATGACTTCAATATGCTTGCTAGGCAAAATATTATTTTAGGTTTTATGAATAAGTTAAAGCCAAAGTAGCTAAGTAATGGCATAAATCAACAAACCTATGTTGTCCTTCTTGAGTGGGCCAACTCTCACACTCTCCTCGAAACGTCATTTGTAGAATGTGTCGCCATTTGACACCAAGTGGAACGTGCAGATGTGAGGGCACCCAAAAGTAGAGAGTTCCGAAAGCAAACTTCAGCTTGATTTGGCTCAGACGCTAAAAGGAAAAGTATCTCAGGGTTTCAAAAAACTTGTTTAGACAAATATTAGCACATCTAGCACAGCTTCTAGACAAATATCAGCACTAGCATTATGTAAATACCAATTTTAGAGTACGTTAAAACATAAAATGCTTACATAGGATGTTCCGTTGTTTCTTTTCGTTGCTTTCATCCACACGACAATTGAATAAGCTTCACGCATGTCAAGAAGATAGCCTAAAAAGGCACACATAAGTAAGCATTATTGCACAATCAAATTGCTAACCAATCTCTCTTTAAACAACACGAACAAAAGCCTCACCTTGATTGAGTTGAGTGTAGACGAGAAGATGTCGATCGGTTGTCATGTAAATGGGTTTCATTTGTGGCTCCGAAAAGGTCGACCACAAGAGGCCACGTTTCTTCACGAAGACGAGTAGACGATCCGATGCCAGCATAAAACTCTCATTGATTCCATCCCAGTTCGACAAATGTGGCAATGGGATTTCCTGAATTGAAAGAGTAGAACAAATACCACAGCGTTGGAAACAACTAACAACTAACTATTAGGTTGAGTACTAATTCTTGATAACACTTTTCGTTTTTTGTTTCATTAAAGAGCAAACAATAGCTTTTTCTAAATTTTAAATATGATAATCAGACACGCATTGCCTAGTTTTGGGTAAAGTTTCATCCTGAGCTAATCACTGGGCTTCAAGCAGGATGCTTTTGTTTGAAACCAATCCATTTTCTGTGATCTTCTGTGAACCAGATTTTTCTGTTATCCCTAAACATTTCGAGCCAAAAGTTGGCAATGTGAAGTAGATACTTTGAAGAAGATAATTAGCATAAAAACATATATATCAAGTAGTTTTTCGAGAAACTCTTGTTGTGCGATGTGGCCTAGATCAGAATCGACTGTTTCCAAACAAAAGCCTCCTGCTTGAAGTCTAGCCATTAGATCGGGATGAAACGTTGCCCAAAGCTAGCCAATACGTGTCTGATTATCATATTTAAAGTTTAGAAAAAGCTATTGTTTGCTCTTTAATGAAACAAAAAACGAAAAGTGTTATCAAGAATTAGTACTCAACCTAATAATTATCTAGGTATAAAATAATAAATAATCACAATTAATTTGATCAAAACAAAGTTATCATGGACAAAATTTGTCCTTACAGAACCTACAATTTATAAATAGTAGCTGAAGTAGATGTTTTGAAGCAAAAAAACAAACACAAAGCTTACCCAGGTAAACGAAAATGATCACTGACCTTTTTGAACGAGGTTGAAATGGAGAAAAGATTCTCGGGCCCAGATCCAAATCCAACATGTCGATGACGCCAATAGTATCCATCGAGAGCTTCATCAAAGTCACTTGAACGAGCAGCCATGCGAATTGTTTTGACGAGTAGAGAAATGATGAGGAAACAGACATCTGACACGCTTAAATTTGACCGTTAAATGCAAAACTCGAGAATTTAAATGCAAATTTAGGCGAAATCGTTGAAAGATTGATGGGAAACGCGTATAAATGCTCGTATTTGACACGTTTATTTCGATTAAAATATGAAGCTCGACATCGAGGAGGAAGTGGCATAAAAGGAAATCGAAGAACAAAACGAACGGTGCGTGATAAATGGGTTCAACAGACAGTAACATGCTAAACTAACCTCTAACCTCAAACTAGCCCATTAAAATCCCGCCATTTTTTATTTAGTTGGTCAAAGAACGTCCAACAGATGTCTCATCAATCGACGAAGGTTTATATTTGCAGTCAATCCAATCAAAATATCATTTCAGAAACTGATTTCGCTTTTCCCTTCAACGAATTGATGATCTGGGCTGTTTTATCAAGAAGACCTGGTAAGTAGAGCAATCTTTAGAAAATAAGAAATAAACCGATACAGAAATGACTCGTTGCATGTGGCAACATGGAGAGGATGCACTTGTCAAATGTCAGACAGCGATACGGTAGGCAATTTATTTTGAGCAGCATTTAAAAAGTATTTTGAACAAATACGTATCATTCTTTTTCTAAGATTTTGCCTAGTAGACTTGCTATCCGATCGAATTCTATCGGATCAGATCGGATTCAATCCGATAGAGGCTTTTATCGGATCGGATCGCTCCGATTGATGAGATCGGATCATCATCCGAGACAATCCGATCCGATGTAATCGATCCATCGGATGGCAAGTCTATTACCTAAGATAAAAGAATTATCGTTCCGATTTAGTCTGTACAAATCAATTGCGAATCTCGCCGAACAGGAATATCTCGAATTGGAAGTGGCGAAAAAGCTTCGACAACACGCTGCGTTTGTGCGAAATTATTAGAATAAACAAATTCCTTCTAGGGAATTCAAAAAGGAGAGTCTCTCATTACTTGAACATTGCTATCGAGCTGATAATGTGATCACTGGTAAATGATCTCCAAGTTGATAAATCTCAATGACTTCAGTTTCTCTTCTAACAGCAGAAATGCCTCGATGGGGTCATCACACAGTTCTTTCGTTGGCCGTTCTTGCAAACAATAAAGCATTTCTTGCTCATCAATGGTTTGTTTAGAAACACGAACTTTTTACGATGCACTTTTGAACTTCTTGTTCACTATGAACAAGTTTTAGCTGTCAACTCTTGTTGGCCGAGTTGTGGCACGGCGGGATTCGATTGAGGAGGTCAGTTTGATGTTATGGTATTACCTTTTAGTTCCTAAACATTGTCGTTTCTAAACTAAATGTCGTCGTCGTCAATTCTCTAGATTATCCTTTATCACATTTCTCTTTCTTTAGTCGATCAAATCTTCGTGTCCTTTTTGGTCTTCTTTGTCCACCAGCTGCTCTCACTTTGGCCTATCGACAACAAGAAGAAAAAGAAAATGAAGAAAAACCAACAAAGACGAAGAAAAAGGATGCAGAAGAAGCGTGGAGACAAGTAAGGAAATGAGCAAATAAATGAGATCAATCTAACAATCCTTTTAAGGCAATTTGGCGGGTTCAAGAGACAAACAAGACCCATTGGAGGGAGAGAAATAAGTCAATGGGAGGACAACTTGCTGAAGTTAGTGACGAAGATTATTTCAAATTCATTATTTTATTGGTAGATCTTAAAGCGATCAATTGGTCGAAAAGCGAACTCGCTAAACTCACGCGGCCAGAGTGACTCGGAACCGATTCTGGAATGGAATGGACCCAGAAAAGTGGGTTAAATATGTGGGGGTGGGACAAAAGCTATCTTTTATTTGCGCACCCGACCCAAAAACGCAACTTTTCACTGTTGTTTTTGCAAATCAATACAAAACCAAAAATTTCAAATTTATTTTCCCACGTTTATTAGACTAATTTCTTTTGTTTTCGGTGCCAAAAATGAACTTCTAATTGTACTTTTACTTCTTTATACCTTGAATGACAACCTAACCGTTTATTCGGGAACATTTAGCAGTAAAACAACGACACAAAACAGACAAAAGTAACAATAAAACAACTTAAAAACATAGCAACATTATCGAGAAACAATATGAGGCAACAGTTGAGATAAATGTTGAACATGAGACACATTGTTTCTACCATTAAGTACAGCATGAAATCTAAGAGTCTGACGATGAACAACACGATTAGTTTGAGGATACAACTGACCAAGCGAGAGATTTCGTCCATTGGCAAGTTTTAGCCTATTGATTTGCATTTGACATTTCTTTAAAAAGCCGACAAACAGTGAAGCTTGGATGTGGGTTCTTTGGGTCACCCAAAAACGAATAAAAAAGCTTGAATCAACAAAATACCTTTAGCAACGAATTGAACGATTCATGTGTTGAAATCCCCGAGTTGTTCTGATTGAAGCACACGGGAATAAACGCCCCACGTCTCCACATCAACTAAAAAACTTTAGTAGTATAAGTGGTACAACTTACTTTTTACAGCCCGAAAATTTGTGCCAAGCGGTGGTGGTGAATTGTGAGCTGCCAAGACAACAGCGTCAAAATAGTCGGGCACTTCTTGAGGTTCAACCAATGCGAGAGCCATCATGAAGATGTTCTTTGTCGAAAGGAGTTTGCATGAGAGAAGAAAAGTCACGTTTCTAAAATTAAACGTTAATTACAAGGATAACACGTATTTTAAACTTGCCTTAATATTTCGTAAAATGTTTTGGTGAAAGTGAAACACACAATACTGATGAGCGACTCCGGTGCCATAAACCTGCTGATAACCTTGAAAAATCGCTCGCTCAAAGTCTACAAAACAACATTAAACAAAAAATCCTGCATCTACCTGCCATTAGTTTTGTCGGTGCAGGAATATTTTCCGACAAAATGTAACGAAAAACTGCTTCGTAGCGCTGAGCCGACTTTCCACTCAACAGAGCAAAAACACGGCAAGAAGAGGTATTCTTTCTAAATTGATACACACATTATTAAACTCCTTTTGCCACTTACTTGGACTCCAATGTCGAACAGTTGAGCAAAAGTCTGCTGGACACGAGTAAAATGTTCCATCGGCCGTCCAAGAACGATGCTCAACATTCAATTAAACAGATATTTCATAAAATAACCTTAACTTTCGTAATAGATCGAGTACAACATTGTGCATGTAGATTTTCACCGCTGCGTGATCACCCTGCTGGTGCTGCGCACACGTCTCAAGCCTTTCAAACAGTGCACCTGATGAAATAACTGTCTTTTACTAAGAAATCACAAGCAGCCGTACGTTGAACAGTCAATCAGATGAGGGCACGTTGTTTTGGAGGCTCTCTTGGCTACCCGCTTTGCCACTTTCGTCAACACTTTTTCATTCACAAACGGCTTTAAATGATCTTCTGCCTCTTTGATCACGCTTGTCTCGATTTGGCGAATCGGTGTTCCCATTTTTGCGTGATGTTTCACGACTTTCTTCAATTTACGCATCTAAAAGAGAAAATATTCGGCAACAAAAAATGTTTACCTCTTTGGCGAAGTTGTTTGGCATATGATTATGCATACCTTCGCATTGTATCAAATTTGAGTCCACCGCTAGCTTTCCAAGTATTTCACACTTTTTTACAAGGCATCTAAATCAAATTTGTAAACTGAAAACTATCGAAATAGTACCTGTAAATGAGTCCCTTTGTTGCCGTCTCTGTGTTTGCGAAATTCGAAGTGTTTGTGCGAAATGTTTGTATTGATTTGCGAAAAGGCAAAAAACAACAGTGAAAAGGTGCGCTTTTGGGTGGGGTGCGCAAATAAAAGATCCCATCCCCAAATATGTTGCTTAAGACAAATATAGCTTACAAAATCTACTTGCTACCTTTTTCCGAGAAAAGCCTGGATTGGCTGTTTAAAGCGTGATAAAAACGACTGTACCCCTCCTAATTTGCGCGAAATTTCATTTTTTTCATTCTTGTTTATTTCATTTTATTTTTTTTGCATTTTTCTGATGTGGTCTCGTTTGTTTTTGCAGGAAACAAAGAGGATAAAGCTCAGTTACGTTTTAACAGCATTTTCCGTGACGGAAGCTTTGTTTGTAGAGTTTTTTTAGACCCACTTGCTTCTCAACGATCTGCTCCACAAACTTGATGCCAACTAATGTTAAGTTAAGTGATTTTTATCATTTTCTATGATGGAAGCTTTGTTTTTGGGACTTTTTAGTTGAAAAAGCGTTGAAACGTCGAAAAAACGCAAAGAGAATAAAATGAAATGAACAAGAATGAAAAAAATGAAATTTCGCGCAAATTGGAGGGGTGCGGTAGTTTTACCACGCTTTAAGGCGCCAACCCAGGATTTTCTCGGAAAAAGGTCACGAGTCAAAAAACAAATAACGAACATAAAATTTTGGGTGACCTTCGGTCGAGAACTTGAGACAATCAATCGAAAAGCGAGCATTTATCAAAGTTGTGAAAGTTTTCGGCGAGTGAGTTTTTTTCAAGAAATTTCGAGTTATTGAGAATATTTACTTTTATTCTTTATTTTAATCTTATTAATCTTGTTTCCGGACATTACCTCCCCGTTACAGGACATTGTCCCCGAAGTTTAATTTTTAACTGTTTTTTAATGGTTTTTTGTATTTTAGTGCATTTTTTGAAATTTCTTTTTTTTCTGATGGCCGATCGGAAACAGTAGAAGAGGTTTGAAACAGTAGAAGAGGTTTTATACCCAATCACTCTGATCAAAAGCCAGTATGTAAAAGGCATTACTTCTCTGTATTTGCACTTTAATTTTAGATATGGAGTGCACCCTCAACTCCTTTGGCAACTTGAAAATGACGCAAACTATTGTTAAAATTTCTTTTACAATAAACGACTTGCAAAGCTCGACTCTTAAAAATGTCTAGGATGTTTTTTCGAAAAACGCAAGCAGAAGCTTAACATGAATATCCGTGCATAAATGCGGCGCCGTAAGCGACTCCCGGGCTAGCCCGTGATGCTGGGAACCTATTTGTCTTTCAATGTATTGCTTTTATTTTATTTATTATTTTAATGTATTGATTTTATCCAAATCCTCAAAAATTCAGCCGGATCCCCGTCTCTCGATCGTCAAAAAATTTGCCTCTTTCTATACAGCTCCAATCACAAAGGTCTACTTTGAATGTCTTTCTTGCTAACATCTTTCTCGTCTTTCTAACAAATCCAATACGGTTCTTTTTCAGTTTTGGGCTTGGGCTCTCTTCTTCCACATTTTTCTCATTGCTTTCAGCAATGTTCTCGTCGTCGAAATGCAAGTGAGCTTTATAATGATTTAAGTTTTATTCTGCTCTGCTACAGGCAAAACCCATCCGCACCGAATGGTTCCTTCTCGCCTACATGGGAATCTTTGGATTGGAACACCTCAGAAAGGTTTTAATTGTTCAGATTCTATAGCCAGTGAGAGAGCAAAATCTGTCAGGCAAAAGCCTGCACGGTTCCTTTGCATTCAAGCAAACCTTTCTCAACTCAAATGTCATTCAGTTACTCGCTCTCGATCTAACATGGAAAGAAAGTTTTCGAGTATTCTTCAATCGATATTGGAATCTCTTCACAACAATTGCTATCTTATTTTTTCTAATTGGTACGTGCAAATAGAACAACTGATTTCTTCTCTCAATTCGAACAGTTACTTTCAATACCTAGTAGTATCCATTTATCTACCGTATACACACTATATAAAGATCTTAACAACCAAATAGCTGGACCACCGATTTTAGGATTCGCATTTCGAATGAGTTCTGATGGATACACGCGAAAAATGTACGGTCGATCGATGCTCTGCTTCAGCAATGTTCTCTGGCATATTAAAGTTGAGATCAAAAAAGATTTTTTAGCTAAATTCTTTAGACTCTTGAGTATTTATCGATCAGTCCACTTCTCGGAACTTACATTCACATGGGAGCAAAAATGGTAACATTTACTTTTAATAGTAGTGTCCATTTGTCTACCATATCGCACACTTAACAACTAAGAACTTGTAAGTAGCTGGCCCAAAAGTTTTTCAAATAATAATTTTAGGTAGTCGCGATGTCATACATTGTGATCCTTTTGATTGTTTCAATGGCGGCTTTTGGCGTGACAAAACAGGCAATTCACGACCCTCGACCTGAATGGGATTGGGTTGGGGTAAGTGAAACATGCAATCTGACAAATATATCTACCTAGATATTGCTTAAATTATACTTTATGAATTTTTCAGATTCGCAACATTTTTTTTCAACCTTATTTCATGTTATACGGTGAAGTTTATGCGGGAGATATTGATCGATGCAATGATGAAGGTTTGATTCATTTCGAAGAATTATGTGGCTTTTAAAAACTACAATTTTATGATTAAACCTTATAAAGGATTTACTTTCTTTCATAATCAACACTTTTTCTTCTAAGGTATCCATTGTGTGCCGGGCAATTGGATTCCTCCATTCATTATGGTCATTTTTCTTCTTGTTGCAAATATCCTCCTCATTAATATGCTAATTGCTATTTTCAAGTAAGTTTTAAGTCTGTCATTTTGTCACGAATTTACAGCAACATTTTCAACGACGCGATCACGAAATCTCAAGAGATTTATCTCTTTGAGCGATATCAACAGGTATTTTTAACTGCATATCATTGTAAAATTGACTCTGTTACATAAAGGCTAGTGTAGAGAAAAATCTCAAACTAACTTAACTATCTACAGTCTAATTAACCTGTACCACTTGAATAAATCAACAATCTTCACGTAATCTAAACAAATCAATCTTTCATGTTCTCGAATACACGGATACTCCTCTTCTTCCACCTCCATTCACAATTCTTCCACTCATCTATCGAGCTCTCGCTAAAATATGGCGATCCTGCAAGGTCTATTCGTTTCCTTTCAAATAGAACATCGAAATTTCAGCAAAATTCACGGCAAAACAAGGGTGTGAACAGTGTGATGAGTAAGTTGAGTAACCCAGATGAATAAGTTGATAACAGATTTTTCACCTATGAATAATTTGCGTTAATTGAATGCATAGCTTTACTTCCAAATAGAAGCTTGATTATCTAAAAGTTTTCCCGTGGAAGCCAAAAAGTAAAGTACGCAAGAGCCCTGCCTTATTTCTAGAAACATTTCTCGATGATGATGGAATGAGACGTGTACATGATTTTGAAGAAGATTGTATGGACGATATGATGAGAGAAAGAAGAAAACGAGAAAAAGAAACACATGAAGTCACCCTAAGACATAATGCTGAACAGTGAGTCAAACTGGTGTCAATATTCATGTTTCAATCTAAACATGAAGCACTCTTACCAAACTTTCAGAATCGAGTCGATCTCTCAAAAAATGCACGAAATGTCGATTGAGGGCGTTCAGTTGAGATATCGTTTAATCGAAATGGAGAAACTCATCGAACAATCGATGCGTGTCAGAAACCAATCGATCACTCGGCAAGACGTATGTAATAGAAACGTTTTAAAAATTTTAATAGTAGTTTTTAATCACCAATTTCTAGCATAATCGCTATGAGATGATTCCGTCTGCCTCTTCGCATTCTTTGCCCGATACAAATATGTCTCACTCATCTGGAATTGCGTCAATCAAACGACCAAAAACGTTTAAAGCACCTTAAAAATTGTCAATAAATTCATTTAAGGCCGCCAAAGAAATGCGAGTTCGATTCAATCACAGAAGGGATTCCACTCACTTTCGTCGTCCCTGAGAACTATCGACACAGTGTAACTATCAGAATACTTTTTTTAATCAACTTCAAAAAAAGCTTCCAGTTCCGCAGTCAATTGTGTAAAACCAATTTTAGAGTTTATATGGAAACCAGCGACAAAGAAGACGACTACGACTTCATTCTTCGTCTGTTTCCATTAATGCCGACATTTCCGAAATGGAAAAAACATTGAATTTGTAGACCAATCCACCTACCAACTAACTTGAATTTCTATTAAAGTAAGCCTAGTTATGAATAAATGTTCTGTGCTTTTCGTGCTATACACAGTTCTTTGGAATGTTTATATTCACTGAACTTAAAGCACAATTTACAAAAATGGCTATATCGTGCACAAGAAGTATTAAAGCGACAATTTTTCAAACAAAAAACAATAATTTAATTTTATAATCACAGTAGTTCATAAATAGATTAACTTGCACCAAAACGAGAAGGCAATATGATGTCACACTTTAAAGACGTCGACGATCGCTGAGCACACGTATGATTGAACCAAGTCCAAACCGGGCGACAAGCTAGCAATTGGTTGTTCAGAAAGCGGAAAAAATAATTGTTGACTAGGATGCCGAACCATTCTCTACCTCAGTTAAATACCTACCCATGTTTTTGGTATACATATTTACAACATTCAAATGCAAACACACTTTTCTTTTTAACAATATGAACAAAAGCAAACCTGGGCATGCCAAGAAAGCGTTGACGCACAAACAGCATTTTCCTGATTGATTTCCATTATTTTGTAAACGTATTTCATCAAAAGATCGCCCTCGTCTTCCGATAATACCTAGATCAAAACAGAATCTTGTTTAGATTAATTATATTTACCTTAATCGCCCCTTCAATTTCCGCAGTTTTGAACGCTTGCAGCACCTTAGCAACAAGTAACGTCGAGCGATCTTTTATTTGCTGTAAATAAATAAGTGAATAGATCAAAACCATTTTATTTTAACCTGATTCTTCGTGGTCAACGGTGGATTTGTGAGAGCGGCATGAAGAGCATCGGTGAGTCGTGAAGTTTGTAGATAACTTTGAACAGAACGCTCATCAGGTCCAAGAGCCGCCGATTCAGCACCTAAACAAATCACATTTATGAATGTTATAAACAATTATAAAATTAAAACTGTATTTGACTATTACTCACTAAACGTTAAATTATCATACCTTCATCCTCATCATATCGCTCATCGTCGAGCGCATCCACATCCAGTTTCCGGTATGACGTGTTGTTCATATTCTTCGCCATTTTGATTTCTAAATTATGGCAAATATTTCAAATCTGCAAAAATAAGTAAGCCTCAAATGTTTCTTGTCATAAAGAACAAATCGATGAGCACAGAGATCCGAGAGCTGATGGAACGAGAAGAGAATTAGAGAAAGGAAAAGAGAAACCCTTTCACGCAAACAACAATCCAAAATCTGACTCACTCTCGCAAATATTTGATAGCCTCAGCAAACTTTTAGAAAGTAAACCAGCTTAAGACGTTTAATTTTTATTCAATGGTAATACGATTAGAGCGCAGAAATAAATTACAACCAAAAATTCAACAACAATAAGATATTCAACATGAAAGATATGGGGTCAAAATAAAAAACCCCCGAGATACGTGCCCCTTACCGTGTCTCGGGTAATCTATTTGTTGTTGTACTTTTTTCGTTCGTAAAAGAGATCCGTTTTTGCGCTACCGAGATTGACGATTTTGGGACACCCATCACGATCCTGAAATTGAAAAAATCAAACAAGATTTAAAAATAGCAGCAACATACAGCTCTCTTTTTATTAAACAAAAATGCAAGCCTAACCTTCTCCTGAATCGTACATTCTTTGCAATAATAAGCATCGCTCACTCCAGGGCCACCGCAAATCACACATCGTCCCTAAATCAAAAAATTAGTTTGTTTTAGAAGGTTGCAAGTCTAAAAGAATAAGCTTGAAGTGTTTATTTCTAATCTAACGCACACAAACTCTTTTAAGTATTCAATTAAAATAAATGAAAATATTAATAACTACCTGATAACTTCCGTAGTTGCACTCATCACAGATGCGAACAAGTGTAGCCGGTCGTACAAAGGAATCGCAGATCACACATCTAAAAGCAAATATAAGATTGGAAAATAATCACTGAATAAACCTTCCATCACATTTATCACAAAGTCGACCAATAGCAACCCCGGGTTGTTTCCGGCAAAAGATTAGATCGGGATGGTGCTTGGCCATCGACCGATCTGAATTAAAGCTAATTGAAAGAAACGGGGCTATGTGCGTTGGGTGTGGGCAGTGGGCGTAGCCTCAATTTTGCCAGTGGGATTTCAATTTTCTTGGATTTTCGACAACGCTGATTAAATTGCAAATAGTTTCAAGGCTTCGTTCTAACTTTAATTTTTGCTTTCGCCTTTAATTAACATTTATGACAATGACAATGACCACGCCCACTGCCCACACCCAACGCGCATAGAACCAAAGAAAACTTTAGTAAGCAACAAAAAAAATTAAAGGAAAAGGGTAATTTGTGAAGTACAAGTCTTAATACTCCTATTACGAACGAATTACGATTTTTTACGAATACCAATTTTTAGATCACCTGCACTACTTAAATACAGTTCAAGTTCTACGAAAAAAACTAAGGAGGACATAAAAGATTGTCATGTGAAAATTTGAGAGAAAGGCCAAATGAGCGAGAAATTGTGACATTAATAACTAAATACTTAGGTAGATGCAATAGATATTCAGGACCCCAACTGAGTATTTATTAGGGTCGTTATAAGCTAAGAAATTTTCCATTTGCTATAATATTTCACTTAGGTACCTACCGTAAATACGGTAATAGTACCCCACCCCATAATGACGGTGCGGAGTGTTGCGTAGTCTAGCTTTGAACGAGTTTTTCTCCACACTGGTTTATACTACAATGCGCGCTTAGGTATCAAAAAATAGTCCTGAATTTCAGCTATTTTTTGATACTAAAGACGCATTTTTTGAAAGTACAGGAGCTTTGAAAAAAATGAAATACTAAAAAACTTTTGCGACTACGCGACTGTAGGAGGGGGGTGGGGTACTATTACAGTATTTACCGTAGGTAGTTATCGTTAAATATAGCTTCCACTTTTTTTTACAATGAACACCGTGATAGAAATTTCCCTGAATATAAACCAGAGCACAAACTCTTAAACATAAAAAAATTCGTTAATTTGAAGTTTATTGGCGCATCAAAAAGGAATTATTTCACAATTACATATACAAGAAGAATCGTATTGGATGAAGATCATTAATGAGAAACCTCGTATAGCAAAAATAAACACTGGTAAATGAACTGAAGATCAAGAGAGTAACTTTACAATAAACACCGTGATAGAAATTTAAGATGAAATGACGTACATGGCAAACAATATATTAGGTACCGTATTTATTCTAATAGAAGCGCAGCTTCCACGAATAGAAGCAATTTTGTAGAATGATTGCAAAATGGAAGCCCATGTGCTCCTATTAGAATAAATACGGTAGGTAGGAGTAAATAATTTGAACGCGTGTTGAAACGAGTGGTTGTTTATTCATTCTCACTCAGCAGCTTCTAAATCGATTTTTCTACTAAGTCCATAGTACAAATCGAATTTTGTTGCCTATCATCCTTAAATTATTCAATTTCTCCCACCTTGATCATTTCTTTGAGGAAACCCTTTCGTTCCTCGAGATCCGAATCGGGAAATTTGTCACAAACAGCTTGCACCATTTGCTTCATCGACACCTGCAAGGTTTATTTCAAGTAGATGTACCTTCTTCACGGTGTTTCTAAAACGTGGGCATGTAATTGTTATTTTTCTACCTGTGAAAGATCAAAAGTTTTGAGTAAATCTCGAACGGTCTTTTCGATATGGGAATCACTCGGAGCAGCCGTATCCTCTTTCTCCTAAATTCTTTTCTATTAGGCTATTTCCGCTTTTAAACGGTACTTAGGCGTGATATTCAATCACTGTTTACCTTTTCTTTATTTTCTCCACTTTCGCTACTGTCATCTGTGTCACTGTCTCCTTTTTTGTTGTTTTTTTCCTCTTCCATTTCCTCATCAGAATCCTCAATTTTCTCCTTTGACTTCTTGGCGGCAGGCTTCTTGGCTGACGTTTGCTTTGGTGCTGCTTTTTTGGTGGGTTTTTTCTGAAAAATTGTTTGGTGCTTTTAAATCAGAAAGAATTATGATAGGGGTTTAGTTTTGATTGATTATTTATCCTACGGTAAGATTCCACACCACGTCCCAGCTACCGTACCTTTCGCCCATTCATTTAATTTTTGACAGGATAGGGTACTCCCAGTAACCTTCCCTTCTATTAGGCTGTCCAGGAAGTCTTTTCGTTCTTTTTCGTACTTTCATCGAAAAATAACAAATTCACCAATTAACCTATGATTTGCTTTAAATAAAAAGTTTATTGTTCAATTTTCCATCTTTTTAAGTCAATTTGGGTTCACCTTCAAGCAAATTCGAGGGTGAAAAACGTGTTTTTCGTAAAAATCTATAAAAACCTCTACAAAGAAATCGGATGAATCAATTCCTCTGAAAATTTGGCCATATACCTAACTTTTTGTGCTCTATCTATTGACTATTGACATCTATCTATGGACACCATGATAGGTTCTCTTATCTAAAGAGTCTCCGTATCTTCGAGTCGTCGCCATTTTTGACTACCCGACTTCACGCTCCCAAAAAAATCCAAAAATAAGACGTTTAAAACCCGTTTTAATGTTATTTTGCAAAAAATAATTGGTCTTTCGAGTGAAACAAACCGTAGTTCAATTGGTGCATTTTTGGTTTTAAACTGAAGTAAGAAAAGGAATGAAAAGACTTTCTGAACAGCCTAATATGTAAGTAACATAATTGGAATTGTAAACAGCTACTGGCTGTGAAATGGTACGTGAAGAGGGCTGTGTGCCCGTGAATAAAGAGGTGCCTGGGGCAGTGGAACCGTGTTGTGGCGGGTTTACCCCTACACCCGAGCCCAGAAACCCACGCAAACTGGGAAACCGCACCCAACTCTACATTTTGGCTGTAACTTAATAAAAAAGTTTATAGGTTCATAGTTGGCTTACTGGAGGCAAAAGATTAAATGTAAATTCATGGATTACCGTAATACCTGTAATAGTAGTGCCCCCCATAATGACGTACAGTCGCGTAATCGTTAAAGTAAATAATTTTTTTGAACGCGCCCAGATTTTTCTAAAATAAACTATTAGTACCAAAAATTCTTCGCTTCAAGCGCTATCTTTTGATGTCTAAGCGCACATTTTTCGTCGAACCGAGCGTCACCAAATTGTGTGTTAGACTATTGGATTGTATGTTAGACTGTTAGACTGCACGGGGGGGGGGCGATACCATTACAGGTATTAGAGTATTTGTTCTCTTTACCTTCTCCTCTTTATCACTTGGTGGATCATCAGATACTTCATCTTCCTCCTCTTCTTTATCATCCTCATCATCTTCTTCATCTTCGCTATCCGATTTTCCCGATAATTTTCTCTTCTTTGAAGGCTAAAAATCAAGTTTTCAATTCAAAAAGTCTCCCAATTTTTTCTACCATTTTCACTTTTGTTTGTCTTTTCCTTTTTCTTTCCTTTGCTTTTTCTTTCTTCTCTGCTTCAATTTGCGTCGATTTCCCGGCAGGATTCAGCAAGAAATGCATAAGATTTGAGATCTAAAAAGGTATTCATTGGTTTGATCTTCATCTATCGTTGATCTCTCTTGTGCTTACGAAGTATCAGAGCTTTCGAGATTTCGAAAGTCTGTCAAATAAACTAAACTATAATACTCTGAACAGTTGGACTTAATTTTTCTTATTAAAGAGTTAGATCATAACATTTGCAAACCTCTTCATCTCTTGTTGGTGCAGCATGATGTAGACCAACTCCGGCGCGCAAATGCTTCACTTCCGCCACTTTCAACTTTTGCAAATACGAGACTCTTTTGTTCCAATCATCTGATTTCTCCGTGAACCACCATCTAAATTTATTGGTATACATTATTGCTATTCATGACTAGTACAAGCTGTACCAATCCTGAATACAATACTCATTTTCATTAAGTACAGGACAAAAATTTCTAGGTCTCCTTTTTACGACCAACCCATTAAACTTGCGTAGTGCTTTCTTAAACACAATGCTGTGTGCGGCTTGTCCCTCACGCAAATAGAGCAATTTGTGCAATTTCTTCAAATCTTGAGTCGGCTTCTTAGTGATGTATTCATTTGCTAAAATAGGTTTCATTTCTAAAATCATTTCTAAGTTTTTCAACCTGAAGCAATATCCCCAAGTGCCATACCAGCTCCCTTTCCACCCATCGCTTCGGCTTTCGGCGACTCAACTTTTGGAGTCAACGTTGATGCAAAATGTGTCACCTTCAAAAGAGGTTCTACTTGGGAAATTTACTTAAGTACATTAGCAATAAGATCGTTTCAAAATTTGATATGCTGATGCCATACTTCAGCCGTCAAAACTCTTGACGTATAACAGAATAACTTTTCAACATGTCATCTTAGATATTTTCGTGTTTAAACTAAACTAAACAACTAAATTGTCAACAAACCTTTGTCCTTTCTCTTTTTCCTTCAACAACAAGTGGTTGATCGTACGCTCCCGGTTTTACCGAATCCGTATTCTCATCAAAAGTTTCATTGCGGGGTGTCCGTTTTGGGGTTTCTTTTTTTGGCGATTCTTTCTTTGGTGACTTGCTCTCGGTCTTCTTTGTCGGTGTCTTCATTGGCTTTTCAATTTCTTCGGGAGAGGCGGCCGTGGGTGGGACACTTTCTTCGGGCTCATCCTAAAATGATTTTATTCTATTATTTTTGAAAGTTGCTTCTTTGGTAACCAACCACTTCTGGTTCGTGATCTGTCTTCTCCGAATCCACTGCATCGATTTTTGTTTCCGCCGTGGGTTCCTCAGTCGATTCCTGAAACAAAATTAGAGCATTTAAAAGAATCAAGACAATTTTCAAATTATCAGGCTCATGCCTCATTGCCAGCTGTAATTTTATAAACTACTTATTACCTGTCGATCGAGCTCTTCTCCAAGATTTGTCTCTTCAATTGTAGCCATTCTGCTAAATTCCGATTACTAATCAGGGATTTAATTTTTTAAAAAGGTATTATAATAAAATTTGAAAGAAAGAAAACAACGAGAAAAACTCTTTTCAATTCAAATTTCGAGAAATGGCATAGATCCAAAAAGAGTAATCATACGGTAGCCGACATCATAGATCCATCTAATAGCAAGTAAAGCAGATAGCCCATAGGCAATCCAGAAAAGAAATTGCGCAAGATTAGAATAAACACCAATTGCTAAAAATAGAGTAATCTAGCTAGGAAAAACTAAAAAATACTTTGCCATCGTTCCTTTTCAATAACGGCATGCATTAAAACATTTGAAGTTTTGAACTTGATCTCAATGAAATCAAACATTTTATTAACGTTCCAGAAATCAAATGATTATGCCGATGAAATAGATATCAAAGTTCTTTCACGAAACAGCCAATAAAGTGAAAATATTTATGTAGAGAAAAAATTATTAGCAGTTGTAACGGCAAAAACCTTTTGAAAGAACCTGTCTCTGAAAATACTACAAAAGAGAATCTGAAGGGGTAATGTGAAAAAATGTAAGACATATGTAGGTCCATGAAAATATGCACAAGCTGGCTTACCGGGCGAAAGTTTTGAAAAAAATGATATCGTCAAGCTCACATCAATAGCAATTTGCTTAAACACCGTTTAAAAGAGGCACATAGGAAAGAGAAGTGGCAAAGTCAGCTGAAAGTAAGCGATAAATTAGAAAACAAAAACATAATTTAAAATGCGATGAAATCACAATGGAAGGTGTGCCGATTCTTACATAAATTGTTTCCTTGAGCAGCGATTGTCTAAAGTTAACAGATAGCATATAAAACTTAGTTTTGAATTGGTTTTATTTTTAATCTGATTTTAATTGATTTCATTTAAAGCAAGGCAAACTTTTGAAGAGTACCGAATGAACCTGTGCAAGATCATACCGAATCTTGTTGATACTTCACAACAAGGTACAGCTCCATCCAGAGAAAAGGCCCTTTTTCTCTCGCGTTCCTCCCACAGTCACCCGGCCTGTCGTTCCTCCAACACCCACTGTTTGACCCTGTCCACGTTCCATCTTTCCCTGAAATAAATGTCTTTAAAAACAAAAGTTTCTTAGAAAAACCTTGATATCCCGAGCCAATGTATAGAAAGCCTCTTCGATGTTGTGATTCAATTTGGCGGAAGTCTCCATGAATTTTGTTCCATATTCGATCGACAACTAAAAATAAAACAAGTAAATATTAATCTTGTAAGCAACTTGTTGTCCCCGATCCCGTGAAACGACTCTTCTATCCTCCATGTCGCATTTGTTGCCAATAATCATTCTTTCAACGTCCTAAAACACTTAAATACAATAATTGAAGAAAAACAAACCTGACTGGCGTGTTCCTCAATGTTTCGAATCCAATTTTTGATGTTTTCAAATGATTTCTCGTTGGTGATATCATAGACCAACATGATACCCTAAAATTATTTGTCAATGTTTTCGACATAGCCTTCGCTTAACGACAATTCCATTTAAAAGTATAACTAACCATTGCTCCCCGATAGTAAGCCGTTGTAATGGTTCGAAAACGTTCCTGACCTGCTGTATCCCTAAAACAATCTTTTCAAAGTATCTAGCCTAAAATTACCATATTTGCAGCTTTATTTTTTTTCCATCCAGATCAATAGTACGAATTTTGAAATCGATCCCTAAAAATTCCGATAATACAACAAACCTATATTACCGACCAATTGTAGAGATGAATGAATTGTTGAAAGAATCATCGGAGAATCGAAAGAGCACACACGTCTTTCCAACGCCGCTATCACCGATTAGCTAAAGATTTTAAAAAGTTTGAATTACAACTTCAATAAATACCAGCAATTTGAAGAGATAATCGTAAGTCCGAGCCATTTGTTCTGTTTCTTCTATTCTTCTAAAAACCAAAATTGGTTACATAACAAACAAGATACAGGGATAATTTTGGAGCTTAAAATAAACATCAAATCGTACTTTTAGGTTATTTGAAGAAGTACTTAAAGCCGAACAGATCTGAAGAAATATTTTATCCAGCAGTCCGTTTACGTAGAATGTTCCTATGAACGGCCATAACAGCGCGAATTCAAAAAAAATGTAATCTGAGAGAAAGGAAACTACCAAGCCATTACTAAAAGCTTTTTCAAAGCCAAAATAACTTTTAATTGATGAGCTAGTTCTTTTTATAGGATAGGATTAAAAGCATCAACAAAGATGTTTTGTGCCAAAATAGAAGCATGTTTAAACAATTAAATAGTAGCTATTTGTATTATGAAACATTTATTCCAATAAAGCATTGATCAATCACATGTCGAAAATCCATCACCCTACAAAAAAATAAAAGTACACTGCAAGATCATTTAAATAAATAAGCAACGAGAGCACAGAAATGAACAAGTTAATATTTCTTCAACTCAATCTCAAAAGCTGCGGGCGGTTGAAGTTCAGAGACCACTGCATCCACTGAAGCCGGGATTCCACCAGCAGCAACCTAAAAAACCACAAATTTTGTTTTTAATATGAATTGATACCGTAGCGACTAATTCTTCCTTTTCTTCTGGACGCGTGTCACGCAGCATGATAATTCCACCCATATTAAGCGGCTTCAGAGGCAAATATCTAAATTTAAAAAAATTAAAACTTTTGAAACAAATCAACCGCGCGTTTTCCATGTTTGCAAGTGTCTTCAACTGCAGTTTGACAACACGGCCAGGATTGGAGATCGAGTGAGTCAATGGTTCAGGTTCGTTCTTCTTCCTTAATAACAAATAAGTTTACTTACTGTACAAAAATGCTAAAGCGGGTGTTTAAATGCTTACTTTTCAATTTTGACTTCATCTTTAGCTTCAGTCTTTCCTTCGGTATCAACATCCATCTTTTCAACCTCCTTTTCTTTTTTCGCTGCCGAGAGAGGTCTCAACGCACTCAAAAGGCTCCCCTTCTTTCGGCCGGTGATTGAAAGGATAGCTGCTTCAACCTAAAACAACAGATTATTCAAGATTTTTAAAACACGGTTTACAGAATAGGTAGACCAAAACCGACCTTTTCTTTTTCCTCTTTTCGTTTGGGTTCAATAGCTGGCGGGTAGGCAAAAACAGAAGCTCGAGAATTTGATTTGAACTCCACTTTCGGCATCTAAAAGCAGCTTTAGAATTATGCAAAAACTTTGCTTGGCAAACCTCCAATTTGGTGTTCAACCCAATGATGCATGAAGGCTTGAAGGCGAGTGAGATGCAAAGAGTGAATGAGTGCCAATACCTAAGGAACAAGTTAGAAAATAAGTGGTAAAAGTAAATTACCAATATTGCATTGAGACAAACATTCCTACAACACCAGCTAGATCGGGATAGCCGTTGCGATTCTGGAGAGACACCGTAACATTACGTCCTCCGGCATCAATAATTCCTTGGGCCACCTGAAAATGAAAGTTATAACAGCTTTTAACAAATGCATACCATAGCACCAAAACGGGTCATTGAATCTTCACCCCGCTCACTAGCCATCTTTGTAAAAGTTTTCCTCAGTTCAGCGATCTAAATTTCAGAACTAAATTTAACTTTGGAAAATTTCTTGCCTTTGGTGAGGTTGCTTCTGTGTGCTGAATTTGAATCAAAGCAAGGGCAATGACAGCTCCTTGTCGAACAAAGTTCTCCTTGGCCGAAAGTAGGGGCTCAATGAGGGCAATTGCTTCTCGGTTTGCGGATGCTGCACACGCAATTCCCAATGCAATAGCAGCTCCATAACGAACGTGGCCATTAAAATGTTCAACCAGCATTGAAGTATATGAAACGCACTGATCCGGTTCCCTAAATAGGTGAAAAATGACAATGAAATGAGAGAAGGCAACGGCTAAATAATGGCATTGCAACTCACTTGCTCAGAACAAATCCTAAACCAATCACAGCCCATCTCTTCACATCGTTGTTAGGATCAGCGGCAACCTGAATAGATTGTGAGTCTTAAACGATAAAAATATTGTTACCTTGGCCAAGAGTTTTCTGACAACATTTGCATTACCGGTGCCTGAAACTTATTGTAATAACTTGCAGCAAAACCTTAAGCCTGAACCTGCATAAGCCATGGCCAACATGCAAACAGCCGATTGACGGAGAACAGCGTTCGATTTAACTTCAATTAACTGATCAATCCATGGTTCTGCAGTATCGGCACCACCTGTAAAATACTTGAGTAAAAAAATTGCCAAAGCAATGTTACCAAAAGCTAAAAGTGAAAGGCCAGTACGAATCCCCCGTTGAATTTTGTCGTGTTGAGTTTCTTGAGCATATTGGACCATTTCCTTAAAAAAAATTCATATTTAAAGCATATTTAAATAAAGCAAGTGTCACCTGAAAGACCGTGTCGTTGTGATCTCCAACCATAACCAGACCCATCGCAACCGCTGCTGCTTCTCCCGTAACCGCATCATCCATATACAGAGTGTCTCTCAGCTGCCGGTAAACCTCAAAAAGAATCGAATATACTTGTTTTTTTTGCTATTAAATACATCTTGATCGCGTGTCCCCATCGCAGCAAGTCCAAGTCCAAGACAGGCTCCGTGACGAACAGGAGATGCTTGGGCATTTTGTAGTTGGTCCCGAAGGTATTTGATTACAGCAGCATTTCCATGATTGGCATGAATTAGGCCTGAGATAAGATTTGAACTAGCAATACTTCAAAATATTACCAAGCGCGTACAATGCTCCTCCCTCTTTAAATCCAAATTGGTCAACTTCCGTTTTTGGTAGATAAGCATCGAGAAGTTTCATCGCGTTAGCTTCATGACCCTGTAAATTAAGTTAAATCTTTTTAATACAATGAAAATCACCCGATGGATCATTCCAAGCGTTGCCACAGCATTGAATTTGTTCCAATTAGTTGCTTTTCCAATCCACTCGAGGTTATCCCGCAAGAAATCATCGCACGTTGTTCCAAAGTGCATGAACCCATTCGCAATCAAAGTGGCATTATGGGCTGTTGCTGTACGAACACTATCCTGAACGAAGCATACAAATCCCAAACATAAAATTAATAAATTTACCTTCATTTCTTTGAGAATCAACATATCCGTGTGGTTGTTCTTGATCAAAAACTGCATGTGAAGACGGATTGTCTCTTGTCCAGAAAGTATCAATCTGATTCGTTCTTTTGCATTAATTTCTTTGATTGGGCTGGGCGTCGAGTGGTTGTCAATACCAGTACTTGGACTAGACTCGTCAGATCTAAAAACAGAACGTGTAAAAAAAAATGTTTTAATGTATTCACTTTGGCGAATCTTTGGGCGGCGGCGTTGTGGTTTTTTCGGCTACGGTAGCTACTTGACCATCGTGTTGTCCTCCTTCTTCCAGCTCTCGGTTGATTGCGTTGATAAACTGTTGAGTCGCATTCTCGTATAGATCAAACGCAAGCTAAATTTTGTTTTAACTTGTACCTATCTTGAATAAACCTGATAAGCCATAAGTTCTCCTTCAGTATCTGTTCCATGCAAACGGCTGAGAATTAATGCAACATCTCGGGGCTTCTCCAAACGAATCAGACACTGGCACATTGCAACAAAATCTGGATTCGGCATTTTTGAAAAGATTCCAAGCAACAAGTCGAGCACAGAGTTGCGAAGTCCAGTATCGAGTTGAGCTTCAAGCACACGCTGAACCGTCTCAGTTAGAAGCCCTAAAACAAAATATTCCAAGACCAAAAAAATATGTATGACCAATTTTATCCGAACTCGATTGAATTGCAGCCTCGATCATATCGACTCGACGAGTTTCAAGAGCCAAACCAATAACAAAACGAAGCTCCTTTAAATAACTTCTATTGCAGGTACAAAAAAACATCAGCGATACCTTTCGATCAATGTTGTTTTGGAAAATCCGGTTGACTAAAGCTTCCAATTTTTCATCAGACTTCTCGCCACGTGCACGGTTCTCCTTGTAAGTATCCAGTCCAATTTCAATCATCTTGTTGACGTACTAAAGAATAACAAAAAAATGCAAATACTAGCTTTGTCAATACCAATTCATCTTGATTTCCGACAGCTTTACTCGAAGGGCGTGGGATCAATTGAAAAAGGTCAGCCGCCGCTAGAGCCAAATTCAAAGCACCCCGATCATCGCCAAGACAATAAGAAACCTAAATTCAAACTTTGATACTTGAGCATAGATTTATATCTTGCCTTTGAAGCCAACAGTGCAGCTCGGTGCCTTTGCGCAAATTTAGTGTTCTCGTGTAGCTTTTCAATTGAAGGGAGATAGTCGGCAATCTAAAAAAAAATAAAATACGCTATGATCAGTATCATGCTTTGAAAAGTAGCTTCAATACAAAATTTTACCAGTCATCCTTCGCTTTCTACATTTTAGAAAAATACCAAATGTCGCTTTAATAAAAAAACTGACCTCAAACCATGTCGGAATGATGACATCCCAATCGTCAAGTTCATGAATGATGATTTCCTTCTCTCGTGTTGAAAAACGTTCGCTGTCAAGTCCCATCAGGAATGCCGATGGATCCTGCGGACCTCCAAGTCTTTTCTTCCACTCTTTAATCAGGAACAACGTCATCTAAAAAAACTTTAATGATATGATCAAAGTCGAAAGCGAAGATAAAACGAATGAAGAAAATAGGTAGAAGTCGAAATAAACCAGAAGAAATGGGATAAATCTCGCACTTTTCTAACGATCTAAAACTTTCTAACAAAGCAAAACCGCAGTCTTCAACCCGAAAAGGTGCCGAATGAGAAATTGAGAGGATGATAATGGAGAGATTCTTTTGTGAGAGAGTAATTTGTAAGTACGTGTAGTCTTATGTGACTTTTAAATTTTGCTGTCGAAAAGAAAGACCTAGAGGTAGCTTCTTTTTTGTTTTCTTGGTATGTAAAGTTAGCAATAAATCATTTTATCATTTTAGGTGAGTGATGCGATTTCTCGAGCAATTCAAGCGACTCATCACTTTGGATCTCGCTAATCAATTTGCCATCCCAGTACAGTCGTTGCCTGGCTGGTTTTTGAGCAAATCCTCTGCAAAACACAATCTTCCACTCTACAAAGCCTGTATCGACTTTCTACCGCTTCTACCCGACGATTACTTTCTGGAGATCGGCTATGGACGAGGGGAAATGCTCAAACTCTGCCATGATTTGATAAGGAAAGAGAACGGAAAAGGAGTAGTTTATGGTGTCGAACGATCGCAGTATATGGAAGACGTTGCGCGAAAAAGATTTGCTTTAGAGATTGTCGAAGATGGGAGTATCCAACTGAATCGAGTTCTCGATCTTCGACATTTACCCTATCCGAATGACATATTTCACGGAATCGCTCACATTGATGTGTTCTACTTTTGGAAAGAGGAAAGAATCGCGGAAATTTGCCGGGAATTCTTTCGTGTATTAAAGCCGGGACATAAGGTGGTTTGTGCGATGGAGTTCGAACGATTGAAAAAGTTGGAAAAGTGGGGACTTCTTTCGACAAATCAATGGAATCCTGTTCGTTACTTATCACATTTAGAACCAGCTGGGTTTGTTAACGTCAAGATAGACTATACGGAATCTGGAAAGCGAAAAATTCAACTAGTGACTGCAATGAAACCAGACGTTGATGAGGATTATTTCAACCCAGAGGAGCGAATGAGAAAACTTGAAAGAGATGTGAAACGGCAAATGGTTTTGAATGACATGATGAACAAAGGATACAAGCCAACTGCCGACGATCTCGAACTATTACAAGACAAGGAGTTGTTTAAATAATTTTCACTATGAAAAATATTTAGGATTAGTTTCTAGTTTTAAGTTTTGTGGGCTTTCATTTTATAAGCTTTTGTGTCATGTTTTTTCCATTAGAATGGTTTGATGTTTTTATAACAATTACGGGTTTAATAACAGATTTTTATTAGATATAAATTACAGAATGGGCGATGAACCGACAACAACTCAGCCAGACTACGAATGGGAGATTTGTCGAGAGAACATTCGGCCACTCCGATCTGGTAGAAGAATGGCAGCAATTAAAGAGGTTTGATTGATTTTAAACGTTAGAGAAGGATAATATTGATTATACAAAGTTTTATTGTGATTTGAAATATATAGTTAGATAATTTATAAATCTTTTTTATTTTTTTGGACAGCATTATAATTGCAAAAGAATTTAGGCTCTCTCATCAACTACATCAGCGAAGAATTACCAAGATCGAGTTAAGGAGAAATTTGAGGAGGTGTGCTTTAATGTTTCTTTTGTGAGACCAGTTTAGTCTAGACCGCTTTTAGGTCTCCGGTTCTGCAGCAGAAAGCGCAGATCCAATTGAACTATGGCTCGAGTTTATTCGATGGTTTGATGAGTCGTTTCCTTTTGGTCGACAAAAACTCTTCTACGAATATTTATGGAAAATTGTGCTTCAGTAAGCATGTCTTAAAGTCAGATAATGTCTTTTTCTAGATACGGAACTGATGAACGATATTTAAATGACGAAAGAATGCTTCGAATTTGGGATAAAATGGCTGAAAATAGTTTGGGCAATGGTTGGAAAGTCTATCAACACGCAAACACGATTGGATCTTTGAAAACGTTTGTCTTTTAACTTTGTTATTCTTTCTACTATTCTAATATTCTTTAGATCAGCTATTTTTTATGCTAAATGGGCCAAGTGTTTTGAATATGCAGGATTGATAACTGAAGCTAGAAAAGTGTTTCAAAGGTTTTTTTTTCCTTATTTTTAAGTTCAATATTTGCGATTAAGAGCTCGTGCCAATTGTGCTACTCCAATTAACTTGCTGAATGATGAAGAGAACGCCATGGAAATGCGAGAGGTACTTTTTAAAAAATTAAAATTGGATAAAGTTAGTAATCGTAAATTGATTAAAACGTTTCTATTTATAGATTCGCCGAGTAATCGAAGAACGTGCGAATGACTCTTGGCAACAAGACACGGATGATATGGTCATTGATGAAGACGATAAAAGAATTGCTCTAACGCGTTTACAAGGTTGTTGATTTAGTTTGTTGGCCTTCTAAAAAACACATTTCAGTTGTCAGTTTATTTATTTAGGCTTCGGAGAAGAAAGGCATGCCCCTATAGTCCGACAACCACATTTGGTTGGTGAGGGCGGTTCACTACGAATTCGAGATGGGCAACTAAAGAAAGCATCATGTTCTGCTCCCGCAAATGGTTTTCAGGTAGCTATATTTTAACTAACAATACACGATAAACCTTACATGGCTTTATCGTGTAATGGGCTAATTTATATCTAAACCTACAACAACTTTTAGATCTTCACGGAAAAGGAAAACGAGTACGAGCAGAGTTTTTTGCAAGGAGTTTATGAGATGAACACACACATTGAGCACATTCATCTCATCAATCCCGAGGAACACAAAGAAGATGTTTTACGGAGGGTCCCAATCAAGAAAAACAGCGCACCTCAATCGGCTGGTTTCACTATCTACGATGAATCGGCGGATGAAAATACACGCACAACCAAAACTGTGGCCAAACCAAAGCTCATGCTGATAAAAAGCATGAGAGAGCATAGTATTGAGGTTTATTTTTTTAGATGACTATCAAGAACATATGATATTTTTAAATGTAACAATGTAAAACATTTACGGAATTGGCTTAAATAATGTCTAAATCTTATTTTCTCTTTTTAGGAAGTGCGGTGCCAAAAATACTTTGAAGCCAATGGGATCTCGGATGAAAAAATTTATTGAATCGTTTTTAAGGTCTCTAAATTTTCACTTTTATACTTATTTTGTACAGTTTCACTTAAAATTATTAAATTTTCAGTTCTCGTTTTTGTTGATCTTTCCTTTCAAATTTGTGTGATCTCTTAACAGCCAGTATAAAATTAACTATTATTTAATTATTTAAAAAAATAACAATCAGTATAAAATTCTACCTTATCGACCCCGAATAAATCTTTTTGAAAAATGCAGCATGAAAAAAAATTGAATGTAGGTTTTGTATTAACTCACGGATTGCAAATAGCAAAGTAGCATTTTGGTGAGCACAGTAAGTGTGCAACGTATTCGATAGGTACATACATATCACACTAGCTACAAGTCAATTAGGTGTAAATCCGCCTTGTAAGCTGATAATGATTTTTGGTTTTGTTGCTGAATGTCTTGAAGAACTTTCGAAATCTCAAGTTACTATTTTGCTTACAAGTCCGATACAAATCATATAAGAAACTATTTATTGCTGCTATTGTTGCAAATATTCATTTTTTTTCATCTCAAATCGTGTGGGGACAGTGATTAGTCAAATGATCTATTAGATGAATCTTTTTGATAAGCGAAAGTGTATCGAAATTTCCCCTCTTTCCCTTCTCGATTTTCTCATTTCCCTTCTTTTCTCGATTTTCTTCATCAGCTTCACCACAATTTCCCCCATCTTTTTCGATCAGAAGTAGGAAGATCTTATCTATTTCTCTTCTCTCTCTCTCTTTTGTGTTTCCCCTTAAGGGACCGCCCCTTTCTATTTTTCTCTTTTCTCATCACTGAATCCTTTTTCCTCTTTTTAACTATTGCCATTCGTTTTTGTTACCACTCTTTGAGAACATTTCTCCGCATACCGAACTCCGATTTTGTTTATTTATCTGTGGTAATTTTGTTTATTTATTTTAATTGATCACATTTCGATTCAAACAATCAAAAAATGAAACATTTCTCTAGTTGATAATTTTCTGAATGACAATTCCTTTGTAATTTCCTTAATTTTTGAATACATAATTTTTGAATACAAAATTCGTATTCTTGTGTAGAAACGATAAAATGGACAATCAAGGAATGACCGCCTTTTCCGGTGACGAACCGCAAGAACCGTCAACGAGTCAACGAGTGAGTCAAGTTGAAAAAAACAGACGGAAATCGTTTTGGATTTTACTTAACACGTTGGCGACAGACAGAAACCGTTTCTCGCTACTTACGGACCAAAAATTCTAAACATTTATCACAATATATAAATTTTGATCCTGTTTCCGAATCCAGATTCAGTTTTTCTCAATAAAGTACAATTTCTTGTAAATTCAAAAGACCTCCGCGACAGCGACTTTGCGCGTTCTTTTCATGTCTGTTGTTTCATGTTCTTTTCATGTCACTCATAGGAAAAAGCGGCGTCTGGCACACTGCTCCGGATGTGGGGTCGGCCGACTTGGGTAATCAAACCGTTCCAAAAATTAATTTTCAACAGGGAACTTATTGTTTTTCTTTACGGATTAGTGTCTAAATTCCCCTCATATTTAAATAGATGCCTTAAATAACCCCTATAATTAAAACCATCAAAACGTGATCTAAACCCGAAAGAAAGGAGTTTTTTTTGATACAAGCCTCTAAAATTCCGTATGCCTGGGTTGATATTGAAAAAAAATAATGTGTTATTTAAAATCAACATACTCAAAAACACCTGGGTGTAAATTTTGAGCTCTAGAACTAGAAAAGAACGCCTTCATCCCAAATGGTAGTTAAGTGGTAAAAAGCGGTAAAAAGCCTCGTCACCAATGTGTTAAAGCATAAAATCTTTTTGATCTAAACAGTATTCCCAATTCTTAAAAACTTTTTAAGCAAATTTTCTCACCTTTTTTATTTGTCACTGAGCATTTCAGCACAGTGAAAGTGTCGAAGACGAGCCGACCTCCGAGAATTTGCGACGAATACTTCAACAAGTGCAGTCAACAATGAAAGAAAGAAGCGTACGTTTAAAAGCTTGAATTCGTTTCAAGGCTTTATTCGTTTAAATTATTAACGGAAAAGTCTTCCAATACTAAGCATGCATAGTATCGCTCAAAATACTGTAAAACAAGTTTCTTGTCTCGCTGCGGTAACCCGAAATAAAAATCATTCGCAAAGCAGAATATGTTTCAATTTTAAGGATGATCTAAAATCGGAGATTGTCTCCTCGACATCGGGCGTTGTTTCACCAAGCGAAGAAGAGTTACAAGCGGGTCAAATTCTTGGTCCATTCAACGTGAGACCCGTCGATCGATCACCAAATACATCTAGCTCAAATGTGATCACGGTAAAAAGAATTTTTTCTCCAAAAATCGAAAAATTCAGGTAGAGAACGGTGGTGTGACTCAAACTTTGGAGATTCTCTCCGATGAACCAATCCTTCAGCGCTTAAAAACAACAACAACCCTTGGAGAAGCTAATGCTTTATTCTATGTTCATGGTGAGTATATTTAAAATTTCTTTTAAAATTAAAGATTTTCTTTTCAATTCCAGATGATTAGTCATTAAATTGAATACAGCTGTTTCTTGTCTTTCCCTTTTTGAAATGATTTCTTTCTTGTATTGATAGCCAACACATAAATGAATGAAAAGAAAGGGGAAATTGAATGATAAGCTGCACCATCTGAAAAGGGTCTTCGTTCACCCATCTAATATGAAATGATAAGGAAAACTTCTTGACACAGGTCGATTTGGGGAAAATCTGAATAAATAATATCTATGGGTATTGGGTTATGGATCTATATCCATGGGTTGAACTGTTTACAAGTGATAAATACTGTTGTAGTAGTAGATCCTCGTGACTGTTGTAATGTAACTGAATTGCTTGTGGAATAGCAGTTAGCGTTTATCCAGAATAATGAAAAAGAATAAAAGAACCTACTATATATAAATGAGAAAAGAAAAGTCCGTCTGTCCGTCCGTCACACTCTAGATCTCGGCTCCACATGAACCGATTTCGACAAACTTTTTTTTGATCGGTAGGGAATTAAAAATGAATAGGTACATATTTTTTGATCAAAGCACGTTTTTCATCAAAAACCCGTAAAAAACCAGAAAAATCACTTAGTCACATCCCTTTTTGCCTTCGGTGGCGCTTGGGAGGGGAGGGGGCGCGCCCCGCCGGCGCGACCACGCCCGGGCGTGGTCGAGGTGGTTAGCGTCCCGTCTACAAAACGACTGCCCTAAGGGGGTGTCGGGTTCGATTTCCGTCCGTTCCAAACTTTTTTGCTCCAGATTTTTTCAAGCATGGAGTTGAAGTATGCAATTGGTACTATTATATCAGGGCGAAGGTATTATTACAGGGGTCTCAGAAGGGGAGGGAGGCGCGCCAAGCGCACCCAGTATAGATGTCGTTATTGCTGCGGAGGGTAAAAGGGTTGGTCCCGATATGGCTTTGAAGGATTAAGATATAGATCCCAGTATTGTTGTAGGGCACGAGGCGTGGCGTTAGTCGTGCCGAGCGCCCTTTAACTTGAGAGATCAAACTACACGCCAGTCCCAAAACATCCAGCCAGAAAAACGGTTTTTCGGCTGGTAAAAGAATAAAAGAATCCGAATCGATTCGTATACAAAAATGTCGAACAATGGGAGGGAGCGGAAACAAAATAAAATGGTACAGACGACTACGGGGCGTTCCTAGTGACAACCTAGACAGATGTGGAAGGTGCACTTTAGAAAACGACAATTTTGTGGGAAGTATAAAAGACTCTTCCCAACAAATACAAACACAGCTGCCAAGCAAGTTTTCGTTCCTTTTCATATTTCCGTTGAAAAATAACAAATTCACCAATTAACCTGCCGTAAATACTGTAACAGTACCCCACCGCCTTGTAAAGTCACGTAGTAGCAAAAGTTTTTTCGTATTTCATTTTTCTCAAAGCGCCCATACTTTTGAAAAATTCGTCTTTGATATCAAAAAAAATAGCTCTGAATTTCAGCTATTTTTTGATACCTAAGCGCACATTGTAGCATAAACCAGTGTCGAGTAAAACGCGTTCAAAGCTAGACCACGCAACACTCCGCCCCGTCATTATGGGGGTGGGGTACTATTACAGTACATATTTGGGCTTTCTAATGAAACAACCCATGGTGCATTTGTTGGTTTTAAACGGAAGTACGAAAAGGAACGAAAAGGCTTATTCTCCAACCTAATAGTATGCTGTTTTATAACTAACTCATAAATATAATCTCTCTACTAATCCTTCGCATATTTATAAAGCTATTCAAAAACACTATCCGATGTTGAGTTATTGAGGAATGTATTCTCCATAAGGTGTAAGGGGGTGAATGGGTGTATCACTCAATCCACTGTATCACCCTTTTCACTCTTTCCATTCTCCCTTATTTTTCTCATTTCATTTTTACTGATAGGCACCACAAGGGCAATATTATCGCCCTATTGATAAGCGAGAGGAGAACTCCGCCAAAAGAAAGCTCACACAAATACAAATTCCTTTCCATGAGGCTCACATCATTGCGAAAAGTCAGAAAACGCTATTAGGAGTAAGCAGGGGAAATTGAGTTCAGATCAATAAAGTTAATAAAACTTTCATGCAAAAGTGACATTTGGCAAAAGTGATCAGTTAAAAAAGTACATATGCATTAAACACATTGCCAGCAGTGGTGAGTATTATCTTTCATGCATTTAATCTTCAGAAGCTAGCTGTAATCTTCAAAATTCTAGAAGATGGTTTATGGTTGATGACGGTGAGAGTTGTGTCACGAGATGAGCCACTCATTGGCCTTTTCATTCAAGCACCCAAAGAGAAAGAAGCTGATGAAAATATGAAAAGTTCGTGTTTTTTTAGCTATAAGTTCAAATTTATTGATTCGAATCTTGGTAGATTTCATTTTAGGATTCCCATGCGAGGGTTGTGATGCATCATTCAAATCACCGACAAATCTCGCCGCTCATCGACAACTCTATTGTAAAGCGAGAGCACAAAATGGAGTACATCGCGAACAAAATGGAAATGGTTGGTGGAGCAAAGAAATGATGTGATATCCAAATCATACCTATCTTCCTCACTTTTACCTTTTTGAAAACCTGACTTTTTATTCTAATAAAAGCGCAGCCTCCAACAGATTATAGATATTCAGCTTAGTAGACTGAATACCTTGAGTTTTGAGGCTTTAAGGATATACATATAAAGCATTGCCTTGAGAAAAATAGCATTCTTTATCATTTGTTTTGCATAAGCAGTGGCAATTTTGATGTTTTTCTTGCAATTAGCTTAATTGGAATTTATAACTTAGACTAGGTACCGTATTTCTTCGAATAGAAGACCGGGTAAAGAGTATCATCGCGTACTCCTGCGTAGCAGCCCTTTTTAAAATTTCTTTTCTGCATAAAAGCTTTCAATGAAGTGCTATAGGGCTGGAAAATGACTCAAAAATACCACATGAGCTAACAGATTTTTGAGTCATTTTCCAGCTCTATAGCACTTGATTGAAAGCTTTTATGCAGAAAAGAAATTTTAAAAAGGGCTGCTACGCAGGAGTACGCGATGATACTCTTTATCCGGTCTTCTATTCGAAGAAATGCGGTAATTAAATTCCGTCGAGTTTAAGGTAATGCCATAAAATTCTCATAACTTTAAACATTTTGACTTTTATATTTTAGTATCCAATCATTTAACAAAGAATCTTGCAAAGCAAAGAATCAATAGTTTTTCCTAGATTCTTGCATGAACTGCTTAAAAATCATTGCTAAAGTTCATTATTGCTTAATCAGTAGCTTTTCTTTCATTTTCTTGCATTGACTACGATAGCGAAGCCTCCAATAGAAGCAATTTTGTGGAATGATTGAAAAATAGGAGTGCGTGCGCTTCTATTAAAATAAATACGATATATTCTTCCTGTTACCTTTTTAAAAAACTTATGTATCCTTTTCTCAAACTCAAAAGCACATTTAAAGCTGAAATAGATGTGTGGAGCGATAATCACACTGTGATCATCATTCACCTCTAATCTTCTCCATTTCCCCTTTTTCTTTTCTCTACTGACATTATCTAATCGGTGAATCTCTTCTCCCCGATCTTTTCCCGGATTTTTTGGGGATCTTCTGCGAAGAAATTTATGGATCACTCTAAAATGATTAGAGTTTTGTCTTGGGAAACTTTTCAATTTCAAAAAAGGCGGCTGGGCACGGTAGATTTAAAGCCCACAGTAATCCGGGCAAAGATATAGTAACCGTATGTCTAAAGTACTGCTTACAGTTCCAATTTCCATTTGATGAATATCCTCATTAACTTCTAGCTTCATCTTAGCAGACTGATGTCTACTAGAATCAGAAATGTTAAGATTCACTTTACCATTGTCTCTACCACTTTTCTCTTTGCCACTTTGCAATTCAAATGTCTTAACCTCTTCTTCTTTGCCACTTTATCATGTGTACATAGCTATACATATTCACATATTACATATCATTCCTTTAGCTGTATTTGTTCGAGAAACGAAAAGCAAGAAAAGGCCCTCGGGGGTTATCGCTTTGGGAGATCTTTCTGTTTTGGCTCGATTGGGAACGAAAGAAATGAAAAGAAATGGAGAAATGGAAAGAAAAAGGAAAAGGAAAGGACCCAGATAAGGGCCCGAATGAAAAGAATGAAAAGATAGAAAAGAGAAGCCATCTCACATGTGATAGATGAAGTCGAAGATTGAATGAAGTGCTAGATTTAAGAGGAAAGAAAGGGAAAAAGGGGAAAAGGAATGGATTGAACAATTGCGGATCTGTTAATGAACTCAAGGGAATTTAGAAAAGGTTTACTGTAGACTTGTTGACGAGTTGATAGTGCAGTATATGATTTATAGGCAGGAAACGGTGTTGAAACAGTTCCCTAGTGAGAAGATTTATCTAGAAACTGGCAAAGTCAGAGATTTGGCAGCTAATAATTCGGAAAGATATCCATTTTTGAGATTCAATCATTTCAGTTGTTCCACCGCGTATTCTCCAATCGATGGGTCTTCCCGTTCCTCCACTCAATTCATCGATCTCTTTACCCACCGCCGGTTTGTCATACAAAATATATTAAACACTACTCTTAACACATTCACGACAAAGTCATTTTTGGCTTGGCTGCGGTTCGGACAACATCGTGAATGTATTAATAAATCTAGAACTAAAACTCCTTTTTTATTCCAGGTTCAGCTCCATCATTGCCTCGATTTCCCACTCAAAATCTCCTTTTTCTGCCGGTTGCCTATCACGATCTGCCACAAAATGGAATTGTACAGGTAAATCTATCAAAAAATAATCGTATCTTGTATAATTTAGGTATTAGGCCCGGCTCAAACTTTTGTCCCGATTGCTGTTGGTCGATCACAATCTCTTTCTTCATCACTTCAACAACTCGGCGCTCCGTATCTCCTCGTGAATTCACATGTAGAGTATTGTGAAAACTATACAGGGTGTCCGGAAAAAAAAGTGGTCATCGGTTTGAGTCTGGAAAAATTTTCTCGTTGATTTTTCAAGGCTTATCGTGGTGTCAGAATTGGTTTTGCCTCAGGCGCCACACAAAAAGATGAAGTTGATGATTTTGTGAATGCATCGGCCATAGATATCCCACGTATAAGGCATACATGAAAAACACACTTTTGAATTCCTCTATTTCACCACAAATCTTTCTACTTTTTGTTTCGATAAATTTGTTTTGATTAGGATCTTGAAAATAAGAGACCTCAAAAAGTCAGCCCTGGGAAAGCAGCAACAAGAGGGGTTTCTCGCTCAAAAATTAACCATATTTTCAAGATTTTTAAAACAGCCAATCCAACAATGCAAACTGGAATTGTGACTAGAACATTTAAAGAACAAAAAAAATTATAGAAACAAAAAATAGAATGTTTTTTGCTGAAATAGAGGAGTTCAAAAGTGTGTTTTTCATGTATACCTTAAACGTGGGTACCTATGGCCGAATGCATGACCCCCTATTCACAAAATCATCAAAAAAATCAACTTCATCTTTTTGTGTGGCGCCTGAAGCAAAACCAATTCTGACACCACGACGAGCCTTGAAAAATCAACGAGAAAATTTTTCCAGACTCAAACCGATGACCACTTTTTTTTCCGGACACCCTGTATTCTTTAGTATTTATAATCATATATGAATCATCAAGATAAGCGGTAGTAATTGAAGTTATAGATCGACTTTTCAGCCAAACATCCCATCAACGGTCAAATTTTCGGCTGGTGAACTCAATTTGCAAATCCCGCTCATCGTCAATGAGCAACAAGAAGGGTTGGCTTAAACTTTTTCAATCAAAGGCTTTTTGCGTACTAATACATAGTAGACAGATTTTGCGCACTGAAATTTTTCTAGCTAGCTATAGTATTGTATGGACTTTCTATTGGATTAGGACTTTCTATTGAATGAAACCATGGAGCTGGAAGATGGAGCTTCCATAGTATTAAGTGGAGTGTGTTCCTCGTGATTAAATAATTAAATAAATTTGTATAAACAAATTTTGAATCGAATAAAGGTCAATTAATTCAGATTTGTCTCAATTAATGCGTTAATAAACAAATGTGTGCAAATTAAGTTGGCTGAATATCTTTTACGTGTGAATCGCATTATCTAATGAGCGCGCTAACGTTTTTTCGGGGTAGGCTAGTTTCCGCAACTTTTTTTGCGCAACAGGGTCGTTTGCGCAACTCGCCATAACTTTCTTCTAAGTGGGCCAATCTTTATGATTTTGGTCTCAATAAGTGCAACAAAATGAGACCAAAATCATAAAGATTGGTCCACTTAGAAGAAAGTTATGGTGAGTTGCGCAAACGACCCAGTTGCGCAAATGACCCTGTTGCGCAAAAAAAGTTGCGGAAACTAGCCTACCCCGTTTTTTCACTTCGAGTTTTTCTCAACGCTTCTTACTATTAGTTCGTTTTCTCTATACTTTTCTTTCTTTTACTCTTTCTTTTCAATTGAATAACTTTTATTTTAGATTAACTTCTGATCCAAAAAACAGCGCGATTTAAGCAATTAAGCAGATTTAAGCATTCAATACAAAAAAATTAGCTATCGAATGTCCAAAAAGTAACAAAAAACAAAGTCGGTCAAATTTGAACACTTTTGGTACCATTAGATAGCTAATTTGTTTTCTAATTTCTAATTTTTAATAGCTAATTCCTATCTAATTATACTAAAAGTGTTAGAATTGGTTTAAGGAAAGCTGAGAAAAACGCATTTTGTCAACGGCAAAAAGGCAAAAGTGGATGGGGCCAATTTGATCGGATCGATCGGATCGCATGTCTATTACCTAAGTGACTGTAAATAGTTTATCCTGCAATTTTTCTCGGATCTAAATCTAAATCCGAAAAAATATTTAGTAAGGACGTTAGAAAAGATGCGAATACTTCGCACTACTGAGAAAAAGCGCCTGCAAATGATGAATGAAAAGTTTAACAAACAAAACAAACAAATGGTTATAAACAAATCTACATAACTACGGTAGCCTTTTTGAGGCCCACGCTTTAGAAAGCGCATTAATCACGAGGAACACACTTACAGGGTGGTTGAAAATTACGTGCGCGCGGCATCTGACATAGTTTTAAACAATGTATAAAGCATTACTACTCATCTTTTTGTGTTTTAATATTCTTTTAATATTGTATATCTACCTGCTAATGAGGTCTTAATCTTAAAATTTCAGTCAAACAAATGCGGGTACAAAGAGGAGAGCAGTCCCAGTTCCATCAACAACAATGACTCAAGGTGTTGTTGATCTATCAGCAAAAAGAATGCGATCAACAATCTTACATCAATCAACAACAACTCCACCAACCACATCAACTTCTTCCACATCATCACTTCCCATTCCGCTACCAATCATTATACCAAAAGTGAGTTTAGTTAATTGCTTTTTGTGCGGTTCTTCCGGTACACAACTAACAACGAAAATTATAAAATATAATCAATATTGTTTAGCAAATTGATTCAAATGGAGAGAAACGTTTTGTGTGTGGTTGTGGGGTTTCATTCTCAGCTCAACTCACTCTTCGCGCACATCAAGAACATTACTGTAAATTGGCCTCTCGATCAACAATTGATCCAATATTTGGCTTATCAAGAGAATCACCAAGAAAGGTAATTATAAAATTACAAATTGAACTCAATCCAGTAATCAATTACCGTATTATTCATACGGTAATTGATATACTATCTGGAAAACACATACTATCAGGAAAAATACTTCATTTGAAGTAATAAATATTTCATTTGAAGGTGCCATCTCGTTGTTCTCAATGTGATTTCCATCCACAATCTGCTTCTCAATTATCTGTTCACATGAGACAAGTTCATGCTGAAGTACAAGCATATGTTTGCCAAGAATGTGGATATCGGGGTTTCTCACAAAGAGGCATACGGTAAATGAATAGAATTTAATACATATTTCTCTATTCCTTTAGTTCTCACCTCCGCACTCATCCCAATCTCGACAATATCAAATTTGAGACATTAATGAATACACACGTGATTAAGGTAAAAACGATTTGGTATTGACTTTTACAATTTAAAAGATATAAGCTATGTTAGAGTTGAACATATATAATTAGATTGTGTAAGTTAATAAGTAATAAGTAATAAGTAATAGTAATAAGTAATAGTAATAAGTAACCTAATTAGATTGTGATTTTAAAATCCCCTCAAACAAAGGTGAAATTCTAGGTTTGTCACAATGGTCGAACAGTGTCGACATCAAGTGAAATTTCTGAAAGAAATGGCCGAAGTCCCGAAGAAATTGATGCCAATATAAAAATTGAAGATAGTGAATGAAATGTTTAATTTTTATTCAAAATGTTTGTCATAATAGTCTATGAGTTTTTCTCCTACTTTACAGCGAAAATGTTCTATCTGACTCTATAATGATCTATCTAACTATCTGAGCTACACTACTGGACAATGAAATATCATATTTGAAAAAAGATCGTCACTTTCGCGCGTCTGTAACTCCCTTGTTTTACCGTATTTCTAAATATTAATATTATCATTGTGTAGCCCTTGAAAAGAGCTTTCAGAAAATGTATAACACTAATAGTTTAAACTCAAAGATAAGGGAGTTACAGAAGCGTGAGAGTGACGATCTTTTTTCAAATATGATATTTCATTGTCCAGTACTGTATAAAGTTCCAAAACAAATACTGCTTTTTAAGAATATTGTTATAATTTCTTTAACAGCATTTTGACTAAGGCACCGAAGTCTCTCTTAGCTTTCGTTCATTCAATTTCCCTTCCTTAATTTCAAGGCTTTAACCCAAAACTCTCATATACCAAAGCTTTTATCTGAATTGATCGTGCAATTCCGGTGTTCTAAAAATAAATACTGATTTATTTAAAATATGACACAGTTAACTGTACAACTGTACAAATATTTGTCATTTTCAAAAGCGTCAAAGTTTTTCGTTTAGAATCGAAAATGTTATATCACATACGATTTTTGGCTTAATTAGGTAAGTGAAATGAAAAGTTTGGCAATTGTTTCTTTAAGTAAACCTTTAAAGCAAGAATAGTATAAACTTCTACTGTCATATCTAAAAGTGAAATAAAAGCAATAATTCTTGCTAGGTAAGCACTCGGAATAGAACTATAGAAAAGAAAAAAATGAAGAAGAAGAAAAAAATGTCGATGAACCCTGGAAGAAATTGAGCAAAATGTTCTTTTTTGGCGGTCTGTTTAGCCAGAAGTACAATTCCCACTCGGAACACAACAAACTTGTTGGATTGTTGTCAGGGTTACCTGGAAGTAAAGTGAAATGAAAAGACTTTCTGGACAGCCTAATACATACCGTAAATACTGTAATAGTACCCCACCCCCCTCGTACAGTTGCGTTGTCGCAAAAGTTTAGTTTTTAGTATTTCATTTTTTTCAAAGCGCCTGTACTTTCAAAAAATGCGTCTTTGGTATCAAAAAATAGCTGAAATTCGGGGCTATTTTTTGATACCTAAGCGCGCATTGTAGCATAAACCAGTGTCGAGAAAAACTCGTTCAAAGCTAGACTACACAACACTCCGCTCCGTCATTATGGGGGTGGGGTACTATTACAGTATTTACGGTAGGTAGATTGACAATACATTGCTTATTATGACAAATTGGTTATCACTTACTCGTTCTTTATGATTAAAATATTCCAAATCAACAGCCACATCAAATTGCATGTTTACATAAGTGGAAGTGAAACGAGAGAATGGCGCACGACAATACTCACTGAAATTGGGCACTTTTTGATTGTAATGAATAGGCTCTTCATGGCTAAAACATTTTCTAGAAGATGCGCGTATAGTTAGGTAAAACTACCGTGAGCCCGCTTCTTTTTAATGCAACAACTGACTAGAAAAAGTAAACTGAAACTTACGCTGCAATATCGGTAATAGTGACATTATTCCAGAAAAAGAGTTGATTACCCATTGTACTCAATGGTCCTACTGAAATCGACGAATGATTGAGACCTGTTCCTGAAAAGATTTTTTGTGTTTCTTACTGAAAAACCTTTAGTTCTATTGTTCTTGTTCTTCTTATTATTATTATTGACACAAACCCAATTGATCACTACTCCATGGTTGAAATCGACTAATTACATTTGATGTTGTGTTAACAACTCTCACTGCGTAATAGTTGTGATTTGAAATGTTGACAAAGTTCTGAAATTTCAAAAACAACTTATAGGTAACTCGTTTGTGTCTGTAGAATAAAATGTACACTACAATTTCCCAACTCGAGTTACCCACTTTGAATCCAAAAAAGACCATCGGTGGAGATTCGGTTGTATTATAAACTTTAATAATATCAATAGCTGAATGATTTGGTGATAGATTGACAGCTCTCGGCATTAACATGAATATCAGCACGAAAGCAATGATTAAGACGACTCCTGTAAACAAAAAATAATCCTTGACAAAAGTTCATGGTAGCTCATGATACTAATTCTATGAATTCAATGGAATGTATTAGGTTGGCGACATTGAAATTTCGTTTGCGTTTCTCTTTATGGATTTTAACACTGTGGATACTATTACCACCGCAATCACTTCTGTTTTAAAGATATAATTATCGTGCTTTATTACGCGTCTTTTCTTTATTCCCAGTTGAAGAATTTTAATTTAAAAAATCTTTTAGATGCTAGACGACCTCAAATATCGACTTCGCATCTGTTTGCTGTACGATTTCAAACAATGAAAAACATCAACGGAATCGCATGAATCACTTTGTAACGTATTTGGGAAAGATGTTATCACTGTTCGTCAATGTGAAAACTGGTTCAAAAGATTTCGAGCGGGTGACGAAAGTCTGGAAGATCTGGAACGAGGACACCGCTCGCAGGCTGTCGCAAACGACGATTTGAAGCAGATAATCGAAAGTCATCCGACAAAGACTACACGTGAACTTGCAGAATATTTTAATTGTGATCATAAAACAATTGACAACCATTTGTATGAATTGGGCAAGATCAATAAAGCTGGAAAATGGATACCACATTTACTAAGCAATCAGAGTTCTTTGTTCAGGAAATTTGCTTCGAATCTCCAAAAATGGTGGATTTTGGGATTCAATGTTAACTGCTGATGAGAAATGGATTCATTATGACAATATTACAAGGAAAAGACAATGGCTGGACCCGGGTGAAATTCCAAAGCCAATACCTAAACCGGATTTTCACGGAAAGAAAGTTATGCTGTCGGTTTGGTGGAATACCCGAGGCCTGGTTCATTTTGAAGTGTTAATTTCTGGTCAGACTGTTGATGCAAATCTTTACGTTCAACAACTAGATCGCGTGAACGCGGTTCTTCGCTCAAAAAGGAATTGATCCGACAATAGTGCGATTGTTACACGACAATGCTCGTCCTCACCTTGCGAAAATTACGCAAGAGAAAATTGAGCAATTGGGCTGGGAACTTCTAGTTCATCCGCCTTATAGTCCAGATATTGCTCCATCTGACTACCATTTATTTCGAAGTTTGCAGCATTCACCCGAAGGCCACAAGTTCCAGAACATTGACGACATCAAAAAATGGGTCTCTGCTTTCTTTCAATCAAAACCAGCACCATTCTTTCAAGAGGGAATCCATAATTTGCGTCAAAGATGGAAAAATGTTATTGATAGCTGTGGGGAATATATTGTTGATTAATTGTCTCCAGTTTATTTTTTACGAATAAATTTTGTTGTTGCTCAAAAACGAAATTTCAATGTCGCCAACCTAATAACTCTCAAACGTTATTTCTTCAATTTCTCAATTTCAACTTACCAACTCCTAGACACACCCATAAAAAGGTTCGTTTTGGTTTCAAGCGATCATCATTGATAGGAATTAAAGCGACAAGAGTCTCCTCAAGTTCTGAAATTCGATTGATCAATAGACATAGAAATGAATTGGGCACTGTACCAAATGATTTCAAATGTTTATGTGTGTTACGTACTTTCGCCCTTAAATTTCACAACTTTCGAATCAACAACCTCTCGGTATCCATCCTGTTCCTTTACAACTCGGACAAAGCACGTTTCCAGATCGCAATTCAGTGTAATCATTCGAGAGTCGATTCGACGAATCAGATGCTGCTGCCCCGTACGCTGATTCTTAAAGGATCACGATTTTAAAGCGGTCAAGTTCAATGTTTTGATTGTTTCTTTACAGCGTGATCCAAAAGTGGTCGACGGCATGTTGCCGAAATTAGTCAACTTCCAATGTTTATACAGATCCTGTTTATACAGAGCCGATGAAATGGAACAATTTACACAAATTTTAAACTTTAAATTTTTTCCAATTAAAATAAATTAAACTTGATATGGGACACCCTTTCTGGGGCTTTTTGGAGAATGCTCTTTTTCGTTAAAAATACCAAAATCTGCTGACTTTGATATAAGAGAGCTTCCTATTCAAATAAATGTTAGCCTAAACTTTTAAAATTATTTTCTAAAGTTTTCAGCATCAAGATGAACATTAAAAGTTTATAAATTTTTTTTTGGAATTAGTGACACGCATGACTAAAAAATTGAAAAGGAAGTCGATTTTGACAGCGTGCCGTCGACCACTTGTGGACCACAAAGGGCCAACCATATAAAAAAGCTATGATGAGCTATGAGCTCTTTATTAGTGGTTTTAAGTCTAATTTTATTAAGGTTTTCATTTTAAAAAACGTTTATTTAAATAGCTTTTCTTTAACACCAAGTTTTAGTCAAAAAGTTGTACGGGACTTTTGGATCACCCTGTATTTACTCACCGGCTCGTTCCTCTCGTAATCTTTCATGTGCCACTCGATCTTCAGAAGAAAATGTACCTTTTATTCTTGTCCATAATTTGGACATTCTGAAAAAATTTTCTCAATAATTGTCACTGTGCTTAACCGTGCTTCAACATTAACTGCAAAGTGCAGTCTCAATTTTACCCAATAGAATTGTAGGACTTTTCCCGGTTAGATTTAAGTAAATTTCAAATCTTTCTTTCTATGGAAAGGGCTATAGACTTTCACCAAAATAAAAGCGGAAAGTACTCATTTCAAGAAAAAAAAATAGATTAAACAAAATTTATTCCTCAAAAAAAGTGAAAAAACACATTTATACTAGGTAATAGCCAAAAACCCGTTTCACATAAATGAGTTAAATGAAATTCAAAACATATAAGGTGTAAAGTTTAACTTTGTTTTTCGTTTTCACCGCGATGATATCTATATTGGGCAACTTCTTCTGGCATTTCTTCTCCTGAACATAAAACGATATTACGCTTATTTTTGGACATACCTTTAAACTATTAAATCCTTATTCAGAATCATATGAAATGATTTTAAACACTAAAATTAATTTGGGTATTTCTTTAGTATCCGGGGAGGGGTAACAATTTTGGCAAACTTGTGTTACTGATTTAGTTATCTTAAACTTGTCCAATTTTGACTTTAAAGCATTATTAGATAGCTTAGGCTTTGTAGATTCTAATAAGAGTATATTCTAATAATTCTAATAAAAATTTTTCAAAAGCTATCACAAAAAGTGTTTAAATTGAGAGTTGAAGTTTGGCAAAATCGTTACCCTCGGATATGAAAGAAGTACCCTAATTTATAGCAATTTTAATACAAAAATGAAAATCCGAACCAAGTTCTTTTAGTAGAAGCGAACGAAATCGTTTGTATAGCTCGATCTTCCCATTGACCTAAACTATCTTGATTGCTAACAAGAGCTAATGCATGAACCTGTCGATTTTTATTGAGAACTCTCTCGAGACATTCCTTGTTGTAAAGTTGAGGGTTTTTTCCTTGGTCCAAAAATTCAAGCAGTTCTAGTGGTATTCGAATATCGTCAAAGTTGTTCCGAGCTCGATCCAATTCCTAAATTAAACTAATTTAAGCATATTTTGTTGTTTCGATGATTTTCGAAAATAAATGCAAAAAGATCCATAAATCTTTTTATGGCTAAAATGTTTACGATTCTCAGCAAAAAAAAACTAAACCTGCAGTCCGGTGATGAGTGTGTGGATCTTGTGGTTGAAATTCTCTTGATTTCTTGGCAAAAAATCACTCGCGACAATGCCCATTTGCCGCGCATTTTCCTGAAAAAACTTTAATAAAAGAAAAAACACCAAGCCAAAAGCACCTGAAATTGTTCTAATGTTCGCTCAAGTGTCTGATATCGATCCATTTCGGCGGGTGCTGGTCCTCCATTAGTCACTAAAAAATTTAATTGTTTAAAACCAAAAAAACTGAATTAAACGATTCAAAAATGCTCTTAGAATAAATTTAAGTGAACTCACTTATTGACGTGATGTATTCTCGTAGATTGTTGACGGATTTGCTTTCTTGATTCTGCATTGGTCCTCAGCGATTGACTAAATAAAAAGTCGAACTAGTCAAAATATCTGAAGTGGAGAACATTCAATCTTCAAACACAAAACAACAATATTATATAGGTATTAACCTAGGGTTCTTGCACTCTGGTAGATTTAACCATAAACGTTCGAAATCTTTTTATTTGACAATGGATATGTTTAATTGCAAAGTAATTTTGAGAAATCGTTGAGATCACGCATGGCAAAACTAGAGGAGCTCTTTTACGTTTGCTAATAAATTAAAGAGTAGAATATTAGGAAAATTGGAAAAAAATTTGAGATCAATATGGGTACAGAAAAGTAAACTTACATCTGATACATAAGTTAAGGGTAGGAATGAGGGGAATCGGACGAAGACGAATGGACCTTCTCATTTTGCGGATACCGTTTCTTATTTAATCACAGTTTTCAAGAAAATAAGATATTCAGGCTGAGTGCTGAATATCTTATGCCTGTTGCCTAGAAACTCTTACAGATACCTACCTAAACTGCAGGAAGACACAAAAGTGTATGTCATGCATACGATAAGCTAATTTAGTTTTACTATTAGAGATCTTTTTAAAAGTTAAAAAGTAGTGTTCAGTAGTTAGCAGTTTCGTTCGACTGTGTTTCATCGATTGACTGAGTTGTCCTTTTCGAGAATGTAGACGTTGGTGAATTGGTGGCTGTTTTTGGCTATAAACTTATGTATCGTTTTTGAAAAAAATTTACGACTTTTAATCTCAATTTTTTTTACCTTAGACTGCATACTTCGTTGTATGGTTGAAGTGGACGTGAGCGCTGGCGCCTGAATTGCTTGAAGCTTTTTGTGAGTTTGATTTGTATTAAGTTGGTGAATAAGTCTTTTCGTTCTTTTTCATACTTGCGTTGAAAAATAACAAATTCGCGAATTAACCTATGGTTTGCTCTAAATAAATAGCGTTTATTGTTCAATTTTCCATCTTTTTAAGTCAATTTGGGTTCACCTTCAAGCAAATTCGAGGGTGAAAAACGTGTTTTTCGTAAAAATCTATAAAAACCTCTACAAAGAAATCGGATGAATCAATTTCTCCGAAAATTTGGCTATATACCTCACTTTTTGTGCTCTATTTTTTATCTATTGACACAAAGATAGATTTCCTCAGCTAAAATGTCTAAACCGCATCATCCCTTTTTGACTACCCGACTTCACGCTCCCGAAAAAATCCAGACAAAAGACATTTTAAACCCGTTTTAATGTTATTTTGTAGAAAAATAATTGGCCTTTCTAATGAAACAAACGGTAGTTCAATTGGTGCATTTATTGGTTTTAAACGGAAGTACGGAAAGGAACGAAAAGACTTATTCACTCACCAACCTAATAATTTGGACTAAAGTGAAACGAGATACGTGTACTGAGCCTTAATTAAGATTAATCTCGTTTTAAAAATATCCCCATGTAGCCATTGAAATGTGTTAATATGAAGAAACTTGCCGTTAAGCATGTGCTAATTTCGGGGTTGTGCTCTACCAAGGAGGTGTGCGAGTAGTAACGCACAAAATCGCCGATTGTGACGAAGTATAGGCCACCATTTTCGAAACCCCATCCCTAAAAGACTATCTAATTGTTCTAGCATTGGTTAGCACCTGTTCAGTTTGTTCTATCAAACAATGGGAAACTTTGTCACCGTTCAGCACGGAAAGAACCTATAAAGGTGCTGGGATTGAAATCATGTCATTTTTTACTAGTTTGTTAGGCTGACTTCCACTTGGTCGAATAAGGAAAATGCCTTGTGGTGGATGTTGATAAACCTGAAAGTTGTTTGTATAAATTTAGAGATATTTGCCGACCCCGGCTTGCATAGATGCGTTGACAATTCGAGCTCGGGCTTGTTGAACTAAAGAAGCGGCACCGTCTTTTGTGCATTCACTTACCAAGTACCTAAAATAACGGGTAAAAATTGTATCAAAACATGAATGTTTACCGATTAGGACTCCAACTGAGTGGTAGATCTCCAAGGATTTGACTAACTTTGATCGATTCCGCCTAAAGATCTCCGAGGATTTGCTGAAAAGTTTGCGACTTGTATACTTGCAGGAACATCAACTTCGCTCGCTCGGTTGTTTCATCAAGTTGTACTAGGGAGATACCCATATTTTTCAAATTTGTAAAGCATTCGTTTGCTACTTTAATGGCTCGTCCAACCCTTTCCTGAATCTGCCTTTAATAATGTTTATCATGATTGCAACCTTCGCCCGTTCTCCGGAAACTCTCAAAGTAGTCATTGCTGTGTCGAGCTGATCCATTTGTTCTTGGATATAATTGCGCTCGGTTTCAAGATCATGAATGTAGAGCTTCAAAACCTGCATGTAAATTGTAATTTTGTTTTTAACTTTTTGTTACAAACATTTTGGTTGTTCTTCATGGTTTCGGCAAGACTAGGACTCTGACTACTATCATCTTCCTTCAAAATGGTGTTGTCTTGCACATCACAAACATCCCGCATCACTTCGATTTTTCGTTCAGAATCCAAGATCTAAAAATTTGTGTTTGGGAATGATGGTAGAGTCGAACTGCTTGTGTCTGCTTCTTGTGTAGATCCTCGGCTCTGTTCAACTCTTCGTTTGATAAATCATATAAACGACGAGCGCGAGCGAGCGCTGTTTGAGCTATTCTAAATAGCATTACTTTTTAGTTCTAATCGTAAGAAAATTAACAAGTTAGGTAAAAGAACCTTAGTTTTTCGAGGCCAAGTTTCAATTGCCATTGTGGATCTTCACTTGAGGCAGTTACTGGTGGAATCGGTTGATGCGTAGATTCAGGTTGAGGCTCTGGCGCTGGGTCTTTATGTGTATGAGGTCGTGGTTTAAGCAAATTAGAATTTGATGTCGATGGGGGTGTAAGGCACTAAAAACTAATGCACAAGATGCTTATTTTCTCGGATGTCAACCTCAGCTGTTGAATCACGTCTCCGACAAACGGGGTACCGTAAACTGGTGTCCAAACTCTCATTGTAAACCTGAATTTAAATTTTGGCCTTTGAGGAGTTGCAGCGTTTTACCTTTAAGGATCGGACACGATGAAAGTCGATTAAACCAGGCACCGAACTATGTGTTAAAGCATCAGGAGCAAAGCCACATCGGCCGTTGGTCACGTGAATTTTAACAAGCTTTGTTTGAGCTTGATATCTATCGAAAAGAAAATGCTAGTCATCCGAAGGTTCAAACCTGAGCGTCAATGTGTAGTCCCCTGGCGTTGAAGCATTTCGAACTAAGAACGAACCATCCGGTTCTGATTGGAGAATGTTAGCAACCTGACAACATTTATATATCTTTGCAAGCAATGAAACTTTCTTGGACCTTACCTCTTCTTTTGAAATATTTCCCCAGTACCAGGGTTGTTCTTGAAGTCCTGTTGTCATGGATTCTAAAAATCATGTAATTAGTTACGTAAAAATAGCATGAGCTATCCAACTTGTTTGTCATTTTAAGAAAATCTTTGTTCAGGAGTTGCAACACTTAGTCGAGGTTTAATTGTCAATGGGTGCATGGCGTAAGCGGCGCCAATTTGAGGCATATGAATTAAATTTTAAGTGCGAAATCTCTTCGAGTTTCATTGTGTAAAATAGAATTGAGTATGAAGCACGACTATTCACTTGCGTACAATTTAGTCGAAATGCCGGCAATAAGATCCCTTTTTCATACTTGCTTGCTTTTGCGGTGTTTTCTTTGGGATTATACATTTTTTTGCTTTAATTTAGGAAATGCAAGCAATGTCGTTTGATCTCTTCGCATCACAGGATTCTTATCGCTCAATAGCAGATGGAAATTGGAAATGCAAACCTGGTGAGCGTTGTTATTAATTGCTATTTTGAGACTTGAAAAGATACCCAAATTTGTATTTTAATGTAGATATTTGTAGTTAAAATTTTTATTAAACTTTATAGAGTTAGCTAGGAGCAATATTTAAAACTACAGTTTGTTTATTTTTAGTTAGCTACGACGACTTTCGGCTTCAGAATTTATTAGAAAATTCAACAAACTCACTGGATTTGCCCTCGATCAGAAGTGCAATGTCCAATCAGTTGGAATGTGAGAGTTTCAACATTAAACCATCAGAAGTTTGTGATTTGAAATCTTAACACAAAACGAGATTGAACTAAAACGCAAATGAGCCAAATTTAGTTGTGTTCGCGTGGAATTGGACAACTCTTCAACAAAATTCTTTCAACTTATCATCTGATTGAACACTCGGCTCGACCACGAGAAGAACTTTCAACTTTGTTAAAACTGCTACGATTTCTTCACTTGGTAACAACTGACTCAATGATTTGTGATAATGCTACTCTTGCTACGATCAGAAAGGTTTGATCTTATTTTTATAATGGTATTTTTCAACTTCAGGAAGTTATCTTTCTTCTCCGAGCTGTTGGTTCACCATTGGAGCGGGAATCTGCACGGTTTCTGCATTTTAAAGAGGTTTTTAACATTTACAAAAATTAAATAGTATTTTTAGTTTTTAGAACGCGGAATTACATGCCCTGTTGTTAATTTGGAGATTTGGCTTATCCCTACTACAAGTAATCAATGGTAATCAATCGGTCTCTGAGCATTTCGATGCAAATTAGGAGATTTTAAAAGATGTGGAAATTTAGAAGTACAACCAGTTGAGACGGCATCTTTTGTTTCAACCATCTCGCGTGGTTTCATTACAAATCTCATCACTTTATTTACTTTTGCTGTATGTTTTTTTTTACATTTTGGAGCTGTTAGGTTTTTAGGGCAAAACATTTCCGTGCCAATGCTTGCTTGAAATGTGTCTCGGAGTGTTGAACCAAAACATCCTCGAAATGACACAAACAACCCGTGAAGTTGCAGCAACGTCAGGTAAGCGTCAAGGTCTTTCTTATAATCTTTCTTAATTCAGTTGATTTTATTGAAAAGCAATATCAGCAGTCGTGTTCGTTGATTGATGTCTTCGATTTCCTTGTCTTACTCGAAGAAGCTTGTTTGCAAATCCAATCACATTCAAGAAGTACTGATTTTTCTTCATCGATTTTCTCTACTTTGGTGGATATTGCTGGTAAGTGACCATAAACTGAATTCATGAATTCATGACGCCTTTACTTTAGTGATGAAATGGTCTGAGGATTCAACACGAATAACCTCTGCTCTGATATCGCTTATAATGAAAGGCTCTGGAAAAAAATTATTGGATAAGTCAACGTTCCGCTTGAAAGCTCTTGTGAATTTGATTGTGGTCTCTATATTTTCGGGAAATGTCAACGAAGTATGTTTACCACGGTATTCAACTTGATACCACTTAATTTAGTTTGATGTCGAAGAAACGGATTTGGACGACATCCTGAACAATTCTTTATCTAAACCGTCAACTTTTGCGCTTTATCTCAAAATATTTGAATTACTTGTGTCAAGTATGGTTTGAGTTTTTTCATTCTATGGAATTGTATTCAGATGATGCTATTGGAAGAAGTGTTGATAACAACATTCGAGCCCAAATTTCCGCGAAAAGTTTTGGAGAAGATCAATCGGATGCAAAAGTGACACGAACGTTCATTTTTCTATGTGTTTGGATGAAATGCCTAAAAGGTTGTTTGATTCACGGATAAATAAAAGCAAGGTTGTAATTAGAGCCAGAAAAGCTCGTCACGAAACTCGTCGATTGGTTAAAGACTACCGTTGTTCAACATGGACTACCGCAAAAAGATGTCGCTTCGGGTGTCAAATGGAAAAGTGTAAGTAAAAAGTGTGAAAGCAAATCAAATTTTTGATCTGTAAAAATCGTTATCAACATTTTTAGATACCAACTTATCAGGCTGGTTCTGGAGTCTTCAACATTCAACAAAAACAACTGCCTGTAACTGTTACAAGAAAAGATCAATTGGCCCCAGAGCAACAAAAATGTTCAGTGTCTCAGGTTCGTTAAATTAGGTAGTTATTTTTATACCATAAATTGACTCTTTTAGGATCGCCTGATGATGTTCTTACGGTTTCTTGGATCAATTCGTTTATTGCTCGAGAGCCGGTCGCAGGAAGCCACACAACAAATTATTGAGCTAAGAACGTATTGTAGGTTTTGCAAGTTTATTATTTGAAAGCTTGGTTTAGTGCGCTCCTTTATTGACACAAAGCGAGTTACTAGTAAAAATTATATTGGTGGAATTGTCGAGGACCTGGGGTATTATTTGTAATTATACATCTAACATAAGTAAAACTTTAGAGAAAGTGATGTAACACCTGAAATAGAGAGTCTTGTGGAAAAATTGTCAGATGTACAATTTGGAGAGTTATGCCAACAGTTATTGCAAACGGGGAAAAAGGTAATTTGCGTTTCAGTTTCGGTTTTTTTCAACGTAGATATTAGTTTGTTAAAAAGTTTAACTCCTTTTCTTTTAGTTTTCCGATCGAATTGTTGGCCGAGCTGAAACTTTGGCGCGTAAGGATTCAAAATCCTACTGCATTTTACCCGTACAAGAATTTGTAATAATCCAGGTGTGAAGCGTTTACATGTAACGATTTTTATCTTCACTTTTAGATGAAACTCGATTTGACCTCAAAGAATTTTAAGCTTTGCGATCGTTTACTTCGTTTTCATTTGGACAAAAATTTCCCATTTGATCCATCATACGCGGTAAATTTTAAAAGCATAAATAAAATAAAATAAAAATATATGTTACAAAACATGTTTTATGATAAAGTTTAGCTTCGAACGCTTGGTGCCGTGTTGAATTACTTAGATGATCAACGAAAGGATCAATTGAGCATGCCTTTGTGGATTCGTTCTATTTTCGAAAATCCGGAAAAGTTTTCATGTGGTTAGTGAGAAAAACACTCAGATATTTTAAAAATTTAATTTTAGAATTTGAGGCGGCAAAAGTGTCGGATGCTCTGATGGATTTTGCTAGTCACCTTGTTCCCCATCTCGGACAATCACTATCTGATACGCCTAACAACTACAAAGCGGCTCTTCTGAAGATTCCTGAAGTGAGTTTAACTCTCCTATCGGTGGTAGTTGAGAATTTATATTCGCTGATCAATTGTATGCAATTTTGTTTTTTAGATTTTTGCAACCTGGGCGAGAAACGACACGGTCGCGACAGAGAAACACCTCGATCTTTGGTTTCAAGAATCAGTGTTAATTTCAGCGAAAAAGGCATGCACAAACGAAAATAGTGTATGTTGTGTTTACTTTTTGGCGATTAACTTACCGGTTCCAGATTTTATCCGCGTACTTTATGGCTATGATGCTTCAACAATGCGGTTCATTATTATATCGGTTAGCGAAACGGCCCCGTTTTTCATTCAACCAAAGCCTTCACTGTCAGTTGATTACAAGTTTACAAAAATTTCTGGTTTGTTAAAGTTTTTTATAGAGTTGAAAACAATTTAGAAAACGGAAATCGTACAACACGATTACGACGTGAACGTTGATGATTTGACGGTCGCTTACTTGAAGTCATATTGCAATTTGATATTGGATCAAAACGACAAATTTTATTGGTGCCGTTACAAGGTTGTCTTTTGTTGTATATCATTTCCTTACATTCTTTCTTTAATTGATTTTAGGACTTGTTACTTCATTGTGCGACTAATTCTTCCAATGTCGTGCGCAACGAATTGAATAGGGTTCGACGATATCGAGAGCTCGTCGACGGGATTACCGCTTCGTCAGAAGAAAATGCGACATTAACATCGTTATTCATAGATTTTTCGTCTTTATAGTGTTGTTAGTTTCTTAGAAATAAATATATTCCTTAGAAAGATGAAAGATTACCCATAAAAGAACGAGTTTTCTGTAAAAGCATTTATTCCGATCAATAATTTACTGCACCACTTAACCTATGTATCACAGAAGTTTACCTATGTATCACGGAATATCACAGAAGACAAAACACAGCATTTAAGTACGATCAGCCATAAAGTGCTCAATCTCTTCGACGGTACGTGGAACCTAAAAATGACCAGAATATATTTTTATTATTCTCTTTACACGTGAAGTTAATATTGAAGTATTGTTAAGATAAACCCTAACCTGACTCATGTTTTCATTTCCCTTCGCCCAAATCACAACGTCGTCTTCAATACGCACCTAGAATCATTTAAATAAATTGATGTTACAAAATAACTTGCCCCTCCGGATCCGCGAAACTCGGCAATGCGTTCCTTGTTCATAAACTGATTGAGCTTTGGATCAGCGAAAGCTGCGTCGAGTAAAAAGTCGATAAAGTAGCATCCTGGTTCAATGGTGATAACCATTCTTTCCTAAACATTGCCAAATCAACAAATGTGCTCATCGTTATCTACCTGCAACGTTCTCGTCGTGCGAAGACTTTTCAATCCGGGTTCCTTGTAGCGTGGTTCGGCGTCCTAAAATTTGGTTCAATAAAACAAAACTTAAAAGAAATACCCCAAGATATCCTCCGCAATCGTGAACATCAAGTCCCATAAAATGGCCAAGACCATGTGGCATAAAAACAGCGCCAAGCCGACTCTCAACCATTGCGTCAACCTAGAAATGACAATATTACCATAATAATACAGCAAATTCTTTTTGATATTGAAACGCAATAACCATTCAAGCTTTTATTGCTCTTTAATATGTGCCACTGTAAATAAACTTACATCACCATGAAGTAGACCGGCTTTTACAAGGTGTTCCAAGATTACTTTTTCAGAGAGTTTATGCATGGCTGCCCAGCGAACACCTAAAATTTAAATTGCGACTGTTGTAGCCTTAAAGTTTTACCTGGTTTTGCTTCTCGAAGAATGACGCGATTAGCGTCAAGTACAGCATTGTAGATAATTTTTTGTTTGTCTGTGAATTTTCCATTCACAGGAAACGAAGTTGTTACGTCCGACGCTAAACCGCAAGCTTGTTAGAATAGGATTTTCATTTACCATAGCAGTTATATTCAGGTCCCATGTCAAAAAGGCACATATCCCCATCTTTCACTTCACGAGCATTTGGAGCATTTGCATGGCCATAATGCAAGATTGAGCCGTTGCAGCCACTAAATTTTGACATGATTTTTAATTAAAGCTTTAAAAATACCTGGCAGCAATGCACGTATACGCTAGATGACGACATCCTCCTGTGTAATAACTCGTGTGTCGGAACAAACTAAAAATATATTTGTTAAAAGGCAGAGATTTATCGATTTAATAGTCCACCCAGTATTTTATTAATACAAACAGACCTTTCACATTGATACTCAAAGAGACCAGGCTTGATGTGTTTCATTACGGCTTTATGCGCATCCGAAGCAATCTTACTTGCATAGCGAAGAACCTTTGAAATATATTTATAGTAAATCTGACAATATTACTTCCAACTCTAGATCCGTCTTGAAAACGCGTAACTCGGCGATAATTGGGTAAAGCAAGTCAACATCAATGGAAAACCTAAAAGCATTAAGTTTAGTCAAAACAATTTTCCCACTCCTCCTTTCCTTTGAATTCAGCTGGTTGAAGAACATGATTCGAATCAGAGTTATCAGCTTTCTAAATATTACATTTAGAAAAATAAATTGACTTTCCTATACAACAAATTCCTTTTAGAGAAAAAAAATCCTTACAAGTAGAAGTAACTTCTTCGCATTGAACTTTTTCAAGGTTTCCGCAATTGCTGGTGTTTTCTCGTCATAAAAATGAACATCGTCGACCTCATACTTCTTTTGAAACCACGCTTCAGGTTCAATTCTAAAAGTCGTAAAAACACAAACTTATTACAAACGGCCTTACTTTCCATCCCAAATCGCATAATCGGGGTGTAATTTTGGTGGAAAGAGGACGGATTTTCCTGAATCGATGTCGATCAAACCATACGAATCGGCTTCATGCACCCCAAACGCCCAAAAAAAGTAGGATTCCTAAAGCAAAAAATTTGATACAGAAATTTTTGATTTGGCTTGAACATGCTCCATATACCCCGTAAATCCTTAATATTTTCGTTATGTACTCTAATCTCGGCGAATGCGGCCGTTTAGCAGCCATCAGTTTTTTTATAATCGACGCTTATAAACTTACTTGTCTGAAGGGTAAATCATCGGCGTCTGTATTGTATCGAAGCTTCTCATGACCACCCTCTAATACGACAACCGCTCCGGGATAAGTAATCTGAAAATATTCGGCTTCATTATTAATCTCCGTTAAATCTGCAAACCTTTTCTTTCAGTGCCTTCACCAAGCGCTGTCGGTTTTCCGTGAAGAGTTTCGCCGAAACACGCAGAGTTTTACCGCCGAGATGAAACGACATCTAAAATGAGTTTAAAAGCAATGAATAGGGTAAAACAATATGAGATATTAAGAACAAAAGGGAGCAACTTCATTAGGAGAAACTAATTTCATTATTTAAAAAGAGCCATTGATTCCACTGTACCTCAACGGGTCAATGCAAGCACCAAATATGATAACGCAGAGCGGGGCGAGCTCGTGATAAGAAAATGGGTAAAGCTTCAAGTTTTGATGCTAATCAATTTCAACGAAAGACACTTAAGGTGTTTCTGATGGGCGCAAATAAAGAAACAAAATTTTTTTTGTTATTGTGTTGTAAAATATATGCAAATTTTAGATGTATGTAAACTTTACGAATGACAAAAGCACTGCATTTTTAAATGTCTTTAGTTGCTGGAAACTCTGAGGAACATACTCACTAGACTTGCCATCCGATGAATCGAATCCGGATTACATAGGATCGGATTGTCTTAGATGATGATCCGCTCCGATCCGATCCGAAAAAATCGATCGGATAGCAAGTCAGACGAAAATGGGTGACCCAAGAAAATTGTGGCGCAGGGTAACAACCTTGCTAAAGGTTTGGACGCAGATTGTAAAAGCGTTAAGCACAACCTAACACACCAATAAATGCCTGTTATGCCTAGGTATTATACATAATAGTCTGTATTTTTTTTTCCTTTAACTAATGAAATAAATACCGAAATAAGTACGTCCTTTAACCTGATCGTCTTCACTTCGATTGGGTCAATTGATAAATTTGAGCACGTTTTTCACGTTTCTATAGTTATGATTATTTTCCTGTTCATGCGGCACATTATCAGAAAAAGAAATCACCGAGTTTCGTTCTACAAATTCACTTAGAAACCGGCCGAACGGGGCCCAAAGTCAGCACACGAAAACTACAAAAAGAAGGGGTGATTATAGGTGAGAGAAGAGTGGAAAAGAGTGTAGTTTGAAGCTCACTCTTTCTATTTTCTCTCGTATTTCCCCTGATCTTTTCCCTTTTCATCAGCTGATTTTCTCTTTTCTCTGAGCAGTTCTCTGTGTTCAATTTTGTGACTCTCTGCTTACCATTGATCCCCCTCTTCTTTTTGTAATGAACCTTTGATGGGCCTCGTTTGGTCAATCTTTGTCGAGACACCATTACAGCTATTTCTTGAATTTGGACGACCGACCAGGTGAGATAATTCAAGACAACGTCGTATGACTTAAGACTGATGATTCTTTATGATAAAATGTGCAGACTCAAATCAGCCTATCAGATTTGAACAATGAATGAGTACTTTATAATATAGATAGATTTTTATAGGTTACCTAAATATTTACATATTACACACACTATGCTCACTATACTCTACATAGTAAGTAAAGTGGTTTAAACGTTTTAAAAAAATGCATTAATCGATTATATCGATACTTTAGACAAATCGCCGAAGTTGAACAAAGTCTTCTCGCTCAAGCGGCCATTATTGCCGCTCAGGAACGTTTCGTAATGGATATGGGAAGGGTTCGTTTAATGGGGGTCTATGTGCAGTAAAAATAATTGACACTTCTTGTAGAGTTAAGATCAGAATCATTTTTGCTGAAAGATTTGTTCACTTTTCGTTTAGATGGATATCGATAGTGATAGTGAAAGTGATGTCGAACATTTGGCCTCATCAATTGATTCGGACAATGAAAAGAGAAGAGCCAATGAAGATACAGAATCGGATGATTCTGATTTCTCGGTAAGATTATACTAGACTGCGATACGGCTTAATTGTACAAGAATTTGTATTGGAACAATAAAAACACTGACTCTTTCCTATTACTAGGTACCTTAACCGTGTAACGGGTACCTTAAGAACAAACAAAAAACAACAAAAAAAAATAAAAGCCTTAAAAGAAACGGGGAAAAAGCAAATATTCAAAGTTGGTTGATGAATAAGGTACCCGATTTTCTTAAGGTACCCAGTTTTTTTTAAGGTACTTAGTAATAGGAAAGAGCCAAAACACTTTTAAAACATTTCAGAGTGATTACGAGATACGACCGTCAACAACCCAACCGAGACCCTTACAAAAACTCGTCTCTGGATGCACGGCTGGGAGTTGTCCGGAGGTACGATTTTAAGATTTCAGAAACAATAATCAAATTGGAATTTTTTCAATTGCCTTTTTCAAAGCTCTTTAACTCATCTGTAAATTTGAGGCATTGGGTCGACTACGACTTGATTGTATGACATCAACGGGAGAATTGAGGAAATCGTCAAACTTGATTAGAGCTAAACGATTGAGGGAATTTGGTCAAAAACCTATCACAACTGCCGCTGAAAAGGGAAAAATATTAAGCAGGTTTGCTGTTGTTTTACACGCCTGAGCTATTTGAAAAATGACTTTCAGTTTTTTGCCAAACCGTCGCAAAATCGTGGCCAAGGTCGAGACAAAAACCTTTTGCTCACGATATTTTAATGGGGATGATGTGATGACGGCTAGTCAAGGTAAAATATTGATCAAAAATTAATTTTCCTTTACACTTACAGATTAGATGATGCAAAAATAGAAAAAAAAGTAAGACAAAATATAAAAAATAAGTGTACAATTTTGTCATGACCTTTAATACCTTAATTTAACATAGCAGAATAGCTGGCCAATGCGAGGGAGCATTTTAAAAACGCATTAATCGCGCCTTAATCGACGATTAAACGATTAAAATTTTAATCACCCAACTTTAATCGATTATGTTTTATACGTGTGTATTTCCTTGATATCCTTGATGTTGGTGATCCAATTTGAGTAGTTGACAAAGTTGTTTTAACAATTTATTTAAAACAGACGAAATATTGGGCAATCCTTTTCCCAACAAAAATTCGACAATGAATTTGACCAAAGAGAAACAATGCTGTACAGGGGGTACAGGTCCGGCGGACAATTAGGGGTACAGGTCCGGCCTTTAGAAAACACTTAATTTAGCAAATAAATAATCTGTGAGAATGATTTAAAAAACTATTATATTCCCAACAAATTAATTAATTGATTGCGGGGAATACACTCTATTACAGATGGCTCGATTCGTTTCTACTCGCGCAAACGGAGTTATGAGAATCGATATCAACTCAAGACACAAATCATGGTTAATATAAAAATCTTATATTTGGAACTAATTTTCGATAGACAATCTAAAAAGACATTTACTATATAGGTAAACTAAAAGCCAAAGACATTTTAATATATAGGTTCCCGCAGTCTCATGGGCGGTGCTTGATGTAGCGGTAAGCCCCGATTCAACTCTTCTTGCTTATGGGACATGGAGAGATGAAGTATTTGTGACACCGTTGAGAGTGAGTCTTTTTAAAAATAATCCTTTTAGTTGTTTTTAAATTTGAAACCACCGTAGCTCGCTCCTTTTTAGTCCTATTTATCTGATGGGTGTTTTGATCAAGAAGGTCCGTCACCACAATGGCAGCGGATCAGTATCGGAGCAGAAGATTTAGATAGGTAAGAATCATCGAGCTTTTCAGTGCAATAAATAAAAAGCTCTTTAGAGTGCATATGTTACGCCCGTTATTGAATTTCGTTCGTTATTGAGTCTATTCAATAACGGACGTTCGGTTCTGAGTCCGTTTTTGAATCGTTCAACCTATATTTCAACAATTTCCAAACTTTACTACTAAGTCCTATAAACTAACGCATTTTTTTTCTTTTGACCATTGAGCATCCATCATCAAACTTCAAAACTTATTGGTAACAAACGATCGGAAATGTAAATGATCGAAATCAAACATAACAAGCACAACTTATAAAAACTTATAAAAATAAAGAAAGATAAAATAGAAATGTGGAAAGCGCAAGCTAGCTAGGATTCGAATTATGAATAGAAATTGAAATTACACTTGCTAACTCGCAAAAACTATACTCATTACAAAAAAAGCAAAAATTGTTAAAGTGTAGGTTGGACGATTCAAAAACCGGTTCAACTCAGAACCGGACAAAATTCAATAACAAAACTAAATTAAAATCACTTTAAATACAATAAATAATCACACATAAATTCACAAATTTCAGAGGTGGATCAGCGATGGCACTTTTCCAATTGAAATTCTCGCGAGATGGCACAGAAATTTTGTGTGGAGCGTCGAGTTTTCATGTTTACGCTATAGATGTCGAAACAAAGAAAACAACGTTAGATGTGAGAAATTTACTTCTTTATCTTTTCCCTGCAAAAACCAGATGATTTCCATATTAAATTGAGAGTAAAAGATAAACAAGTACGCTACAACGAACTTTTTTTATCCTTCCTCCGCCAAAAATTACGTTACAAATGCAGAATTCAACCTTTCTTGCAAATAACATGTCCATTTGTTTGACAAGTAACCCGAAAAAGGCCCGAAAAGGACAAACAGCCCGAAAAAGGAAATTTCAAATACGATTTCAGCTATTGGCTCACGAAGACGACATCAATGCGGTTTGCTTTGGCGCTCGAAATCACTTGGTGTTCAGCGCGGGTGATGATGGGCTTTGTAAAGTGAGTGACTTGTGATTAAAATGAAATGAGACAATCCAACGCACAAATTCTTTGGAGATAAGACAACCCAAATCACTAAATATTGGATCGTAGGTTTGGGATCGTCGAGCGATGAACGAGTCAACACAAGCAGCCGGGGTTTTTGCCGGACATCGTGATGGAATTACATCAATTGATGCGAGAAGCGATGATAGGTTTGTTTGGTGCAAAACTGTTTTGACAAAATGAATAAATCCATCTGTGTGTTGGCTATTTTCAAGAGAAATTGTAAAGCTGATTTCCCTTGGTATCTGTCAGCATAAGCAAATCAAATATAACTATAAGACCAATTTCTTTTTTAGATACGTTATCACAAACTCGAAAGATCAAACAATAAAACTATGGGATTTGCGGTGTTTCGCAAAGCAAAGCGGAATTGTAAGTAAAATTGTATTTAATCAATTATGTTCTATGAAAAGTCTTTACTTCCATTTTTTCCAGAGACCCGTGACTGCTCTCCACTTAATAACGCGCCCCAGCTACCGTGCCCCGGCAAATAACAAAGCGCGTATAGAAAGGTGCCTCCCCAGTTCATTTTTGGGTTCTTCTGGGAAATACGGGAAAAAATCTTGATCTTTTTCACATCTATAGTCTCCAACAGTCCTTGAAAATGTTTTGTGGTCTCTTACCCTCTTGCAAAATAAAATCACATAAAACTATTAAAATATCAAATGTATGACTAATTTTTGATTTTTACAGTGTAAAATGACCGGAGAGCCCGCTTTATATACTCATTTTGTTATTTGGCAGGGTACGGTAGCTGGGGCGCAGTATTGAGTGGAGAGCAGTCACGGACCTCTGAAAAAGAACGAAAGTAAAGTCTTTGCAATTTATGAAAGAATCCCCATTTTTTTGTAGCGGCAGACGCGAACGAGTGTTCAGAGTCAGAGATGGGATTATCGATGGAATCAAAATCCATCTTTTAAAGTTCAAGAACTTCTTCCAGGTGGGTGTTAGTCTTCTCAGGCTAAACTGGATTCTCTTCTCTGAGTATTTTGTACAGCATCAAATAAATATCTTAGGTGATTGCTCGGTGATGTCATTTTATGGACATGTTGTGAGACATACTTTGATTCGAGCTCGTTTCTCTCCACAAAATACCGGCTCGAGATTCATTTATACTGGATGTGCAACAGGAAAAGTTCTAGGTAACACATTATTATCATTTTTAGAGTAAAAAAATAAGTCCTTTCAAGTGATGCAAAGTTCATCTGATTCTTATAGAAAAAATGACGCAAAACCGCTCATTCAAACCTTTTTAGGGGTTCAAAGCCAGCTTTTTTTTATTTTGCACCCTACTTTTGCTTAAATTTGTATGGTAAACAAGCTTATTAAAAAAATTTTAGTTTACGATATTGTAACGGGAGAGGTTGCGACAGAGTTGCCCGGCCATGTAGCGGTGGTGAGAGAATGTGATTGGAATGAAGAAACAAATGAAATCACATCATCGTCGGTTAGTTGTTATCAATTCACGAATTAAATCCTATTTGGGAATACAAATTAACTATGAGAGTAAGGATTTCGTCCAACCACAAGTATCACTATAATGCTCGAGTGTGGTCCTCTCGTCTACCGTAATCTTCTCCCCTAGTTTGTACCTACCTATTTTTGTTTTCTTTAGAAAAAAATTATCAATACTGTACTTGACTTAATTTAAAAATTGACGCCAAGCATAAATTTACATCAAAAAGTGTATAATTCAGTGGGACGGTCAAGTATTCTCGTGGAAATACGATCCTCGTTCATCACCTAACTACAATTCAATGGGAATCGATGAAGAAAGTTGTGATGAATTCTATGAGCCGCTCATACATAAAAAACAAAACAAAAGGTTTGACAGCTAACATTTCCGATTAGAGTGTGTTTCTCGCGGTTATCACGTTGTCTAAAACGCGTCCCCGAAAAAAATACCGTAATCCCGTCGAGAAAAATGCAAAATTCAATATATGCAAATATAAAAAAGAAAACAAAATAAGACAAAATGTATAAAATAGAGAAAACCAGCGGAAAACCCAGTCCGGGCCCTTTGGGACGGGTTCGGGGAACACGCATAGTTTAAAAGGCCCATGTACAATAGAAAAAGAGAAGACAAAGTGAAAAGGAACGCTAAAAGAAACAGAGAACAAAATTGTTTTCGTCGAGCGCACAAAACGACTTTTTAGCACCAAACTTTCCGTCAACTGACTAAAACTGCTGTAGCCTATGTTAAGCTCCGTCCCTTTTTAAAATGGACCTAAAAGTCAGATTTCCCACAGCCGAAAACCCCCGGGAGCAAAATATCGTGCGCAAAAGCTGAATACTTTCAGTGATAGAACAAACGTAATTATGGCGCATCGCGTTTGTGCACAGATAGAAGAACAGACAGACAGACGGACAGACAGACGGGCAGAGGGAGGGACGTTTCTTCTGCTTTATATATGTCGTAGCCGCTGACGAAATTCAGCCGCTAACGAATCATTCGTTAACGGCTAGCCGCTAAAGAATCATTCGTTAACGGCTAGCCGCTAACGAATCATTCGTAATCGGCTAGCCGCTAACGAATCATTCGTTAACGGCTAGCCGATTACGAATGAAATTTTTTCGCTAGCCGTGCACAATTTGTAATCGGCTTCTGTGAACATGGCTCGATTCAAATGAGCCTTTGATTTCAAACTATTTATACAAAACGCAAATCAGCAAACTAATCACAACAAGTGAAATAAAATTTATAACATTTAACACGTATAACATACCGATTGAAGATCAATTAGGTCGACTTGGCAGCGCTCATTTTGCTCCTTCGTTATCATCGGCTTCACAACAACTTCTTTTTTTTTGGCGTCCCCTTCTTTAACTCACATTCCGGGCAAAGTTTGACAAAAATTTCGAGTATTTCCTTTGAGATCCCGTGATAATCTCCTCGCAGTTCTTTCCACATCAGATCCCGGCCGGCGTGTCCTAGTCTTTTGTGAGTTGACGTCAAAACATCGAAGAGTTCCTCTTTCTTGACGACTCGTTTTGGTTGTACGTTCTCTCCTTTATCTCCATGATTGTAGAGTATCATTGATTGCTCAATACATTGAATCGAGTAAGGACGTGCCCAATTCGCCTCTTCTGTCGTTCGCTTCCGTTTCTCGCTTTCAATTTCACTTGACATTGTTGTCAATCTGTTCACAATTTCATCGTATTTTTTCGTCGTTAGTATATGCGTTCGCTTTTTCAAAACTTGATACGCATCAAGTTGGTTGAGAAATTAATTCATCCTGAAAAACAAATGATTCTGTATAATAAAACCAAAGAAAAAAAAACAGAAAGAAATTAATCCGAAATCACTGATAACAATGGGGTGGACTCCTCTCGGAGGACCCAATTTCAGCAAAAGGGCATTTTGACAACTTTAAATAGCTCGCTACAAAATCAATCTTTTCCCTTTTCTTTTTTTTGCGTAAAAAATTTGAAACCAAAAACACGGTAAATTCATTTGAATCTAGCCATGTTCGCAGAAGAACAAAGATTTCGTACAAATCTAGTGAAAAAATTTCATTTGTAATCGGCTAGCGAAAAATTTCATTCGTTAGCGGCTAGCCGTTTACGAATGATTCGTTAGCGGCTAGCCGATTACGAATCATTCGTAAACGGCTAGCGAAAAATTTCATTCGTTAGCGGCTAGCCGTTAACGAATGATTCGTTAGCGGCTGAATTTCGTCAGCGGCTACGACATATATACTAGATAAGCATACAATTTCGCCACAGCCTTTAATACCTTAATTTAACTTGGCTGAATAGCTGGCCAATGCGAATGGGCGTTTTAAAAAACGCATTAATCGACGATCAATTGATTAGAATTTTAACTTTAATCTTTAATCGATCCAACTTTAATTGATTAATTAATTGATCGCGGGGATCACACTATACTTTAACAGCAAATTTCAAATTCTTTTCAGGAAACGATGTAGCAAAGCCCCAACGGCACAAAAATACTCCCCGATTGATCCCTATGATACAGACACTGGGTAAATTACTAAATCTGTATTATGAAGCTTTTTGCCCTTACAATTGATATTTCTTTTGTTCTGCTAGTTTACCCGGTTTTGACGAGTATTTGATTGGATGTGATTCGAAATGTCATTCTTTGTTCATTGTTGCTTCACCATTCCATATCTTCGAAAACTCTTTGATTTTTCTCGTTTTCTCATTTATGTTGTATACGAAGATGAATAATTTTATAGCTGGTCAGAGGATTCTGTACCCAATGATTATCGTGATAACTATTCGGTGTAAATTTTGCTGGTCCACTTATTCATTTGTTGAATAAAGTATATATAACACAATTCTAAATCATCAAACAGCGTTTAAAAAAACATTGTGTGCTAAAGGAATGAAACTTTTGAAACCAAATTTAGGCAGTTTTTTTTTGTTTACAGCTAGACAAAGTCGAGTCTATCTGGAAAAGGAGGACGCTCATTTCCATGCATGAGAAAGCTGAAAATGAGGAGGGTTTAGATGGGAGAAAGGCTCTCATTTGGAAGGGCCTTTTGGTGGGGGAGGACGACTTGGTGGGATTCGTCAATTGGAAGAAGGGAAAGAAATAGGACAAGAGAAACAGAGAAAAGAAGAGAAAACGAAAAGAGAGAGATCGATAGGGTTTGAAAGGAGAAAGGGGTGCCCCATGCGGGCATCGAGCGTCCCCTTCTTTTCGCCCGCTTCCCGATACCACAACGTCCAGCTTTCTTACATTTAATTCTGCCCCATTGACCCTAATGGATAATCTTTTCAGAAACTTTTTACCTGTTATTTGCTCATTTTTTGATTTTTCATGGAGAAAGCTATGTTTATGATGGCAACTAGTAAAATGCATGCCTTCATGCCGACGTTCATTTGTGTGCGTGCTATATTTAAGCGTTAGATAAATTTACGTGAGTATAGGATAGCTTTTAACAGCTTGTGGGAGGTTTTTTTTAATCTTTTTCGGCTTATTTTATAATCTATCTAAGGCTTAAACATGCAACAAGCACGCGCACAAATCAGCAAGTAAACCAAAAAGTGGAGCGCAACTATATAAAACGCAACACGTATGTAATTTTTTTACCTAATTGTAACTGTTTATAATAACTAATTTTGTGACCGAAGTAATTTTTTAGAAAAGTGAAAGGTAAGTGGGCATGAAAAAACGGCATGAAGCATGAATTTTACTAGTTGCCGTTTAGGATTCTTTTTATTTTCCTTGCTCTACGTTGTCCAACTGATATGGCCAAATTGGGGAATTCCTGTTTGGAAATTTAAAAAAGGAATCTTACCCCTAAACCATTTAGGGTTAATGAGCTAAAACGGAAACTGTAAAACCCGAGTTTTCGGCCCATTTCTGAAGTAAATTCAACCCAATAAGCTGAAAATGAGTGTCTTTCAAATCCTAAAAGTAAATTATAGTTAGATCGAATGGTAAATCTGATCATTATACTATTTTCCTAATTCATTTTTACTTGAAGCTATTTAGTGTTGACGTAAATTTGCCCAGCCGCGTTCTCTCACTCTCCCTTTTTTCCTTTCCATCACAAAATTTGCAGCTGTTCTTTTTGTCAATCAAAGCTTATAAAAAAACCTGTAAAAATATCTTATTTTTCAAGATTCCCAGCCAAAACATTCTGAAAGTTTTCATTAAAGGAAGAAATACTTTACAAAAAAGCGATGTGGAAATGTCTTAATCCAAGCAATTCCCTAACACATACATACCTAACGGCAAGTCACTTTTAATAGTAAGGAAACACTTTGATAAGCGCATAGAACGTTTGATTTTAGAAAAAAAATAATGATCGAGGCTAATAATGTGGTGGGTGAGTGAGAGAGAGGATGGAATGAAAAAGAGAAAAGCAAAAAAAGGATCGGGTTTCGCAACCACAACGGACTGAAACCCCATTTTGACCACCCCAAAAAGCATCTCACTACAAAATTTTTGTTTCAATTTCGATTCCATCTTATAATTCTTTTAGCAAAGTTTTATTCTTTCAGACCAAATCTCATTTTCTGCATTTTCTGTACATTTTCTGCTTGAATTTCAGTCTCGAAACTTTTTCCAAGCAACAGTTAACAATTTAACAAATGTATTCTGGTTTTGTTTTCAGCATACCCATTTATTTTCTCCAAAATGGACTATTTCCCCAATCGGAACATGAATATATAAAACTTTTAAAGATATTTTTGTGTATGAACATTGTATTTGTTGTTGAACCTTTCAAAATTGATCTTAAGGTTTGCTCGAAGAAAGAGAAAACGTAAAAAGTGATGGGTCCAGAAGGATCCATCTCAACAACGACATCAATACACGGCACATCAACAATTCACGTTTCATTTTCTGAAAAAGATGTGCTCAAAGTGATTCTCGAGTTCCTTGAATTACGTGGATTTCACATAGCACAGGTAAGAGTGAAATAACGATTTTTGTGAAAGCGTAAACTTGCCAAAATCCAGTCTCTACTTGTACTTTTCTGTAAACGCTCCATCTGGCATACTTGATTTGAATCGGGAATATTTTTAGCTAGCCCTCGAACGAGAGACTGGAGTGATCAATGGGCAATATTCGGCAGATCTTTTATTTTTGAGGTCTAATAAAAAAATAGTAGGCTTTGCTAATCAAAAGTTGCAGGCAGTTGATCATTGACGGACAATGGGATAACGCGTTGGATTTCGTTGAGCCATTGAAGAGTTGTGACGATTTTGACTTTCAGGCTTTTAGGTATGTCATTTCAGAAAAAAAGAAAAAAGACTAAATATAAAGTTATTGTTGGCTTTTTTAAACAGAAAGACTTTCACTTTAAGAATTCATTTATCTGTGTACAGGGTGCGTCACAATTACCGCCTCACCTCTCTTACAATAGAATTTAGCTGTTTTCCAAGGAAAACCCCTTCCAAATTTTTATTTTTTCTTAATTTTTTGTTTTGTTTATTCTAAAATTTGCTGTTTTCACAGAAAAAAAACGTTTAATCTAGTGATGGAAAAGCGTAATCTGCACAAAGCTTCGATCATCGACTTGCACGCCAAAAGCTATGGGGCACATGAAATTGTTCGACGTCTAGAAGTCGATAGAAGTGTTGTGATTCGCGCAGTTAAACGATAAAAGGAGCTTGGAACTTTAAACGACCGCCCTGGACGAGGAAATAAGAGAACCGTTACCATCAAAGCTAATATCAAGAGGGTCCGCGGAAAGATCAGGCGCAATCCCGCGCTTTTCGTTCGTCAAATGGCTCGTGAAATGAGAATCAGTGAACTGTCGGTGCAATTGTTCACATTTCACAATTGTTGGAAGATATCTCAAACTTAAAGCCTACAAGAAAAATAGATGTCAAGGATTATCGGCAGCTCAAAAAATCCGCCGTAAAGACTGAAGCCAAGGCCTTCTGAATCGTTTTCCGGGACAAGCTCATCACATCTATCATCTCTGGACCTCAATCCAATGGACTATTACATATGGAGCGCTCTTGAGGCTCGTAGTTTTTCAAAACCCCATAGAAACCGTCAACTAATTGAAGAAAGCGCTTGAGAAAGCCTGGGAAATGCTTGATAACCCTTACTTGCGTGCCACCATGGATTCCTGAAACCTCCTGAAACGCGTACAGGCTTGCATTGACGCAGATGGTGATAATTTCGAAATTTAACTGTTAATTCTAATTGTTACACGTTGATAAACATTTCTATTTTTAAAAATTTGTATTTTGGCGATTTATCAGGCCAGAAACCTTGATTTACTTTGAGGCGGTAATTGTGACGCACCATATACTTAAATAAAAACTGGGTTAAATACCTAAATTTCAGATACAATATCACAAAGTACAAATTCTTCGAGCTCCTTTGTATAAAACTTGAGCCCGGCCCGATGCACGACAACGACTTTGCCGTTGAGGTACGGGGGAGAATTGGGAACTTTAATTGCACAGGGAAATTTTAGTCAAAATATCGACTTATTAGACTTGTAATAGAGGTAACACGGTTGTTAGGGGGATTTTGACTTTTGACCTTTCGGTTGGGACAGTTTTGCATGTTAACTTTCTGTTGAGTTTCGTCCCAGAACTAAACAGATTCTAACTGTAATATAAAGATCACCTAAACGTTTAAAAGTTCTAAACTAAAAAACTTTTCCAGGAATTGGTTGAATGTCTTTCCGATCTTGAACACGTTTGTCCAAGTCCTGAAGATTACCGACATCTTTGTGCAATGTTAACACTTCCACGTTTATCCGATCATCACGATTTTCGACATTGGAATCCGAGTGCAGCAAGGATTGAATGTTTTCATAAAGTTCGTTTTATACCACTGAGCATTCATATGAAAATTGAATTTAAAATTGCTTGCAATTAGACTCAATCTCTTGTACCTAATCTCTCTTAATCTTAATCTCTCAATCTCTTAGACTAAATCTCTTGTATCTCTACAGATACGAAACGGTTAGTTAATGATGCAATTTCCAATAATCTTTATATATCTAATAATTATTGTATTTTTAGGTAGAGAAATTGGTTGCCCGTTTATTGCCACCAACCCTCAAAGAAACTCCACCACAAATAGCATCAATGCACGATCGATTGATATCTCTTGTTGCTAAGGTAAATTTTTGATAATCGTACAAATTCTGTTTAAAAACTAAATAGGACTTGCTCATTTAATTTCTAGGGTATTTTTTATGAGGGCTGTGTCGATTATTGCCAAGGACAAGCTGTTGGTGAAATCAAAGGTATGTAAAAAGGGATGTAGTTAAAACAGCAATAGAAAACGTTCAAAACAACGCCGCCAGATTTCTCACAATGCAAAAAAACCAAGCCGGTTCAGTTTTGGACCAAAAATTTCTTGCGTTTTGGCTACATGATGGGTGAAACAGTTTATAAAAAAGTTAATATTTAATAGATGAAAGAGCGCTCAAAAATGTGTGGCGAGTAGTTGGTCAACTGAGTATCACTCGACAAATGCCACTCAAATTGAATAATTCAGATCTTGAAACGGGTCCTCGTTTTGGTTCACTTCTTTCAAATCGTGCACGCTTATCTGGTGTTGATTTATCATTAGTTTCATGGTTAGAAATGGTTTCAAGAGAGCAATTCGCTATGCCATTTCAGCAAAAAGCTCTCGATATTCGACTCGATGCAATCAAGTAAGTTTTAGTTCATTGCCTTTCTTCTAGCAGTAATTAAACCCTCAAAATGAAAAAAAAACTTACATTTAGGAAACCGAAATTGGAAGCCCAATGGGCTGAACAAATTCTGGCCACTCCGATAAAACCTGGAGGTTCCGCATTAGAAAAAAATTTATGATTTATAAAATACCTAGAATTTTTTTAAATTTTGCAAGCTATTCAATACATTTTAGGTGCTTTTCCCCACGCAGCCGTTCCCAAATCAAAGCTGAAATTTGCGGAGAAAATGAGCCAAAGTATCGCAGGAATGCCGATGGGAACAAGTTTTGCGACAAGTCAGTTTTCTTTGTGGAAAATAATAAAATCTAAAAAATTGTTCTACAGAAAAAGATACTTGTATTTCACTCAAAATTCAGGCACCTATCCAACGACGAAACATCCGATGTCCCAATCGACCGCACCCGGCTTCACACTGAATTCGAAAGGGGAAACGAACGGGGTAGTACATGATAACAAATGAATGGAAGACTCTACTAAATTTCGGGAATTTCATTTTGGGAAACGCTCATTTCGGTCATTTCGGAATTGTAACAGTGTTTGTGTCTGCGTTGTACGCCGCTTCTTTTGACTCTTCTCAACTGAGCATTGAAAAAGATTAGCTTAGGAAACAGCACTTAATGATGGCATTAGCAAAATTATTGTTAAAGTTCCTGAAATGAACGTTTCTGGAATTTTGTAGAGCCGAATTTTGATTAGAACATTAGAAACCTTTTCTTTTACTACATTAGAAACCTTTTCTTTTAAAAATGTTATGATTTTCTGAAAATTTCAGGATGCAATGGTCCAATCACAAATTATTGACGCGATGTTGGAGACAAGTGAATTGGCCAAGACTAGTCGACCTGGATCGGGAATATCGGGCACAAGTCGGGGGAACACACCATCAATGATGATGACAGGGTTTTCGTTTAAGATTTCCTCGCATAATATGTGTTTGCACTTGATCTAAAGGCCACTAGCTTTAAGAATACTAAAGATGCCGTAAAGCTATGCATATTTGTATCTACTATATATAAAAGAGCAGTGTCCGTCCGCCTGTATGGGCTTTTTCTCAGCCGTCTTTGGGCCAAAAGCCGTTTTTCGGCTGGTGATATCATGTCTGAATACAATGTATCGAAGGTATTCAGTCAACAAAATTGAATATCTATCTTGGCTGCAGATATTTTTCTGAAGGACTTTAAAAAGAAAAAAGGCTTAAATTCTAAAATGAATTCGGAAAAGCCAAAAAAAAACGTTTTTTCAGTTCCGTGGCTCCTCAAGTATTTGTCCCTGCAATGGCTCAATCAATGTCCTCATCTTCATTTGACTTTACTCATACAAGAAGACAACTCGATGAAATGACTCGAAGGTATGTTATTCAGACAATTCGCGTTTAGTTTTAAAAAAGAAATTTGAGTTTTGCATATCGGTAGCCACTTTTTGACTGTAGTAAACTGAAGTCATTTTTTCTGGCACATGTCTAATAGTAAGGCAAAAGTTCGGAAAAGTGCGCTTCAACTGCATTCGCCCACTATTATTACACGGATAACATTATAATATGTAGCGGGTGAATGAATGAGTACGATTATGCTGAGATTTCAATCATGATTATCTATTTTTATTCATTGCAATAGATCGATCCCCCCTTCAACGTCCGCTCGTCAATCATCACTGCCACCTGTTCCCGAACTTTCACCCCATTCTGATGATTCATCGGCAATGACACAAAGTCGCCTCTACCAGGAATTTGCCAACAAACAAAGACGTAATGTTTTAAAAAGGCTATCTGACTTGGACTTGGCACTCCATCACTACCAGAAAGAATAAAAATATAAATGATAAAATCAAGAAACGTCGAAAACGAAGGTTGAGGATAACGCAGAAATAGTGAGGCGCGGGGGAGAGTTCGATCTGGGCAAGCAGTTTTTTAATTTGCAAAGTTTTTTGCATTCTAGGTTTTTTAACGCTGATTCCGAAAAACATGGTTTCAGCACAGGTTTCCGTACAAAAAACCAAATAAAGTCCTTTTTTTGAAATTTGGGGTCAAAGGCACCTGAGTAAAACGGCTGCAACTTTGAACTTTGAAATTGATGAATCGACAACGGATTGAACGGAAAGTCTTTTCCATTCAATCCGCTAGATAATTAGCTTTTGAATGAGCTATTAAACAATCAAATCGGATAAGTTTAAGACCCTCTTCGAAAAAAATCCAGGCGAACTTTCTTCCCAACCTAATATTTAGAGAAAAGCATAGGTTAATTGGTGAATTTGTTATTTTTCAATGCAAGTACAAAAAGAACGTATTTCTGGACACCCTAATACATGTTGTCTGTAAATAAAAGTCTGTCTACGGGCCCCACTTTAAGCTTATTTCTTAGACCTAGATCGAAAAAAATGAGTTTAGCTTTGCCGGAGCCTCAAGTGAATCTCCGACCACCGGGTGCACACCCACTTCAGAATTCAGTGATTTCACCCCAACACGCTCCCATGCAACCACCGATTGGTTATCCAAATCCACAAGTAAGTTATGCCTAAATTTTCATAGGTAAAATGTAGCCACACGGATATATTCATATGCAAAATGCTTTTCACGACTGTTCGGAAAAAAACAGCAAAATTTAATATCACAATGAATTTATTTTTAGATGTTACCCGGTTATTCGATTAATCCGCCGATTCCCTATAACGACTATATCTCAATGTCCAGACCCGGATTTACACAACAGAATGGACAGGTATCAACAAAAAAATGTTTATATTATTCTTGAAATATATTATTGAAATATTTATTAAACTTTTACAAAATCTCATTTTTAGATGATCAATCCAATGTTACCCAATCAAGGTCCTATTTCTATAAATCCATCAACCTCAACGAGACCTCAATCAATGCTCGGTTTGTTTAGTGTTTAAAGTATTGATTCATAATTCATACTCATAATGTTATAGTCAATTAGTTATGTTCTGCCAAAAATTTTGGTACTATCCTAGTTAAGGGCAGGCCACTTTGGCAAATTGATTAAGTCCCACCCATCAACTGCAAGATAAAAGTTTAGCCAAGTTTAACTTGTTGATTCCCAAAAAGTCGATCCTTCATAATTAAACCTAGATTAAAAACGTGGAATACGTAATCAGCATAAAAAGTTATCGCAGAAAAAGTGAAATTTTCGAAAAAAAGTGGCTCCCTTAACTAGGATCAAGATTTCCCTTATTTCAGTTAATCCACCCTACCCACCATTGCAAAACACACAAATGCGTCCTCATTCAATCGCTTCAAGCAGTGGAATGAGCATTCAATTTGTGCCTGTTTGTAGGTTCGTCGAAAGAATTCACCGCTTAACGAAAAGAACGAAAAGACTTATTCATCAACCTATTACATAACTATTTTATTTGATAGGCTTCCTATCAAAGCACATTTTTCCAGATATGAGGATGCTCAAGCAATTCGTGCTTCATCTTTTCATCCATCTGGTCGAGTGTTTGCTGTGGGAACAAATTCAAAGCAAATGCTCATTTGTGCGTATCCTGACGTGAAAAGACAAAGGTTTGTACTTTGCAATTTCTCTTCGACTTAATCCATTCGAGAAGGAAGGTGAGTGAATATCTAAATCACAAAAATAAATTATTCTTTCAAAAAAATGTTTTCTTTTTAGACTGAGTACCTCAAGGCTCAGGTTGGTTACTCTCTTGCGGGTAAATCTCGTCGTTAGCGCAAATCTTTCCGTCAACTTTCGACATTTAGTGCACCAAATTTCTTACCTTTCTTATGATTTCGTTCAAAGAATTCAAGGCTAAACAATAAAAGTGCACTTTATTTGTCAAAATCCGCGTTAACAATTATTAGATTAAGCGAGCCTAAACAATTTCATTTCAAAAGAACACCTAACTATCAGAACTTCCCTTTTTTCTCCCGAGTCGCATGGCTTTTGTAGTCATTTCTCCTGATCATTCTATCAATTATTTACATAATTGTTTGGAATTTCCATTTTTAGGGGCACTGAGATCATCCCTAAACCAGATGTCCTTTTATCAAGACCAAAACAACATCGAGGATCGATTTATTGTTTGGGGTTCAGCCCGAGTGGAGGTGAGAACAATAACATTTTGAGAAAATGGAACCAATTCTAAAAATGATTAAAGATTATCGAAATTATTCTACTAGCTCAATTTATTGGGTAATAATTGTGAGGATTCGATTTAATTTTTCCAGAGCTCATTGCCACTGGCTCAAATGACAAATCAATACGTTTAATGGCGTTCAATGTGGAGAATAACAAGATTGGTAAGAGAAAATTTCGCGAGAAATGATTTTCTGTGCTCTCATCGAAAAGCCTAATTTATTTTTGCTTTTCTAAATAGGTCTTTAAGCGATTAATTAATAGATCATGAAAAACACAATCTAATTCAGATCAAAGACAAGAGTCTCTCAAAGTTAACCAATTCACTTTAGGGGCCGAAATGGAAATGAATTGTCATGATGGTACAGTAAGAGATTTGATCTTTCTTGAGGATTCCACCAATCGAACGGCCCTTCTCATTTCTGGTGGTGCTGGTGATTGCCATTTACGGTTCATTTCTCACTTCTTTTTGTTGAAGGCAAAATGCTTTCACACTTTCACATACTCAATTTTGCAGGGTTAACGATTGTCACACGGGTCAAGTTGTACAGAGCTATTCTGGGCATACAGGTGCAAAAGTGCTTCAATGAAAAAAAGAAAGTTTCAACATTTCAGCACCAATTCTTGGGCTCTATTCCTGGGGTGACGGACCACAATTTGTCTCCTGTTCACAGGTAAACAATTGAAATTAAAAGTGACCAGTAGATATTTGGGCCCTTTCCCTAAATCGTAGCTTTTTGAAAGTTCCGTGATATTTTGAAAGCGTTGTGTTCTTTTGTCAAAAAAGCCAGTTTCTTGTTTTTTAAATTTTTTGCTTTCTCATATTGTCGCTTTGCGCTTATTTCTGAAATGCGAACTGTTTATTTTTAAGACATTTGTTAAGGAAGAGGATAAGCTGCTTCCATGCTCCCTCTCCGGAGCTCTTCTAAACATGTATTCAAGCAAATAAGTTGGAAGACGATGTTTTGTTGTTCCCCGAGATGACAAATTCAAGCTTTTATCGCAGTTTCTGACACTTTTGACACTTTGGGTGCGAGTTGAAGAAGCTATTAAATAATAAAAACTGGGCCAATAAGCGCGGTGGAAAGTGCACAACGATGACGGAACATTTTACGACAACATTCACACACAAAGAGTTGGTCTCTAGGCTGTGCAGGGGCCATTTCCGAGGGCCGACGTGTCAAGCCATGTATTTTATTAGGTTTGAATATTTCGTTAAATAAAATTGTTGCTAAAAAGCAGTGAAAAAAGCAAAAAATTCAAAAGACCACGAAACTTTTAAAAGACCATGATTAAGGGAAAGAGCCGATTTTGATATAAATGACCAGTAAATATTTTATCAAATCTAATGTGCTCAAAACTTTAGTTAAATCTTGGCATCTTATGAAAATGATTCATTTTTCTCAGGACAAAACGATTCGTTTTCTGGGACGTTCGAGCCTCTCAGCCAATCCATGTCATTCAGCCAAGCGCTAAAATCGCAAGTGAGTTGTATGAAAAACGGAAACTATTTTTTTCATTCCAAAACAATCTATTCAACATCTCCTCAATTACTTTTTTACAGATTCCCCAGTGACATCGGTTTGTGTAGATCCATCAGGACAGTTGCTCGTTTCCGGTCACGAAGATGCATCGGTTGCATTGTAAGCTAGAAATGTTTAAGAGATAGAGTATATTATAGTACAAGGTGATCGAAAGAAACTTTTGGATCACCCTGTATAATGTAGATGCTTTTAAGGTACGATATAAATGGCCGGCGTGTTCTTCAAACATTTCGTCCACACGGGGATGAAGTGAGAAGTGTCCGTTTTAGTAATGCTGCATATTATCTTCTTTCAGCGAGTTATGATAAAAGGTTGGTTTTACTGAAATTAATATCGTGTTTAAATGTTAAAATCTTAAATGCTTGATTATTTGAGGGTTGTGATCACGGATATGCGCGGTGATTTAATGTCTCCATTGATGTATCTTCCCGTCGCTGAACATTCCGATAAAGTCATTCAATGCAGGTCGGTCTAAAACACTACAAATAAAGCGAAAATTATTGAATTTGGATTTCAGGTGGCACCCTCACGAGTTCTCATTTCTTTCAACTTCCGCTGATCGAAGTGTCGTTCTTTGGGCTCTACCACCACCAAATTCTTAGGAAGTTAAATTTCATAGGACAAAGATTACTGCAATGAGATATCCCGTTCCTTTTAAGCTTTTTTTGTGCTTTTCTTGTTGCATTTTTGATACGGGAACCCATCTTTATTGATTTATTCGCTCGAGTCGTTTTGCCGCGCCTTAGTTTGTGAACTTTAAAATGGAAAAAGAAGACTTTATTACTCAAAAACATTAAATGAACGAAGGCCTATAAAACAGAAAAATTATAAAAAATTCGAAACGTTTGTTGGAAAGGTTTTGGTATTCTGCTTCAGAATTTAGTTCTCGAAAAAATTGTAAAATTCGATTGTATGATACTAAAAACTAGCGTTTTCGAATCAATTTAAAGTTTAGAAATCATGTAATGAATGAACCCGATAAGCTGTAGTCTTTCTCGGATTAACAATTGCATCGACAGAAACCGATACTCGAAGAGTTGATTGAGAAATTGGCTAAAATTATGAAAGATTAATTCATGCGTGACTTTTGAACGTTGAATCGATATTTGAGAATAATAACTCGATCGAATTAGAGCTATTTCTCCTGGTATCTGCTGAACCGCTCTATTAAATACTGTCCAGGAAGTCTTTTCGTTCTTTTTCGTACTTTCTTTGAGAAATAACAAATTCACTAATTAACCCATGGTTTGCTTTAAATAAAAAGTGTTTATTATTCAATTTCCCATCTTTCTAAGCCAATTTTGGTTCACTTTCAAGCAAGTTCGAGAGGGAAAACTCTACAAATTCGAGTTTTTCGTAAAAATCTATAAAAACCTCTACAAAGAAATAGGATGAATCAATTTCTCTGAAAATTTGGCCATTTACCAAACTTTTTGTGCTCTATCTATTGACTATTGACATCTATCTATGGACACCAAGATAGGTTCTCTTATCTAAAGGGTCTCCGCATCTTCGAGTCGTTGCCATTTTTGACTACCCTACTTTACGCTCCCGAAAAATCCAGACAGTAAGACATTTTAAAACCTGTTTTAATGTTATTTTGCAGAAAAATAATTGGCCTTTCCAATGAAACAAACCGTAGTTCAATGAAACAAACAAACTGTGGTGCATTTATTGGTTTTTAACGGAAGTTGGAAAAGAAACGAAAAGAATTTCTGGACAGCCTAATAATATTCATAAGTCTTGAATCTTACTAGAAAAATATTGTTTACGGGAAAAGTCACTGACTAGCTCTAAATAATACTCAAAAGAGTTCTCGAGTTCACAGAAGCACCATTGTTTCAGCAAACTATCAAGGAGCAATCCGGCTTGTTGGTTGTGTTACCACAATGTAATTTATTCAAGAGATCATTAACTAGTTTAAAGGTAGGTTATCGACTATATGGCAGCGTTTAAAACCCCCATTAGTGCTGATTTTAAAAAAATGAGATTGCTCGAATTTGGTTTGAACAAAAAATACCAACCCGTGGCGTTCGTTTCAATGTGAAATATGTGTATCCATTTCGACGAATGTAAGCATCACGGTCTCTGTGTAGAAATAAACGTGTACTGGTTAAGAGGAATGACATTCATACTATGAAAGAGAACTTTTTGTGAACCTGTAATATCGAAAACATCCAACGACGATTGACATCAACCAGATTTGAAGCGTAATTATTATTGAAAAAGGAACCAACCATCATCCAGGCTACATATTCTAAATATTATCAAATGTTAGATTCAAATACACCAATTGTTAAAATTGAAAACCCTTTGAACTTACTTAAATAATTTTGATGTGTACTATCAAGTGTTTTTCCGTAAGATTGAAGAAAAGCCAGTGCTGTTTCTTGATCACCAAATAAACCAATATAAACAAAAGCAACAAAGAAAATACATGAAGATGCAAGACCAATCAGCTGAAAATTTGGATAATACTTTGTTACGGGGAAATTATGACATAAAGAAGCGTGTACCGTATCGTTCCTAGTAGAAGACACAGGTCCTATTAGAAGACCCCGACCTCTTTAGAAAAGTGAACGAAAAATAGAAGACCATGGTTTTCTGTTAAGGTATTTTATAAATCTTAACATATTCGCTGACGATACGGCCAGCCGATGGGCCTTACTTGGGTTTAGCACTTTTTTTGAGGCTGATTGTGCTAAAAATTTGCACCAGGGGGTTTTCGGAGCCAAGGACTTCGAATCCGTGCTTCGTTTTTAAAGAGAAGCTGCTTTTTAAAAAAAACATGGACATATTTTACTTCTTATTAGCTGAAACATCCTTTTGTCAAACCTGCACAGCAAGATATGGAATCAGAAAATAGCATTTCTTTTTGAGGATTGATATGAGAACTGTTGAAGCAAGACCTAAGCCGACACATGATTGAATCATTGGAGATTCCAACTGAAATTGAGATTGTTTAAAGTCTCTTCTTCAGTTGTTATTAGATATTCGAGGATATTCCCTTTTACACACATTATCACTTTTAGGGACCACTTGTGCGAGATTTGCGTGAACGGTGATGAAAAGTTGCCATAATTCAAAAAGAACCGTTATCCATAACATTCCACAAACAACTCGTACACCGGTCTACAATAGAAAAGGTTATTGTGTTTGAATCATAATTTGTTTCCGAGAAAACTATTAATCGCTACCAAAATTAGACAATTTTCAATTTTTATTTCCTCAGTCGTTTTAAAATCAAGTTTTAGTAAAGAGTTGTACGGGAAACTCTTGGATCACCCTGTAGTGTGACTTTGGACTTTTCAGACTACAGTATCTACCGCTTGCCTATATTGTTTGTAATTGTCAAATAAATGCTTACCGTTGAATGCATATGTCGACAACAACATGTATACCGTGAATCGTGCTCATTAAACCCATTGTGAAGTCCATTTAGAGAATGCCTCTCAAATTCCCATTGAGATTCGATTATTTCGGTCATCTTTTCTATATTGTACATTACTTTGATATATGAATGAATGAACGGTTTCAAGTTAAAGTTTAAAAATTATCAACAGTTGCTTACAAAACATAACAGAAATAACATTGTATCAATATTGCATCATCAGATTAAACCAGGCAAATCAACAAAAAAACGATCAACTACAAATTCATTTCATCGACTTTCCTAAAATAGCAAATAAACGCCGGTACATTGTTATTTAAACTGGAAGTTACAGCAAAAAACCTTTTCTCATTTTCGTTTGTTGCGGTTCACAGGATCGTTAAATCAAATATTGTTATTTGTTATCTAAAATAAAATGCTTATTTTAGAATAAAAGTCTACGAATGAAAATAAATATTCGCGCGCATATTTATAGTAAATTATTAGAGAAAACTTAAGATGTCCGGTCATCCGCCTACAAATCTATTAATCGGTCCTTTGACCAACGTTTGGTCTAGTTAATTGGTCAATTTTTTTGAATGCAAATTTTTAAGCAATCAATTTATTTAACCAACAGGAACCCACTCTAATTACAATAGTTAAACTAAAAAGAGAGCTTTCAGGTACATGCAAAAATATATTTTAACAAAGGTAGATAAGTAGGTATGTAGTTTTGAGACTGTGTTTTGAACGAAATGTTCAAATAAGAAATTTGATGGAGAAAAATGGGTTTGATGAAGAAATTCTTGTGAAAGATTTGTCATGAGAACATTTATCCTAGAAATTAGCATTGTTTTCATCGGTGTCTCTTTCCTTGAAAGCAAATTTTCACTGAGGCGGGCAGAAACCTTTGGAATTCTTTCAGGAACTTTTTTTCCTGATTTGGCTAATTTAATGGAGAGTCATTGTAAATGCGATATCTCCAGCTCGATCTTCAATCTAAAAGCTTCTTTCTTGTTTTAAAATACAGGCAATAGCTGAAGGTCTAAGTGTTTGTTTCTTAAAAAGATACTTAATTATGATTGAGAAGTATCAATTTAACAAAATCCTTCAAAAATTCATGGCTATCAATAACGAAAGAGTTGAAGCAAAGTATCTCGTGTGGCATCCAAAAATCTCCCGGTTTTGATGCGATGAATCCTCACCGACCCACCAGTGAAATTTTAGCACGATCCAATTTTGCACCTCATTGAATCGAATAAACCCACCAGAATACTTTGAATGGACATGAAAATGGAAATGAACTGAAAGGGACAAACCTTTTTGAGACCAAATCAATCTGAATCCCTTTTCCTACACTTTTAGCTAGTGCTAACAAGCACCTTATTGACCACAAAACAATATTTACTAAATTTGCAAATTAGCAAAAAAGTTTGCCCGTGAGCGGTATCGAACAAGGAAGCAAAAAATGCATAGGGACTGACCACGGGGGCCCACACTAACCACTTGGCTACGAGGGACTTTTTGAGAGGGGGATTTGGGCGTTTTATGCACTGACAAAAATGGTGTGCCAGAAATTCGAGAAAACCTCTCAAAAATCATGAAGTTTGAAGCCATTTTTCTCAAAAATTTTGTCTGCCTAATACGCCGGAGACCTACTTTTTCGGATTCAGAAATTTTTTCCAATAAAATGGGTGTTGCTTCGTTTGGCCAAAGGTGGTGGCCCATCTGTGTGCATCCCTAGTAAGACATAGGACACTACGAGAAAAAGCCAGAAAAAATTTTTGGGTGGAAGGCAAAAAAATTGAAGTTTTGAAGAAAAATGCAATTTTCAAAAAAAGGGCTACCCAGTAAGAGACTGCTGCAAAAATTCTAATTTCGGGGAATGGGGAGTGCATACCTTTTAAAAAATGATGCGTTTAGTCCCCCTCCCCTGGCTACGGGCCTGGGCATTACCTTGGCTACATTGGGATTAAGACCAATAGCAACATTAATGCTTTTGAACGGGATAAATTTTAGTCATAAATTTTGGCTTAGGCTTAGGCTTAGGCTTAGGCTTAGGCTTAGGCTTAGGCTTAGGCTTAGGCTTAGGCTTAGGCTTAGGCTTAGGCTTAGG